GAAAATACCACTGAGACATTTCGCCACAAGCGTGGTCGAGTCCCGTCTAAGTGATTAATGAACTTCAACAGAAGGTGGAAACTGAGGTGCCACAACTTTAAGGTCAATTAAGTGAAGCTTAGGAGAAATTGAAAGATGCACAAAAGGATGCAGAATTGTGGAATAAAAAGTATCATGAATTGCTAGAGAGCAAATAAACTTAAGTTCAGAACATTCTTGCTCCAGAAGAGATTGAAAAATTAAGCTCTGAAGAAGCCAAGAACGCTCTAACATAATTGAACAAGTAATATTCAGATAAAGCTCAAGAGAATAAAGAATTAGAGATGGTTGTTTAACACCTTCGATAAGATTTGGATTCTTCACAAGAGAAAGTATAACAGCAAGCTAAAGAAGCACAATAAGAAAAATCTGTACTTGAGTAATAAACTTAACTCCTTAATAACTAACTCAAAGATTTAGTGGCCAAGGAGGAAGTTCAAAGACAAGAAATCTTGGATTTGAAAAATAAATTGGATTAAGAGAATGCTGACTTTTGGAAGAAGTAATATTAGTAATTGTCAGAAAAGCAACCTGAAATTAGTTCAACATAGGCAGGAGATTTACAAGAACAACAAGTATCTTAACAAGAAAGAGAAGTAAAACCTAAGGAAATTTTGAATGAAGAAGTTGAATTACTTAAAATTAAATTAGAGAAATTAAATGATATGTAAAAAGAAAATGAAGAATTGGAAGCATAACAGATATTAATTTAAGATGAATTACTCAAAACTAAGTAACAGTTAAATGAATAAATTGCAATAATAAATCTAAAAGCCTTAAGGTAATGATCAACAGATTCAATTCTAAACAGATCCTGAAAAAGTCTTATAAATCAGCTCACTCTAGGCAGAATGTGTGAATCTTAAGAAACAAATATAGGATGTTGAATAGTAGAGAAAGGATGATCTAAAATCTTTTGAGAAAATGCTTGGAGAAGGAGTCAATGAAACTTAAGTTATTGGTTTGACTTCTGATAAATAGTAACTCTAATCTGATTTAAGACAATTACAAAATAAATGTGATCAATTGTAGTAAGAACAAATCGCATTGTAGAATTAATTACTTTAGAAGAACAAATAAATTGTGGATTTACAAGATGAAACCAAACAAAGCGAGAAGGAAGAACAAATTCGAGGAAAGGATAACGAAATTAAACTCTTGGAACAACAAGTACAAACAGCTAAAGATCAATATTAGGAGCTTTTAGACTTATAATAATAGAACTTAACTCCTGGAGGATAAAAGGAGAAGATATTACAATAAACCAAAGAAATACATGATTAAGAAGAAGTGATTAATGAACTTCAACAGAAGGTGGAAACTGAGGTGCCACAACTTTAAGGTCAATTAAGTGAAGCTTAGGAGAAATTGAAAGATGCACAAAAGGATGCAGAATTGTGGAATAAAAAGTATCATGAATTGCTAGAGAGCAAATAAACTTAAGTTCAGAACATTCTTGCTCCAGAAGAGATTGAAAAATTAAGCTCTGAAGAAGCCAAGAACGCTCTAACATAATTGAACAAGTAATATTCAGATAAAGCTCAAGAGAATAAAGAATTAGAGATGGTTGTTTAACACCTTCGATAAGATTTGGATTCTTCACAAGAGAAAGTATAACAGCAAGCTAAAGAAGCACAATAAGAAAAATCTGTACTTGAGTAATAAACTTAACTCCTTAATAACTAACTCAAAGATTTAGTGGCCAAGGAGGAAGTTCAAAGACAAGAAATCTTGGATTTGAAAAATAAATTGGATTAAGAGAATGCTGACTTTTGGAAGAAGTAATATTAGTAATTGTCAGAAAAGCAACCTGAAATTAGTTCAACATAGGCAGGAGATTTACAAGAACAACAAGTATCTTAACAAGAAAGAGAAGTAAAACCTAAGGAAAATTTTGAATGAAGAAGTTGAATTACTTAAAATTAAATTAAGAGAAATTAAATTGATATGTAAAAAGAAAATGAAGAATTGAAAGCATAACAGATATTAATTTAAGATGAATTACTCAAAACTAAGTAACAGTTAAAATGAATAATTGCAATAATAAATCTAAAAGCCTTAAGGTAATGATCAACAGATTCAATTCTAAACAGATCCTGAAAAAGTCTTATAAATCAGCTCACTCTAGGCAGAATGTGTGAATCTTAAGAAACAAATATAGGATGTTGAATAGTAGAGAAAGGATGATCTAAAATCTTTTGAGAAAATGCTTGGAGAAGGAGTCAATGAAACTTAAGTTATTGGTTTGACTTCTGATAAATAGTAACTCTAATCTGATTTAAGACAATTACAAAATAAATGTGATCAATTGTAGTAAGAACAAATCGCATTGTAGAATTAATTACTTTAGAAGAACAAATAAATTGTGGATTTACAAGATGAAACCAAACAAAGCGAGAAGGAAGAACAAATTCGAGGAAAGGATAACGAAATTAAACTCTTGGAACAACAAGTACAAACAGCTAAAGATCAATATTAGGAGCTTTTAGAACTTATAATAATAGAACTTAACTCCTGGAGGATAAAAGGAGAAGATATTACAATAAACCAAAGAAATACATGATTAAGAAGAAGTGATTAATGAACTTCAACAGAAGGTGGAAACTGAGGTGCCACAACTTTAAGGTCAATTAAGTGAAGCTTAGGAGAAATTGAAAGATGCACAAAAGGATGCAGAATTGTGGAATAAAAAGTATCATGAATTGCTAGAGAGCAAATAAACTTAAGTTCAGAACATTCTTGCCTCCAGAAGAGATTGAAAAATTAAGCTCTGAAGAAGCCAAGAACGCTCTAACATAATTGAACAAGTAATATTCAGATAAAGCTCAAGAGAATAAAGAATTAGAGATGGTTGTTTAACACCTTCGATAAGATTTGGATTCTTCACAAGAGAAAGTATAACAGCAAGCTAAAGAAGCACAATAAGAAAAATCTGTACTTGAGTAATAAACTTAACTCCTTAATAACTAACTCAAAGATTTAGTGGCCAAGGAGGAAGTTCAAAGACAAGAAATCTTGGATTTGAAAAATAAATTGGATTAAGAGAATGCTGACTTTTGGAAGAAGTAATATTAGTAATTGTCAGAAAAGCAACCTGAAATTAGTTCAACATAGGCAGGAGATTTACAAGAACAACAAGTATCTTAACAAGAAAGAGAAGTAAAACCTAAGGAAATTTTGAATGAAGAAGTTGAATTACTTAAAATTAAATTAGAGAAATTAAATGATATGTAAAAAGAAAATGAAGAATTGAAAGCATAACAGATATTAATTTAAGATGAATTACTCAAAACTAAGTAACAGTTAAAATGAATAATTGCAATAATAAATCTAAGAGCCTTAAGGTAATGATCAACAGATTCAATTCTAAACAGATCCTGAAAAAGTCTTATAAATCAGCTCACTCTAGGCAGAATGTGTGAATCTTAAGAAACAAATATAGGATGTTGAATAGTAGAGAAAGGATGATCTAAAATCTTTTGAGAAAATGCTTGGAGAAGGAGTCAATGAAACTTAAGTTATTGGTTTGACTTCTGATAAATAGTAACTCTAATCTGATTTAAGACAATTACAAAATAAATGTGATCAATTGTAGTAAGAGCAAATCGCATTGTAGAATTAATTACTTTAGAAGAACAAATAAATTGTGGATTTACAAGATGAAACCAAACAAAGCGAGAGGGAAGCACAAATTCGAGGAAAGGATATCGAAATTAAACTCTTGGAACAACAAGTACAAACAGCTAAAGATCAATATTAGGAGCTTTTAGAACTTATAATAATAGAACTTAACTCCTGGAGGATAAAAGGAGAAGATATTACAATAAACCAAAGAAATACATGATTAAGAAGAAGTGATTAATGAACTTCAACAGAAGGTGGAAACTGAGGTGCCACAACTTTTAAGGGTCAATTAAGTGAAGGCTTAGGAGAAATTGAAAAGATGCACAAAAGGATGCAGAATTGTGGAATAAAAAAAGTATCATGAATTGCTAGAGAGCAAATAAACTTAAGTTCAGAACATTCTTGCTCCAGAAGAGATTGAAAAATTAAGCTCTGAAGAAGCCAAGAACGCTCTAACATAATTGAACAAGTAATATTCAGATAAAGCTCAAGAGAATAAAGAATTAGAGATGGTTGTTTAACACCTTCGATAAGATTTGGATTCTTCACAAGAGAAAGTATAACAGCAAGCTAAAGAAGCACAATAAGAAAAATCTGTACTTGAGTAATAAACTTAACTCCTTAATAACTAACTCAAAGATTTAGTGGCCAAGGAGGAAGTTCAAAGACAAGAAATCTTGGATTTGAAAAATAAATTGGATTAAGAGAATGCTGACTTTTGGAAGAAGTAATATTAGTAATTGTCAGAAAAGCAACCTGAAATTAGTTCAACATAGGCAGGAGATTTACAAGAACAACAAGTATCTTAACAAGAAAGAGAAGTAAAACCTAAGGAAATTTTGAATGAAGAAGTTGAATTACTTAAAATTAAATTAGAGAAATTAAATGATATGTAAAAAGAAAATGAAGAATTGAAAGCATAACAGATATTAATTTAAGATGAATTACTCAAAACTAAGTAACAGTTAAATGAATAATTGCAATAATAAATCTAAAAGCCTTAAGGTAATGATCAACAGATTCAATTCTAAACAGATCCTGAAAAAGTCTTATAAATCAGCTCACTCTAGGCAGAATGTGTGAATCTTAAGAAACAAATATAGGATGTTGAATAGTAGAGAAAGGATGATCTAAAATCTTTTGAGAAAATGCTTGGAGAAGGAGTCAATGAAACTTAAGTTATTGGTTCTGATCTTCGTGATAAATAGTAACTCTAATCTGATTTAAGACAATTACAAAATAAATGTGATCAATTGTAGTAAGAACAAATCGCATTGTAGAATTAATTACTTTAGAAGAACAAATAAATTGTGGATTTACAAGATGAAACCAAACAAAGCGAGAAGGAAGAACAAATTCGAGGAAAGGATAACGAAATTAAACTCTTGGAACAACAAGTACAAACAGCTAAAGATCAATATTAGGAGCTTTTAGACTTATAATAATAGAACTTAACTCCTGGAGGATAAAAGGAGAAGATATTACAATAAACCAAAGAAATACATGATTAAGAAGAAGTGATTAATGAACTTCAACAGAAGGTGGAAACTGAGGTGCCACAACTTTAAGGTCAATTAAGTGAAGCTTAGGAGAAATTGAAAGATGCACAAAAGGATGCAGAATTGTGGAATAAAAAGTATCATGAATTGCTAGAGAGCAAATAAACTTAAGTTCAGAACATTCTTGCTCCAGAAGAGATTGAAAAATTAAGCTCTGAAGAAGCCAAGAACGCTCTAACATAATTGAACAAGTAATATTCAGATAAAGCTCAAGAGAATAAAGAATTAGAGATGGTTGTTTAACACCTTCGATAAGATTTGGATTCTTCACAAGAGAAAGTATAACAGCAAGCTAAAGAAGCACAATAAGAAAAATCTGTACTTGAGTAATAAACTTAACTCCTTAATAACTAACTCAAAGATTTAGTGGCCAAGGAGGAAGTTCAAAGACAAGAAATCTTGGATTTGAAAAATAAATTGGATTAAGAGAATGCTGACTTTTGGAAGAAGTAATATTAGTAATTGTCAGAAAAGCAACCCTGAAATTAGTTCAACATAGGCAGGAGATTTACAAGAACAACAAGTATCTTAACCAAGAAAGAGAAGTAAAACCTAAGGAAATTTTTGAATGAAGAAGTTGAATTACTTAAAATTAAATTAAGAGAAATTAAATGATATGTAAAAAGAAAATGAAGAATTGAAAGCATAACAGATATTAATTTAAGATGAATTACTCAAAACTAAGTAACAGTTAAATGAATAATTGCAATAATAAATCTAAAAGCCTTAAGGTAATGATCAACAGATTCAATTCTAAACAGATCCTGAAAAAGTCTTATAAATCAGCTCACTCTAGGCAGAATGTGTGAATCTTAAGAAACAAATATAGGATGTTGAATAGTAGAGAAAGGATGATCTAAAATCTTTTGAGAAAATGCTTGGAGAAGGAGTCAATGAAACTTAAGTTATTTGGTTATTGGCTTACTCATGGAATAGTAACTCTAATCTGATTTAAGACAATTACAAAATAAATTGTGATCAATTGTAGTAAGAACAAATCGCATTGTAGAATTAATTACTTTAGAAGAACAAATAAATTGTGGATTTACAAGATGAAACCAAACAAAGCGAGAAGGAAGAACAAATTCGAGGAAAGGATAACGAAATTAAACTCTTGGAACAACAAGTACAAACAGCTAAAGATCAATATTAGGAGCTTTTAGACTTATAATAATAGAACTTAACTCCTGGAGGATAAAAGGAGAAGATATTACAATAAACCAAAGAAATACATGATTAAGAAGAAGTGATTAATGAACTTCAACAGAAGGTGGAAACTGAGGTGCCACAACTTTAAGGTCAATTAAGTGAAGCTTAGGAGAAATTGAAAGATGCACAAAAGGATGCAGAATTGTGGAATAAAAAGTATCATGAATTGCTAGAGAGCAAATAAACTTAAGTTCAGAACATTCTTGCTCCAGAAGAGATTGAAAAATTAAGCTCTGAAGAAGCCAAAAACGCTCTTACATAATTGAACAAGTAATATTCAGATAAAGCTCAAGAGAATAGAGAATTTGAATAAATAATTAAAGATCAATAATCATCTTTATTTTCGAAATAATAAGAAATCGATTAATTATAGTTTAAAGTTGATTAAGCTACTCAGATTTCTAATATTTAAAAATTATAGCTATAAAATACTGCAGATGATTACACTAATTAAATAGATTAACTAAAATAATTTATTTAAGATCTTAAATCATAAATTGATGAGCATAATCCTGCATTTTGGAAATCATCCTACTAGAAGTTATTAGAAGAAACAAGATAGTTAAATTAAACTATTCCACAACAAGATATCCAGAAGCAAGAATCTTATATTTTGCCTAATCCGCCTTCCTAAACTCTATTATAAGATTATTAATTGTTGAAATAATAATACGAAGATTTATATTAGGCTAAACTTTTACTTTAGCAAGAATTATTAATTGCATAAAATCGTATCTCATAGCTATTAAGTGAATAAATACATAAACCTGTAGGTTAAGAAGAGCCAATTTAATTTTCAACCGATCCTTAAAAAGCCTTAGCTGTATTACAATTAGAATAGAAAATCTAATTATTAATCCACTAACTTTCTGAAATTGAAAAATTAAGAAATGATGATTTACAGAAGTTTAAAGATATGATTGGAAATGGTGTGAATGAAAGTACTGTTGCAACTCTTATGCAAGAAAAGTAATCATTATAATCTCAAATAATAAAATTCAAAGCTTAGATTGACTAGAACTAATAAGAGTAAATTGCAATTTAAAACTAATTAATTTCAAAAACACTTTAATTAATTGAATTGTAAGAAAACATCAAGCAGGATATATCTTAATAGAAAATAATACAATTGCAGGATGAAAATAATTTACTTCAACAAGAATTATAAAAAGCCAAAAAATCTTACCAGGAATTACTTGAGTTACAATCAGAAAATCTAACACCAAATGGTTTAAAAGAAAAAATTTTAAATTAATAAAAACACATTCATGATTTAGAGGAATAAATTTTAATATCTTAATAAAAAAATGAGAATGAGCTATCATCATTAGTAGGATAATTAAGTGAAGCAAAATAAAAATTAAAAGATTCCTTAACTGATAGTGAATTATGGAACAAAAAATACCATGATTTACTTGAAAGTCGTTAAAATCTTCCAACATTAGAAATTGAAGATTTACAAAAAAAATTATTAGAATCCCAATAAAATACAGAAAAGGAAAAGGAAAAATATACTAATTTATTATAAGAACAGTATTCTTAACTTTCACCTACTTCTTCTTAAGCTAAACTTTTGTAAGCATTAGATTAAATTAATTAATTAAAACTCTAGTTGGAAATCAATAAAGCTTAAGAGATTTATTCGGAGCCTCAATAATAGATTGATACTTTGCAAGAGGAAATTGAAAATTTAAGAAAAAATATTGAAAATTTAGAAAAAATAAATTAAATAAGCAATGAATAAATTGAATATTTAAAAGAGTAACTATAAAAAAAGGAGATAAATTAGCCAAATTAACAATTTTTAACTGATAGTTAGGAATTGTTATAAATCTAAGAATAAAATATCATGTATTAATCTCAAATTAATTAATAACAATAAGAATTGCAAGAAGCATTAAATCTAATTAAACAGCAATAAGATAAAGTTTTGGATGCTTAAAAAGATCAATAAAAAGCAGAATTTTGGAAAAAATAATATACAGATTTGTTATCTGAAAAGTATCCTTAAGAAAAATCTATTTAAATATAAGAATAAAAAGAGTAATAGGTTAGGGAAGTACCTTTACTATAAGAAAATAAATAAATATAATAACTTGAGAATTAGATAAATTAATTGTAATCGGATAAGGTCTATCTCTCTTAATAATTGATAGACATTTAAAATAAGTTCAATAATACAATCCAACCAAATTAATAATAAGAATCTATAAGTACCCGTCAAAATGATCATATTCACAGTTTAGAAAAATAAATCGAAGAATTATAGAGAGAAAGTAGAAAGTAAGCTTATTTAAATTATTTTTAGTGTTATTGTATAAATGAGAGAAGCCCTAAATGGAAACGATTTGTAAAAATAAATAGCTGATCTTTTAGAAATTAATAGCACTCTAAAATTAAATAATTCAAAATTATTGATTGACTTAGAAATAAATTAAAAAGAATTAATAAGGTAGTAATAGTAGGTTTAAATTTTAAACGATACTGTTAATGATCTCTAAGATCCTACAGTTGCTGAAAATACAAAATTACGCGTTTCAGATTTAGAGAAATAAATTGATTTAATTGGATAACAAGTCGATTTCTGGAAACAAAAATATCAATAAGTTTTAAATGAGTATAGTCAATAATTATCTCCCACAAGTATTTAAAATAAAATGTTAGAGTAAACAAAATTAATTCATGATCAGGAAGAAGCATTAATGCTTTTATAAAAAACAAAAGATTAATCAAAATTAGAAAGTGATTTGGAAATTAATAATCTAAAATTGTAAATTAAAGAACTTTAAGAGGAAAATTTAGTTTTGAAAAAGAAATTATAAGATTATTAAAATTAAACTTAATAATTATCAATCTAAAGAGTTATATCACAAGGAGAAAATGAGCTATAGGTGTAATATTGGAAGGATAAATATTAAGAAGCATTAGAAGCTTTATATAAAGATCCTGAGCATGTACAAGAAATAATTAAACAAAAAGAAGAAGTTGCTTAAACTTTATATTTTGATAAAGATTCACAGTCTATTCATGATTTTGAATCTGATTTGATCGAAAAATTGAGAAGTGAAAATTAAACATTTTAAGGAGAGGTCACATTTTATAAAAAAAGAGTTTATGAATTAGAATAATAATAAAAAATTGAGCCTAGCTAATAAGATACTGTGCAATCTAGATAATATCAAATTTCTTAACTTGAAAAAGACCTATAGAAAGCTATTTCAAATTGTGCTTATTGGGAATAAAAGTATAATGAAATAGCCTAACAGAGCATCAAAATTGAAACTTAAAAATATGGAGGTGACCCCACCTAAACAGCAACTTTTTGGAGACAAAAATATGATTAAGTTGAGCTAAATAGATAACAGCTGATTCAAGTAATTGCTGAAAAAGAAGAATAGTTAGAATTAAATATGTAATCATTTTAGCAAATTCTTAAAGATGAATTGAAGGAAGAACTTACTAAAATAAGAACTTAAGAGAGAGAAAAAATGGAATAATAATTTTAACAAAATTATCCCTAGAGTGAGTCAGTTTTAATATAAAAATTAAAGGATTCTCATGAGGTTGAAAAAGAGTAGCTTATTTAAGAATTTCTAAGAAGAATTGATTAACTTTTACAGAGTAATGTATAAAAGTATCCTGAAGGAGAAAATTGGAAAGAATTGATTTTAAGATATGAAAAATAAAGATAAAATGAGCTCTATGAACTAAGACAGCACTTGTAAATTTTATAAAGATCATAAATATCTACCAAAGATATAGAATTTTATGCTGAAAGAAGAGCATACGAAAACACAATTAATGAATTAAGAGCTAGAATATCTTAAGAAGATCCTTAAGAACTATATGACACCATTGAATATTAAAGAAAAGTGATTTTAGATTATGAAAATCAAATCTCATTTTTATAAAATGAGCGAACAAACCTAGAAATGCATATTATGTAACTAAATTAGTAAATTGATCAATTAAAGGACAACATTTCAAAATTCTAAATATAATAAGATCATAGAAAAAGGCAAAGAGCTGAAGTGCTGGAAGCTATAGAAGAAATGAAACGAGAAAGAGCGGCTGATAGAGATTCTTTTAAATCTCCTTACAGACAAATGAGACAAAGTTAAAGAAGAACATCTTGGGACAGATATCCAAAAGACTTTTTAAGGCCTTCGAATATTTAACAACCGTCTCCTTATTAACATTAAAGCTCACCTATGCAAAAAATTCCATTCTAATAATCCTAATTTATATCTCCTAAATAGGAAAATAGAGAAATAAATTTAAAATTATAGGAATTAGATGAAGTTAAATATAAGTACTAGTCAGCTTTGAATAATATTTTATAACTTGAAACCTAGGTGATAGAGAAACTTCAGCAAGATGATTTGTAAATTGAATGAAATTTTTATTAAATATTATTATTTGAATTTAATTTAACTATTTTTGTAAAGTATTTGAATTTTCATAAACAAAATAAATTTTCTTTAAATTTAAATTTCTTTATTTATATTAGGCCTATAAAAAGATTAATTATTTTGAAAACAAATTAAAGAATATTAAATAAGAATTAAGATAAAAGGTTGATTCAGTATTATTTAATCATATATCTAAATTTTAATTATAACCTTAATGAAAGCAGCCATTTGGAAATATAAATATAATTTGAAAGAAAAATACATAATGGAAAAAAATAGGAGCTTCTATATTTTTCTTTGTTTAAGATATCTTATAATAAATTCTATTCAATCATTTAACTTAGATATATCAATTTATTAAATGAAAAGCCTATATTAAATTAACCAATTTTCATCTATATTATACAACTTAAAATCCTTTATTGGTTTCTTTTTAATGATACATTTTGATTTTTCAAAAACAACATGATTGATAGGAGGAGTAAAAAATAAATTCAGCTTTGTAAGAAGAAATTCTCTTGACTCAAATTTCATAACTGTGAATATTGAGGGGTGCCAGATGATATTTTTATCATGTTTAAAAAACCTAGTAAAAGAATTCTCAGAAAACTATTCTTGGTTCAATTCGAAAAACTAAACAGGACCAAAGATCTTAAACCTAACTTGGATTTCTGATGAACTAACTGCCCAATAAAAGAGTTTTATTAATATTTTGTACAAAGAATTTGAACTATTTTGATTAGAATGAATTTAAAATTATAATAAATAAAAACTATTATCAAATCGAACATTCATTCTTATTTAAAGAAACAATATTTGCTTTTTCTCTATTATTTGTTGATGTTAATTATGTAATAGTCCTTTCAAAGGGTATGGAAACACAAAAATTTAGAAGCGTACTCTTCAAAGTAGACAAGAATATTGGAAATTCAAAATGAAGATTTTTGTTTGAATCATTATGAGTTGACTTTCAATTAGTTTATTTGATTTATTTATTTGGTATATTTTAATAACAATATCATATCACAACTTTTACAACTTTTCGTTGATAAATGCTTAACCAGAAGCAAAATTGCCAATGTATTGAAATAATTAAGCTTCTTCAACTTGACTAAAAACAATTTCTGACTCATTTCTTATCAAATCTATTTGATTCAATGTAGACAAAAGTTTTCTACCGAATTCTTAATCGCCAGGCTCATTTCCAGCCTAAAATAATTTATTTTTCATACAATAATTTTTTCCAAATAAGAAAGTATTTTTTCAATATTTTTGATATTTTCTTAGACTAATAATTGTGGGTTTGATGTATTTACGATTTTGAAATCTTTCTACTATAAATTAGAGGCTAAGAATGGCCATGCTTATAATAAATTTTCATCTGAGAATGAAATCTTTATTGGCATAGTATTAAAGGATGCCACTGCTGCATAGTGCTTTAAAGATTGATTCAGTTTAAAAGCCTAGCTATTTTAGTGAATGTACTTTCATTTCTATCTTGTTAGTACTTAATGTTGGATTAACTTTAAGAATTATAGGTTAACCTAATACTGCAGTAGCATTGAATCCATTCTCTTTTTTACTGAATTCAGTTGAAAGATAAGCAACGCCTATGTCTAATGATAAATTTTTAGTTGTAACAAATCCTCCTAATAAGACTTCTTATGGATTTGCTTATAAATGGCTTAAGTATAAGTCTTTTGCATCACCAAAATCAAATGTATACTCCTAAAGATTCATGCAAAAAATACATTAGTTTCATCACCTGGGTCAACTAATAGTGCAAAACATTCAGTTATATGAACTTTATTAGTATAGACTGTTCCTAATAATGCACCACCAACTATTGTCTCTTCTTATCTTGAAGCACCAAATTTTCTGTAATGCAAGTCTAATATTTAGACTATCACAAGGGGATGTATATCAATTTCAAAGTTTATGTTGCAACACAAATCAACTGTTTCTTGTGCCATAAATTAAATTATTTTATGAAATTAGAGTAATAAATATCATAGTAGAACAGAAGATTTTAGTTAGGGAATAAGAAATAAAAGTAAGGAGAAGCTGTTTTCGATAATATGATGGAGGATTCCATTTAACTTTATATTATCTCTTCTTCACTTTTTTTAAGCTAGCATCAAAATAGAGAAATCTGCCAACTTAGCCCTTTAATAAATCTTACATAAAATAATTACAATACAAATGCCTTTTTAAAAAAATTACTGCAAACTAAATGCAAGATGCTTGAATAAATTATCTTCTAAAAATAATGAAGACTAATTTAGGTTTTAAAGTCTAATATTTTTTTATTTGCATACTACTTTAAAATGTAAAATAATTAAAATTATGTCTTTATGCGTGCTGGTTTTATTGTAAAAAGACTTTTATTTGTTTTTGTAAATATCATATTAAGAAAATATTAGAAGGCTTCATTCTATAATTTTGAATTTATTTATTCGAATAAATGAGCTAAACATTTGATAAAAAAGAAATAGTTTAATCTCTTGAGAAATTATAGTTTACTATAAATGATAGTAACACCATAATTTGTTTTTTTTTGGCTAAAAATTTTATTTTAATACAAAATATTGGTTTTACACATATGGGCTATTAAACTGGGGAAAATTACTATTATTTATATTTGGTTTTATAAGAATCTACAATCTTAAGTTAATATTGCCCAAAATATTAAAAAAAACGGTTTTAGCCAAATTCAAGTTTTGTGAACTTATTAAATATCATTTTAAATGACTATTTTTAAAAATTGTTTAATGAATAAAAAATTTTTCCGATACCGGGGATTGAACCCGGGTCCCCAGGGTGAAAACCTGATATCCTAACCACTAGACTATACCGGAAATGTTAATGATTTTATAAAAAACTTTTAATATTAAGCATAGCACTTAGTAGCTAACTTTACAAAAGCGATGAGTTAATAAAATATTAGAAAATTTATGTTATATAATCAAAAGGTAACGATTTACAAAAATTCTGTCTGAAATCACTTATTTACTAGAACAGTCCGGTAAATAACTTTTCCAAAAAAAGTTAAATTCATTTATCACATTTAAAATTTATTTAGCATACTTTATATGCTAAATAATGTAATTAATTACCAGCAATTGTCTAAAAGAATTAATCATAGAACTACTAAGAATTAATTTTAGACACAAGCCCTCAAAGTTTATTCTATTTTTCATGAATATCACTATAAAATCAGAATTGTAAGAGCTAATAAATTTGTTATTTGGTGGTGAAAGATTTATAATAATAACTCAAATGCAATAGCTGTCTAATTTCGAATGCAAATATATTCTTATATTATTTATTAATATCATTATATTTATCATAAATGTCTTTCGAAATTTCAGAAAAAATGATAGTGAACACAATTGCAGGATTTGGATAAGTGATTAAACTTCCTGAAGGGCCTGCTCCAGAATAATTAATAGCGGAGGAAGAACTTCAATTAAATCATTAGCAATCAGCAGAGAAGCCAGTTATTTCTTGTCCAAGCTCTCCAGCACCACCAGAGGTAAAGGAATAAGCAAATGAAAATGCCTAATAAGCTGATGAACTTTTAGAAAAGAAAAATGAAAAATAAATAGAGAAATAATTAGATAATCAATAGGAAAAATAAAATCAAGTTTAGGCTTAGCCTGCTAAGAATATTGCTCCCCAAAAAGATGTACCTGAAAATTTACCTAATTTGCCACCTCCATTAAATTACAGTCGATAATCTTCTTAACAACCTTCTTAAGAAAAATAATTACTAATAGCTGAGGACCCTTTACCTTTTTCGAATTCCCTTCCTTTCCAATAGTAAAGTTCGGTTGAAAGCTAGCCCTAAAATAAAAAAGCCCCAATTTTGAAGAGATTAACTTGTGATTTAAAAGAATCTTTAGCCTTAGCCAAGAAATTAGAAATTAAATATAAATACCCTTATTCTAATGATGAAAGATTAATAACTATTGATTTTTAATTAGGCCAGATTACAACAATGGTAAAGCATATCAGTAATGTGATATTTCTATTAGTCAAAACTTTTTTTGGCTAAAGGAATTACTACCTTGCTATTGTCCCTGTTAATTATACAGTGGAATAATTAAGGTCTTTTATAATTGATGGGATTGGTTAGAATTAAAAAATGTTTCACAATATTAAGCTCATCCATCCTATGATATAACTAAAAGAATTAAAGGACTCCTAAATTAAATTATCAGAAGTAGGTTTAAAAGATTTTTCCTAACTCATATTTTTAGCAGAAATGACCTTCACATGGGATCCTATTAAAAAGGGGAAAAGCGTGATATTATCAAATAACAATCTAACAGCAAACAAAAAAGGATAATCAGACTATCAAACTGTTCTAGGAACATTGGCTTTGAATTCTGGAAGACATTATTGGGAAATTAAAATTGAAAAGTATGTAGACGAAGAAGACATTTTTATTGGAATAGCAAGGTAAAGTATCAATCATAAATAATTTAGAAAGGAGATTGACTTGTATACTCAACCTACTACAACTGGACACTTTTATGGGTATATTTGCTTATGTGCAAGAAAATTTGGAGCTGATGGATAGATATCTGATTATGGATATTCAGCTGTATAGAATGATACCATAGGCGTGCTGCTTGAATTCAGAAGTGGTATTGGAACTTTATCATTTTATCGTAATGGTGTAAAATGTGGAGAAGCATTTAATAATCTGACAGGTACGTTTTACCCAGCTTTGAGTATGTTTTATGGAGAAGTTTAAGTCACATTAGATTCAAAAGCTCCGCTACCAGCAAGTTGAATGAAATGAATTATGATGTTATTATTATGAATTAATATTATTATTGAACTAACAAGTTTTTAACTCAACTGATTTTAAGACATCTTTTCTAATTATTATAAACTTTCAGCTCAAAAATTGGAGTGAGGTTTAATCAATAAATGAAAAATTTTAATTCTATTTTTATACACTTACTAAAATAATAATCAAATGAAATCTTACTAATTTCGTTCTAAAAAATCACACCATTTTTTGCTAATATAAATTTAAATCATTTTGATCTGAAATAGAATTTTTATGGCAAATTGAAAATGAGGAATGTAAGTATAGAAAATCAATAGGGTCTAAAATTTGAAAATGAAATTCATTATAGCTTCTATTATTAATACTAATATCAAAAAGTAATCTCCACCTCATAATTTATATGTGAAGTTCAAATTATACTAAAGTTGTAATATATCCTTCTAAATAGCTAGATTACATATGATTATTCAGATAAATTGAACAAGGAATGTTTGGCATTTAGAAAAATAATCATCACGATCATTAGTTCAAAATAATGGTAAAATATTTTCGAATCATAAGTAAATTTTAGTTATCAAAATAAAATATTTGATGACATTTTTGTATCAAGAATTATATCAATAAAATATTAAATTTTAAAAAATTTGAATAGAATTGATTTAAGATTGATTTAACCTTACCCGATTAATGTTATATAATTAATGTACATAAGGTATATCTATCATTTTTTTCCTTTTTATTTACCTGCAGTTTTAGCAGCTGCCTTTTAGGCTGCTTTTGTTTCAGCTTTTTGTGCAACTTTTTATGTGCTTGTTACTCCTTTTCTTTATGTTTTTTAGGCATCAATTTATTTTTATTTTCTATCTTTGATCTCTCTAGCCGCTTATTCAGCCTAAGCCTTTCTAGTTTCTAAGTTTAATAAGAAAATTTACTTTCATCTTCTTTTCTTCTTCTACGAATTTCTTCTAATGATATACCAACAATAGCTCTTTAAACTTTAAGATTTCTGATTCTTCTCTTTTTGGCGCCTTCATCAGTTTTAATTTTCTTATTTAATCTTCTCCAAGCAACAGTCCATTAGATTTCTTGGCTTTTGATCTATATAATTAATGCATTTTATTACTTTTCTAGCAGAGAAAGCTCTACTCTTTTAGTTTAAATAATAAAATAATCTGCCATCCTTAGCCACAAATCTTCTTCCATGTCCAGGGTAAATACGCCATTCACTAAATGAGCACAAATCTGTCTTAATAACCATTTTAAATAAATATAAAAATCTTTTTAATAAAATTATTTGTTTATAATATTTCTCAAATAATGTCTAAAGTAAGTTGATCACAAACAAGAGAAATAAGAAAATATGAAATAATTTATAATACTTCATTGTTTCAAAGTAATTAATCAGTATGAATAAATTATATTAAAATCAATTATTGATATTTTTAAGAAGTTGATAAGATAAAAAATTTTTACCAGAAAGATCTGTAGATAAATTAATATTATATTAAGCAAAAGAAAACTAATAATAAGAAATTCATAGTGATTGATCTTAATGAGTTTGACGAGTTGAATCTAAATTTAAAGGAGCATTTCTTATAATCATATCATAATTATGTTAGTATTACAGCTTTTGATCTCAGCACAATAGATGATCTAGTTATTTTATTTACAAATTAAAAATTACAAATCAACGCTTAAACATAGAATCTAGTAAAATAATACTAATAAATTATCCTTCAAGTTCAAAGATTGATTTAATAGTTTATATTCATTATTTTAATTTCTTTAAATTAAACTATAGAAAAAGGAATTGTCATTCTAATTTCTAGTTCACATATGTGACATTTTGAATTAAACTATTTTCTCCCTACTCATATTATTAACTAAAAGCAGAAATTCTTCTCATTTAATTGATATTATATATTTAATAGTCATTTTCGATTACATTTTTATAACAAATTAATATGATTTATATATTTATTTACTTGATCAAAAACTTAACAAATATTCTGTATCAACACCCCAAATTGGTTATCTCTATTTTTAACAACTATTATTGTTGCTTAAAGAGAGTTCAGTTGATGCTTTACTAATTGGAGAATCACTTTAAATTCTTTATTCTAAAATGTTTTAAGTATTTACAAATTCTTATTGCACTTGATGCTCTTTTATACATTTATTTTAGAATTTTGCTGCATTTCGGGTTTTAGGATTCTTGTAGAATATCCTGTACTCTAACAAACGAAGTTAAGTCTCTAGATTTATAACTTATTAATAAATCAGCATTGAGAAGGTTCTTTCTATACCAATTATCCATTTCTACACAGGAAAAGGGTCCTTTAGTTTTTTTAATATAATGAAATACCTTAAATGTTATTGATATTGTCTAAATAGTACCAATTTCGTATAATTAAAGATTGAAAATGAGAATATCTTGAAAAAGAAAAAGGACTCATGTTAGTTTTAGCTACAGGCCATTCTTAAGAGATATTAATATTGTAATTACTTTAAGGGAAAAAAGTTCTAATTTTTCCTTTAGAATTCTTTGATTAAGCAGACCTGAATAATTAAGCAGAAAGTTATGGAGTAGTAGTTTGACTAAGAGCAGACATAAAAATTAGTCCATTTTCAGTTACTATAATCGAAATACCACTAATTTACTTTCAGATAAGTTTGTGGCTAAAGGAGGTTATTATTCATCAGTAAAGTAATCTGGAAAGTCATTTAGTAAGTTTTTTGGTATTAAACAGTCGACCTATTCATATCCAAGTAGCTCTAAAGCTTCTTTCTTATAATTCATTTTATTATATATATAATTATATTTATGTATTTATTTGTTTAATTTTTATGAATAAAATGTAATTTTCCTTATATTTAGAAACGCTTTCACAAAATTCTATTTCTCAAGATCACTTTTGGTCTTAAAAATCAACTATTTTTTTTCGTAAATTCTTAACAAATTTTATTCTATAATTTTTAGTATGATATTATTCTTTTTAATTAAATTATTATTGCAATTTTGATTTTATTATTTAGACAAGAAGCAGAGATTGTATCTTAATATTTTGAATTTGTATTATGTTTTATATCTTAAATTAATAACGATCATTACTCAAGACTAGAACTTCATTCATGAATATCTTCTGATTCTTATTTGTACTGAAGAGTTTTGTAACTGATTCCTTTTAAAGTAACTACAAATGAAGAATACGTAGATAGATTATAGGAAAAAGTTAATGCAGAAGTAAAAATTCAATATGAATAGAATGATTAAAACTGATTATTAAATTATGTTTTTTTATATTATAAAAATGTAAATTATTTCTGAATTGAAACTACTAAATTCATTTAGATTTCTTTATGTTTTTTATCGCTTATTCTATAACACATAGGAGTTCATCGAATTTATTAGTCTTAGCAATTTTAAGTGATTAGGAGCGATTAATTTGAGATTAAAATAATTATCCTAAATGTTCCCACTCAACACCACCATACTTATAGTACATTATAAAAGTTAGTTTGAGAAGTGGTTTTTAATCTTGAATTTGATTAATGAAGTGCTATATGGAATTCAATTGATTGAGAGCTTACGTATGTTGGCCAGAGGTGAACAAGATAGTCTCTAAACTCATTCGACTAGAGACAATACTAATAGAATCTCTGGGTTCTAATTTATATTCTAATTCTATAAAATATTTAATAGTTTTAACAGCTACATGATAGTTTTCTTTGACCTTATATTGTTAAGCAATATATTGTAGCAACTGTATTTCATATTTAATGTATGTATTTCTATCTAATATGTTTGACATGGTTTTGTGTGTCAATAAATCAAAAGCCTTGGATAATATGAAGGGATCTTCCGAGTTCAAGTTCTTAATGTAGTCATAAAGCAATTCATCAAAATGAAATGGTAACTACTCAAGAAGTACTTTGACTGGGTAATCTGATTTATTTTCAGAGACATAAACCAAACAAAGTATGATTATTTTTTCTCAAAAAAGAGGATTCTTCAGATTATAAACATTGTAAATAGTCTGCAATAACTTATTTTATTACATTTTATATGCAAAAGATAAATAATAAGCTCAATCTTTTAAGAGAGTTGATGGCTCAAAGGTCCATCCAGGCTTATTTAGTGCCTCACAGCGATGCTCATGACGTAAAACTAAGTATTAAAATAATAGTCTGAATATACATCTGACTCAGATGAACGATTAGCTTTTATTTCAGGATTTGATGGAAGTGCAGGAATAGGACTAATCACTAATTCAATAGCTTACTTGTGGACTGATTCAAGATACTATTTGTAAGCTGCAAAATAATTGGAGCACGGATGGGAATTATAGAAATTGGAACCTGGTGTGCCAACATGGGTGGAACATGCTAAGGCTAATTTGAAAGGACAAGCAATAGGCTATGATCCCCTATTGATTAGTCATTGTATTATTACCTTAATAATTTTAAGAGCTCAGAAAATCAAGGGGAGCCTCATTGGAAGATGTACAATTCAAAGCAATCAATGAAAATTTGATTGATTTGATTTGGACAAACAAACCTCAAGATTCTTTATCTGAGGTCATTATCCATGAATTAGAGTATCACCAATACCCGACAACAAAAAAGATTTCTTAAATATTTGAAAATCTAAAAGGGAAAAACGCAAAATCTATTCTTATTTCTAAGTTAGATTAAATAGCATGGGTTTTAAATTTAAGAGGAAAGGATATTAAATTTAATCCATTATTTAAGAGTTACTTATATCTAAAGGATGATAATTCTGGAACTTTGTTTATCAATCCAATCAAGGTCAACTAGTAAGTCAAATAATACTTAACTGATAACAACATTTAAATAAAATCAATCTCAGATGTATTTGAGGAGAAATTCGTTAATGCTGCTATAACTCCAGGTGAAATCAATGATAGATTAATTCAACAAGTTGAAGATCCAATAGTTTTGAATGCATGTCCAATTGAACTCCTAAAAGCTATTAAAAATGAAAGAGAAATCTAAGGATTTAAGGAATCACATATAAGAGATGGGGCTGCCTTGGTACATTACATAGGATGGCTTGAAAAACAACTCCTTGATGGCGCAGTGTTAGATGAATTTTAAGCAGCTGAAGTGTTGGCTCAATATCGTTATAAATAAAGTCGCAATATGGGATTATCATTTGATTCCATTTCCAGCAGTGGAGCCAATGCTGCTATAGTTCATTATCATCCAACTGAGAACAACAAATCTGTCATAAATCCTAATCACATCTATTTGATTGATTCTGGTGGTTAATACTTAGATGGAACCACTGATGTCACCAGAACTTATCACTTCACATAACCAACGATAGAAGAAAGGAATGCATATACCAGAGTGCTTTTAGGCAATTTGGATATAGAAAGATTGAAATGGCCAAAGAAGAGTAAGATTCACGGAGGAGACATGGATGTATTAGCTAGAAGATGGTTATGGGAAGCTAATTTAGATTATGGACATGGCACTGGTCATGGAGTTGGATATTTCTTAAATGTTCATGAAGGACCTCATGGAATTAGTAAATACAGAACTGAAGTATTTCAACCTGGTATGATTGTATCTAATGGTAAAATAAATTTATTATCCATTTTTAGAGCCTGGATACTATGAAGAAGGGAAGTTTGGCATAAGAATTGAGAATTTGATTCTCTGTGTCCAAGCCAATGATCAATTCTTAGGATTTGAGAACATAACCTATTGTCCATATGACAGAAACCTAATCAATTTAGATTTGTTGAGTCCCAAAGACAGACAATATATCGATTAATATCATGTTTTGGTTAGAAAAACATTGTTACCATTGATGGAAGAATAAACAGCTAAAGATTGGTTATTGAAAATGACAGAGCCATTATGAGGAACATTAAATAATATACATTTATTCGAATTTATTTTATAATGTCTTACCTTTTCTGATTTATTGAGTCCAAGTAGAGAATCTCATTACTAAAATCTCAATATTTATATAACATTAAATTTTTGAAGAAATTTATTCAAATTGTTTTCTTTAAATCACTCACTTTCATTTAATTCCTCCAAGTATTACTTGATTTCATAGAAAGTACAAATTTATTAATTAATTAAATTATTTATAATTAACGATCAAATAAATGGAAAACGAAAGTTATTTCAAGACTGTTACTTCTATTAAATCTAATCGTTCAGAATATGAGCTTAGCAAACCTATGAAATCCCATGATAGACCTTTGAAGGAATCTGATCTTGCTTTGTACTAAGCTGCAAGGGAGAAATGCGCTAACAAATAAAATGAAAAATTATCTACCCCTTTATTTTAAGTTACTACCCTAATTACAAATGCAGCTCCTCTTCACAAACCCACAGTAAAGACTACTCAATTTAGCAATTAACCAACTAGTGTTTTTGATGTATCCAATTATAATACTTTAGTTTACTGATAATCGTAAGGAATAAAATTTTAAGCCTCACTGTATCAAGGTTACTGAGCCTGGAAACAACTCGGATTTAGTTTACAAGTAATAATTAAAAACTTCCAATCTCCCAAATAGAGAAAATCTATATCGTAATCCTATTACTAATGGAGATCCAAAGAGTGAATATAATAGAAGCACCAAAACTCCCTTTCCAAAAAACCAAATAAACTTTGTTGGTTGAATTATATATATTCTAAATTATATCTATATTTACACAGAATAATATTAAATTAATTTAAAAAGATCTATTTAACTAAGAAACTTTACTAACTCTACTTAATTTTATGTTGGTCAATTCTAAAAATTAAATACTTCATAGTATAGTGATTTCCACATATATATTTAAGGAAAGATATACTTCATATTTATTTCAATTTAACTTACTGATTTCAGTTTTTTTTATTTTTTTCTCTTATACAATTCACTCTCCTTCTAAAATATTTCAAATAATATAATAAAATCTTCATATTTCTATTTGTTTTATGCATCAAATTAAATTATATATATATTTTTTCCTTAATCACATAGTAAATGTTCTTTATTTTAAATAGAAGCTGAAATAAAATGGTAGACTTTCTGATAATTTACTTTAAGCAGCCCCTACTGAGTTCTATTTAGAGTATAAATTTGGATAATAATAGTGACATACAATGATAGATATATTCTGTCAGATCATGGCAGGAGTGCAATATTAACATAATTAAGGGATAGTCAATTGGTATAATCGATTAAAATTGCAATGGTAGAATTGATTATTAGGGTAAAAATTGTTATCTTTCAAAATAGAATTCATCTTTAGCGACTATAAATTAAATGAAATACTTTAATCAAGAAAAATCATTAACGCTATTCTAACAAATAGATAGAGACCATAGAGGATAATTAAGCAATTATAAGTAAAGAAACTTTTGAGAGAAATACATATACCAAAAGAGAAATTAGATAATTTATCAAAGCAATTAGATTAAAATGGATATGGTTAAATTACTTAAGAAGAATTCTTATAGAAAATGTTGCAGCTATTCTGAATTTGTAGTTTAATTTTCGACATTTATTGTAGTTTTAGAATTTATAAGTGTTATAAATAATTTTTAATAGAATTGTATTAATTATTCAAATCATTGGTTAACTATGAATATGAATTTTAAAATAGTTATTAATTGATTGAGAAGAAACGATATCTAAACATGTTGAATATTGAATGCAAATTATATTATTCATTTAATCTGAATTATATTTATGTATCATGTATAGTATGCTACCAAAATATTTGAAAATTTACATTATATTTAATATAAGTTATACATAAATAAATGGCAAAATAAGGTTGGGGATTTTCTGGAAACAATGTCAAATTAAATACAAATAAGTAAGGTTAATAAGAGATTTAGTCGGGTGGAAAAGAAGTTAAATATTTGGGAAACAGCTGGAAAAGCTGATGACATTTAATATATTCCTGATGCTGAGGAGGAAAAGAAACCTTAAAATCAGGTTTCAGATGCTGGAGTGGTTTTAGGTTAAAAGTTATAAAATATTAATGAATTGCAGAATTTAGCAAAAATATCATCCTTGCCTTAACCAGTACTTACAATAAAGAATTTAAATTTAGGCTGATGATATTGATTTTAGTATTTTGACGTAAGTATTGAGGCCGACAGAAGAAGTATAAGAAGTTGATGAATAGTGGGAATTTTCGAAATTAAAAACTGAAATGCAGGAGATTGTGAATAAGCTCTACAGCAATAAAGCAAATTCTTGAATTATATGAATTAATATTATATAAAATGCCAAGAGAATTGATATTTGTTTAGGTGGGCTAATGTGGAAATCAAATAGGGATGAGATTCTGGGATTTGGCCTTGAAAGAACATGCCAAAGCAAAGTAATCCCTTCTGTATGATGAATCATTGTCTTCCTTTTTCAGAAATGTGAATTCAAAAAATTAGGAATTGAAGATAGGAGACCCCATTCAAAATTTAAAAGCCAGGGCTTTGATTGTAGACATGGAGGAGGGCGTGATAAATTAAATAATGAAAAGTCCTTTGGGAGAATTATTTGAGGAAAGATAATGTATTAATGATGTATCAGGAGCAGGAAATAATTGGGCTCATGGATTCTATCATTATGGCAATTAATATGAAAAGCATATTGAGGAGAGATTAAGAAAGACTGTCGAACAGTGCGATTCATTGCAATGTTTTTTTATGACTCATTCGATTGGTGGAGGTACAGGTTCTGGCTTGGGATCTAGAATTGTGGGATGTATTAAACAAATTAAATGATATGATAGTATTGGAAGATAATTACCCTGAAGTTTTTCGATTTACAGCATCTGTATTTCCATCTGGCGATGACGATGTTGTTACATCTCCTTACAATAGTTTGTTCAGTTTATACGAGTTAGCCAAACATGCTGATTGTGTGTTTCCAATTGATAATTAAGCATTGATTAACATTGTGGATTAAATAGATAAACCAAACAAGGCAAGATTGGTAAAAGAAAATGCTCATGAGGGAAGTGTAGGCATAAAGATTACATAATTCGGAGAAGAGGAGAAGAGATAAAAGCCTTTTGATAAAATGAACAGCTTGATTGCACATCTATTAAGTCATATAACATGTTCGATGAGATTCGAAGGAGCCTTAAATGTAGATCTCAATGAAATCACGATGAATCTGGTACCATATCCAGACTTGCACTTTCTTATCTCTTCAATGGCTCCATTGTATAGTCTTCTAGATTCCAAATTGTAACCAAGAAGATTAGACTAGATGTTCAATGATATTTACCATCCTGATTTTCAAATGATCACAGGACAACCGTCACTTCATAAATACTTAGCTGTGGGACTTTTAGTTAGGGGAGATGTTGCATTTTCAGATGTGAATAGAAATATTAAGAAATTAAAAGATTAATTGAAAATGATTTATTGGAATCAAGAAGGTTTCAAATATGGAATCTGTAATCAACCTCCAATTGGTTAACAATACTCAATGTTATGTTTGGCAAATAACACTTGTATTAAAGACACTTTCTAAGAAATGACAGATAGATTCTAGAAACTCTACAAGAGAAAGGTTTACGTTCATCATTACAAGTAATATATGGAGCAGTCCCATTTTGATGAGACCTTAAATGGAATATAAAATTTAATGGTTAAATATTAAGATTTAGAAATGGCCTAACCAAAGAAATACTAAAGAATTTAACCAATATTTTGAAAGATTGTGATATTAATTAATTTTTAATAAATTATAATTAAAGGTTTATTCATAAATTCTAAAAACGTAGATATAACAAATTTAAGTGTTTTCCTGCATTATGTTGTAAAGGCGCTACTTGTAAAAGAATAGAGAAATGCAACCTTTAATATTTTGAATCGAAATAATTGTATCAAGCTGCATTTGAAGATATTTTTGATCACTTATTTTTAAATCATTTAACCTTACATCCATTGTTTATTTTAAATTAGAAATAGGGAAAAAATAAATAAATATAAACTTAGTATTAACTAAAACTATAACAATTGAGAAATAAAGAAGTAGATTTTGAATAATACAGTTTTATAATAAAATATTCTTTAGAATGTAAATTCTTATGATCCTTAGAGTTAGAATTTTGAGAGTGGAGTCAGTCCTAGTAAGATTAATGCGTTTATGTAACCAAAAAATAGTGAAATTTTTTTCTCAGATTTCACAATTATATCTATTATTTTACATTATTTATATTTAATATTTAATAAACTAAAGTGTAAAATCTCAAAATTCAACAACTTAAAATAAAGAAAAAGATGTGAAAATCAATTAATAACAAAAAGTACTAATTTAGATTAAAAAATACATACCAGAAATAAAATTGATTAAATTAAACTTTAATTGAACAGTTGTTTGAAGCGAAATAAATTAAAAATAAAATAGATTCTTTGGAAATTTATTAATATATTAATGTGAGACATATTGTTTAAAATTAAGTATTAAAATGATTTAATATTATTGTAAATAATAAAATGGATTCTCAAAAGAGGAAGCGTCTAATAATTTAATATTCGTTAAAATTAAAAGAACTCAAAGAAGGAAGAGATAGTTCTGAACAGAAAGCATAACGAGCTCATTAAAAATCTCGAGTACTCAAAACTGAGTCCTCTGTTTCATTAGTTAAATTACCACAATAAATTCAAATGCCTCCCGTAGATGATATCATTTCTAAGGGGGAATGTAAATTAATTTTCTTACAAACTTAATCTGATGATACAGGATTTCGTACATTTAATGAAATGATGAGGACCAATTCAAGTTGGCTTACCTAAGCAGATAAATTGGCGAATACTCTTAGTAGTCCAATGCAATTAAAGAACAGACTTCAATTTAATCATACTCAAGCATTGAAGTTCAAGAACCGAATTGAATAAAAATGGAATATGACAGTCAAAGAAGTGGCTGATACTATAATACAAAAATAAGAATAAAAGGACCAATAAAAAATTAAATTAGTTCATTTAAAGATTAATCATTTTGATACTGACGAAATAGGACAATAGCAGGAGGAATGTCCAACACCTTCTCAATCATAAGAAGTGATAACTGCAAATTTAAAGTTTTTTTGGTTTCACATATCAATATCAGATTGGAAACCACCTATTCGCGAAGGTTGTACAGTGACTTATATCCAAAATTTGAATAAATGCATAATGTATGGTGGAATAGGAAATGATTTATTTAAGACTTTTGTAACTCTGAATACTCAGACATGGGTATGGAAGGATATTGGACCTGGAGTAGGAGATGTCCCATTAGAGGGTAGATTCGGACATACCGCTACACTTTATAAGCAATAATTGATAATTTATGGAGGAGAGAAAAAATACAACAGTGCAATGAAGATGAGAGAGTGTTATGGGGATGTTCGTATATTTACTCCAAGTGATAAAACCTGGATCTTGATTAAACCATACGGAGATGTAGTGGAAGGGCGACGCAATCATTGTGCAGAAGTAATTGGTAAATATTTCATTGTTTACGGTGGGATCAATTCATATGGTAAAATCTTGACAGATGTGGCAGGGCTTAATTTGGAAACATGTAAATGGTATTTATTAAACTATATTGCTAAGGACTTCATTTCAAATTGAGAATTCAGTTGGATTGGAAGGAGTTTCTGATGCAACCTCTTTGGCCATGTTCAAAAGTGAAATTAAAATGGAAAACCCTTATTTCAGTTATGAATGGGTCAAAAAAAAGGGAAGGTCTTTCTTGCCCATTACAACTGAAGGCATTTATGTTTTCGGAGGGAGATTATAAAATGGAGAAGCAATTAATGACCTCAGAATTATCTAGTTTGGATTCAAACCGATTAAAATTACAAAAGTCAAGACAAAAGTAATCAATTATGTAATTAGGGATAACCACCATTAGCTCGATATTCTCATTCAATGAATTACTTTAGATAAACCAATGTCATCATTATCTATGGTGGCAGGAATGACTCAAAATAAGGAAATATCCTTAATGATATATTTGTATTGCAAATCCAATAATTCTCATGGTCTTAAGTTTAATAGATCTAATAATTGTACTCATTCATATTTATTAGTAGAAAAAATGGCAAGTGCAGACATTCAAGTGTCTCCATTGATTCTAAAATACTTATTTTCGGAGGCTATGCTTAACATGTGTTTGCCAATGCAGATATCCAATTATTGGAATTAGATTAGAATAAAGTGGCTAAAATGATTAAAGATAATAAAAGTAATAAAAATAGAGATGTTGTTATTCACAGTGATGAATTAGTTAATAACAACACTCTCAAAGTTTTTAAAACTGAATACTATAATGAGGCAGAAGACCCAGATCTTAAACAAAAGAAAATCTAAGAAAATGAATTCCAAAGATTATGTTACAGCAATTTCAAAAGTTTCATGCCTCTGCCTCCACAAAATCATTCATCTTTGGTTACTGAATACAAAAATAAGAGAGAATAAGCCAAATTAGAAATTCTCAAAAGCTAATTTAATGATGTAAGCAGAAGAAACAGTCGTAGAACAACTAGTGACTTCAAAATTATTGAAAAATGATTAGAAAAGAAATAATGAAATTTTATATTTTGTTTTAATTTAATTTATGATCACCGTTCCCCAAGGTGAAAGATTAGAATGTTTCAGAATGGATGGATAATTCGTAGGGACTCTTACATTAAATAACACTAAACCAAACAAGTACTTAATTAATTAAATCTAAGCTGTTGCGCCTTTAAAATAAGGACAAATAACACATAAGATATTCAAGTAATGCCCCATATAGGATCTTTTACAGGGCAGTATTTTAAAGTTGTCGTTAAATGTCTAAAGTATTAATGTATAGATAGATCATTTAATGTTAGCTAATGCAAAATTATAGGTTTTGATTGTGGATTTAACTGATTAAAATTTCAACAAATCCGACGTTAAGTCTCTAGCGTCTTATTTTGATACTTATTCTAACAGCTCATTTGTTTAAAAAATTAAAATAGAAATAATTACTATCGATCAAAATTAAATGACCAAATAATCAAATATCATTAATCAATCAATCTCCTTAAGTAAGAATATAGAAGAAAGTATTTACCATTAACAAGAATTCACTTACGAGCAAAATGCTGTTCAAAGAAAAAATGAATAAATGAAATAATAGCAAAATAAAAATCCGATAACTAATTCTGACCCATTTTAAAGTGTTAGTAGAGTGTCTGCTTCTGAATAGAAATATCTTACATCTACTACATTTCAATAAATTAAATAAACTCCATCTAAGCAATCATCAAATTCATAAAATAATCTGCCCCTTGACTATCTACCTCCAAAACCCTAATCTTATCCACATTAACCTTAACAACCAAAATTGCATAATTACTAAGCATAAGATTTTGAGGAGGACCCATAAATCTAACGATTAAATCTCAGATTAAATTAATTATAAATAGAATTAAATAAACAATAGGAAGAACTACAAAACAATGAAAAAGAAAAAACCTTACTGTTAAATTAGGAAATGGATTAAAATTAAGGATAAATATTTGTGAGTGTCCAGCATATATTTTTTTCAGCATTATTTTGTTTCTTAATAGGTTATGTGCCACAAATTGATTTTTTATTTTTTATAAAACTATAAAATTCCATTATTTCTTCATAAATATGTAACATATAGTTAAGATTAAATATTACATATTCATAAAATATGCAAATAGTTTCAAGTTAAGCAACTGATAATATAAAACTGATTAATTAATTAAAATTGTATTCCAAATAATAATATTCAATTAAGAATAATTTATAAGTAATAAAAAAATCTTTTTATTTCTAATTCAATGACAACAATTATAAAGAAAAATTTCTTTAGAAAGTTAGATCTAGAGTATTTGAATTAAGCTTTCATTATAAATGCCTATATTCATCGGATACAAGGATAGATAAAAAACATTTTATCTGAATTGATTAAATTTAATTATTTCTAATGACAAATATATATATATCTTCAATTTGATTTTTAATATTCCAACCAGGTTTATAATTCTTTCTTTGTATCTAGATACTCTTACGAATTAATATCAACAGCTCCTAAGATATCAGCTAATAGATTGTCCTCTGATGGAGAAGCAGCCTCTAATTTCTCTTTTAAGGCATTTTATTTAAACAATTCTGGCTCATGCTTATAAATTGCTGCTATATTGCAATCCAAAGCATCATCAGCATTTGGATTTTAAAGCATCACTGAAACTGCATCAAGTACTTTTGTAGTTGTGAGTAAAGGACTCCATGAAGTATTTAAAACATCCAAGCAAAGTGATCCGCCTCTACTGACATTAGGATGATATAATTTAGTGATGAACTACACTTTTGGAGGTCTGAAAGGATAATTTTAAGTGAAAACATAACTTAAAATGTATAATCCACCTTCATAAACTGTGCCTTTAGGACCATATAATAAGATCTTCCATGTTTTGATATCATCAGCAGTGGGATAACATTTAAAATTCAATTTATCACCCTATGCTGTAACATCTTGGAGTTCTTTTAAAATTCTTGCTGTGTTATTTACACTCTAAGAGGTTGAGCTAGAATTTTAAGGGGCGCTTTCGATTTGTGATATTTTCTTTAAAATTTCTTCTTTTTTCATAACTGCAATTTTTTAGACATCCATTGATACAACTTTCATTCCATCAGTATCAAAAGGTTTATCTTTCAATGAATTTAAATCTTGCAATTCTTTTGGATACTCTTTTTGTTCTCTATGGCTTATACTTAATATGCTTTCTATTTCAAATAAAGACATGCCTTCAGCCAAAGTTTAAGGACAATAGCATCTACCATTTGTTGCATGAGTCAAAGTTTTTAAACCAACACAATCATTATTTACAACAAAGGAATCTATTATAATTTAATTTTCAAATATTCTATTAACTAAACTTTAAGGATTTTCTTTTGATTAATTATCGTCTCCATCAGTTAATGCAATTATTCTTAAGATAATATTTGGATATTTTTTCTTGATTTCTTTCAACTATTCAATTGCATAGGCTATTGCATCATAACATTTAGTTCCACCTCTTGGGGATGCATCATCGACTAATTTTATGAAATTATTAAAATCGTTTGTGAAGTCACATTTATCTGTTATAAAGGATTCAAACCATACAAGTTTTACTATGTGATTAAATTCAAAAGCCAATGTTTTATCGGCAAAGGCAGAGAAAAACGCATTGACAGCTCCAATTCTAGATAGTTCCTCTTCTTTAAAATACATTCCGCCCATTGATCCTGAAATATCAAATAACACAACTATAGCTTCTACAGGATCATTATTTTGATTGAGATCTTACTATAATTATTCTTATTATTCTTCTTAAGCTACTATTTGTTGTTATTATTACTGATTTACTATATTTTATTTTTATTCCTATTACACTACCTTTACTATATCATTTGTTTTCAGTAAATTTCCAATTGTTTCACTTTCATTTAAAATAAATCCTTCTTCATCTTAAAGCAAAACTTAATTCTCATCAATATTAATTCCATTCTCTAAAAAGTTCTTAAATATTTATTTTTTTAAGTCATTTATCTGTTTTTAAGGATCATCAATAATTAATTTTTGTTTTACTTCTCCAAAGGTAACTCTTAATATCAAATTTTAATTTGAGTTCATTCTTAGTTATTTTATATACTAGTAATTCTAATTGGCTTAAAAGTTTTAATGAAAAAATTCTAATGGGATCTGATTAATTCTGATAGTAATATTGGGAAATAAAAAAAATATTAAAATTTTATAATTGAATAATACACTTTAATTCTTTTAATAGCATTATAATAATTTACTAAGTTAAAGATTAAATAATCATTATTCTCATTTATAAGTTATCCATCATCTTTTGAAAACAATTTTCATTACTTTCTATACACTTTATTAGGGAGTCAGATTTGTTAATTATAATAATTATATATATGAAATTTATAATTGATCAAGCAAGCTTGCTTAAATCTTCTTACATTTTAACCTATTTGTAAATTAAAGTGTTAAATAATTGAGATACCTCATGTCTTAAATTATAAAATTGATAAATTAAATTAAATCATTTAGAAAAAGATTATATGTATAATTTTATAGATTATTCTTCATTTCAAATAATACTCATCATTTTAAGTAAATATATCTTTGTGTTTTGATATATATTCCAAAGTCATCTCTTTGCAATAAAAGGCAGCTTGCTTAGATGTACAAAATGTATTTTTTGGAACATATCCATTTTCTTTAGGTTAAAATTCAACTTCAAAAAACAATTAAAAATTCAATCTTTCAGAATTACTTAATCCGTGATCTATTATTCCATATGTATGAGATACAATGCTTTTGATTTCATCTAATCCCACTTAACCTTAATCAACTTAAGAATTTGAAATTGTAATCATGCTAACATGATCAATTGTTTTGACTGAGTTAATAAAATCTTATGCTAATACAGGTTGAAACTCTGAAGGTATTCCAGGTTTACCTTTTGATTTGAGTTTGCTTAATTTTTTTAATCTTCTTAGCTTCAATTTTTAAATAGGTAATTTTATTTTAGGTTTTTTGTTTTCTTTTGAAATTTATTGCTTTTCTTGGAAGTTACACTTAGATTCTTCCTTTTTTATACTTGGTAATGTTTTCTAAGGTTATTAATTAGGTTCCTTAATTTGGAGACTATTAGTAGAAATTATTACAGGATTCTCTCTTACAATAGGTTGCTTTTCTTCTTATGAAGACAAACTAATTTTTAAAGATTCGGAATCAGTAATTACAATACTTGGTACTTGCTTTGGGGGAGGAGAGATAGTTATTTACTTCAATTTTTTATTTTATAGTGGCTTTTAATTTTTACTAATTTTATGATTTTTTAGCTATTTTTATTTAGTTGTCTTTTTTTATTATTTTTGTGGGATTGGCTTTTCGTTGTGGTTAGGGGATGAACTTATTTGAATGACAAAGTCATCTAATCTAGTTTATTTCTAATTTAGATAAAATGAATTACTTTTGGTTTATTAGATAAAACATTCCATTCAGATGACAATTTATTTCTAATCTATCGAAATGTTAACTTGGGATGAATTGATTTGCAAATATGCTTATTTCTCTCTATATAGTCTTCCTCAGATTAGTATGAGGGTTGAGCTGAGATTGATCTTCTAGTTTTCATTTTTATGATTAATTATTCTACTTATTTTTGAGTTCATAAATAGTTTTGAATAAGTAACATATATGTGAGTATAAATATATTGAAGAAAAAGTTTAAAATAATGGAAATTATTAAAATGAGTTTAGAACTAAGTAAATATTCGCTTAATGGATCTGTGTTTGGCAATTCTGTCATACCCATGATTTGCATTTATTTTGTTCTTCTCTAAATATTTTTAAGAAAATCATGTTAAAGTAAAAAATAGAACCAAAATCTATTCACTAATTTTATAAGGGATTGTTGAGTCTATTTCAAGTTTGTCTAATTTGAGATTTTTTGGAAATAGTAATAATTTTTGAATTAAATTTAAAAAAATGCTTCAATGCTTAGATATCATTTACTCTAGTTAGATAATCTACTAGTTTTAAATCGTATTTCAAGATTCAAGTTGAAAGTCCGCAGAATCTAGTATAGATGAATATTAGTAATATTAATATAATATTAATAATAATATTTAATAATAAATTCATGTTGTTTGATCCTAAACAAGAGAATTTGCCATATACATTTGCCTTGATCAAACCCAGATACAACTCTTAAACCAAATGTGGTGTAGGAGGTTGTAAATAAAATTGAAGCAGCCGGATTAACTATAAAAAACTTTGTTTAAGTATAGTGTTTAACAATTATCTATTGAGAGAACTCTACAGAGAAGAAGTACTGAATCTGTTTTTCAAATAATAAAAGTATATGGATGAAATTATGACATATATGTTATCAGGAGAATGTGTAATGTTTCTTTTATGCCATGAAACTGAAAATCCTATAATGGTGTGGAAAAAGATGATTGGAAATAAAGATCCAGCCGAGGCTAAAAAAGCAGATCCACAATCCTTAAGAGCAACATATGGAACATCTATAATTAAAAATGAATTTCATGGTAGTGATGATCCATTTTCTGCTAACAAAGAAAGAGATATTTTTAAGTTCCCAATTCCTCAAAAAATACCTGATTTCAAGTTTGACAAAATGTTAGTGTCTTTAGAGACACTATTTAAATTTTTATATCCTCCTAACTTAGAACATTCAAATGCATTAGAAAGACTAGACATTTTTGCCATTTATGGTCCTTGTGTCAATTATCACAGTGTTGATCAATGTCTATGTAGGGAATGTGCAATCGTTGGAAAAGAGCATCTAGAAGGTGTAAGGGAATCACTTATAGCCACTGAACAAACAAAATTAGGAATTAAAATTCGACCCCAACCAACAACAGCTACTAAAACATAACTGCCGTAAAGAGTTCAACTACCACCTATAAGATTATTGAAAGAGGAAGACATCAAATAAGTTTATTAGTAATTGTGTGAAAAGTGTCAATTTCATTGTAATGGCTACGCACATTTACAAGGTGGAAGGAATATGCAGCATGTTATGACTGATTAAGAATTAAACACTTTAGCCAAGGAGATGAACAAATAGGAAATCTTGGAATTACTTTATAGTGAAAAGGGTAATGCTGCTAATGTCATGATTGAAACTATCGACCTTAATGAACCTAATCATTACACTAAGGAAATGATTGAATTATTGTTTCAGGAATTAGAAACTGACTACTATAATAGATTTAAATTTTATCATCTTTAGAATGTCATTTTAGAAGACAGAAGGATTAGAATGAATGCTTGGATGAGCATTCTAATAAATAAACCTATTCATAGATTCAAAAATCCTAAATTGGTATGTAAAGTACCACCTGAAATGAGAAAGAACCCTGAAAGCATTCACTACACCATCAATAGAATCTTACCACTTAATCAAACATATAAGAAGAAAGACATTACTAAAATGCCTTTGGATTTCCCACCAAATATTGCAGATAAGGAAAAACTAAATCCAAATGAAGAGAAGCTAGCGTTGTTGAAGAAACTTCATAGAGACACACATCACATGGTTGAAATTTAAGATGCGAAGAAGGTTTTCATATTTCTCATTCTTTTAGGTTGTTTCTAATGGTGTATACTTATTGCGTAAGTATAATGACGGAAGAAATGGTGATTGGGATAACTACTCATCACTTAAGGGCATGAATAGAGGTTCATATGTAAATTACGAAGAAAAAAAGAAAAAAGAAAAACTTTGATTTGTTTCGTATGCATTATCGATTAAATTTATTATCATTTAAATTCTACTAGACTTTCAGAAAACAATATACAATATTAATAGAATTATTATTCAATATTATAGTCGTGACTATTAAATTCATAAATCGCGTGCATTAATTTTGAGATTGATAAGTTTATATTATATAAAATATTTTTAATGGAGGTAACAATAGAATTACAAGGCCAATATTAAGTTGAGTCATTTGAAACTATTTTAAATGAGAAATCTACACTTTTAAATATTGCAGAAATCATTTAAGAGGCTTAGTATTATGAGTAAATATTTTATCAAAATCTAGATAGTTTAACTTAAGTGAGTTATTCTGTTTGGAGGTAAAGGGCTAGAATAAATTTATAAGTGGAAGGTAAACATCAATTAAAGCATGTCTAATTTAATATAAGATTGACATAAGAGTGCTAACCTTCTATAGAGGACTGGATGGCTAGAAAAAAAGTTTGAATTCATTCATTTATTATAGTGAATAAAGGAGTGGTTCTCGATTAAAATATCAGAGTGGAATCCAATACCAATCAAATCAACCAACAGGTTGCTTCGCCAGAAGAGGACATTTGGAAAGTTTAGAAAAATACTTAATAAGCAGGAGGAGTCATTATCGGAGGAGGGAATATTTCAGCATCACAACATTTAAAGAATTTGGAGAGGAATATTAATCAGCAAAATTAAAAAGTCAATTTTGATGCTCCAAATTAATTAGAAACAGTATAATCTTATTCAAACTAACCTATAGTGTAATAAAATTCAATCATAAATTCTCAACCAAATTAAATCGGATAAGCATAAGTTAACTTATAATAAGGTACATATTTTGGAAAGAACTAACAATAATTTAATTAATAATAATCAGCCTAAGCCGTTAATTAGTTGAAAATTTAAGAATAATAAATTAGAGAACCATAAAATTAATATTAACCATCTAATATATCAAACTAAGGAGGGTATGAAATTGGTGGAGATGTAACATAAAGTCAATATATAAGATAATTACAACAAAATAGCTAATCAAATATTGAAAGATAACATTAATAACAAATTGATCCCTTGCTTACAATGTAATCAGCTCAATCGCAATAATCAAGTTCTATAAAAATAAAAGATATGGTAGATATTTAATAGTCTCAATAATCTCAGAATACAAATCAAATAAGCTCAAAGATTGTTGTAAGATAATAAATTCAATAAACTTAATAAGACAATACACAACCAGTTGATCATCTTTTATAAAGACAATAGCCGCAATAATAATAATAATATAATAATAACCAACCAACTGATCCTCATTCTTCAAATTAATAGCCACATTTAACACAATAAATTAATAATCAGCAATCTGACCTTTTTTCAAGATAATAGGTATATTCAACATAAAATACATAATCAATGAATAATCAATCAGTCGATTCTTTTTCTTCAAGATAATAGGTAGAATAAGCATTATCAACATAATAAAACAGTAATCAGCAAATTAATCCTCTTTTTTAAAGACAATAGGCTCAATCACTTTATTAAAACAACAACCAACCTTCTGATCATCTTTTCATAAGATAAACACAATAACAATAACAATAACAATAATAACTTAATCATCAATATGTTGAATCTCAACTTACAAAATAGTATACGCAATAACCTTTAGAAAATAATATCCAACTAGATGAATCTCTTTTTTCAAGAAAAACAGTGTAATAAATATCATAAACAAGTACCTCAAAAGACAATAAGACTAATATAAGTCTAAATCCTTAAGTACAACCCGAACAATCAATTCAGAAATTATATTAATTTTTATTACATATGAATCCTTCTCAAGAGAAGAGTTTAATAGAGTTTTTGTAAGAAAAATAAATTTAATATAAATATACCTAAAACTGAATTATATTAAATAATATTTTAATATAAAATTTAAGAAAGAATTTTAATACCATTTAAATTTACTTCATTCTCATAAAAGAAAATATATAATTATAATGTAAATACAAAGAAAAGATCATAGCAAATTGGCAATAATTGGAAATGTTGATTCTGGTAAATCAACCTTAGTTGGTGTATTAACAAAAGGAATTTTGGACGATGGAAGAGGAGGTGCAAGAGAAGTACAAAATATTGTAATATTTAGCGTGTCTTCAATTATAAACATGAGAAGGAAAATGGAAGGACTTCATCTGTGGCCTAGGAGATTATGGGCTTCGATGAGAATTTGAAATAGGTGTTACCTGAGAGATTCAATCAAAATAAAAACAAATACTGGAGTTAAGTTGTAGAGAAGAGTGAAAAGATTGTGACCTTCTTAGATCTATGTGGTCATGAGAAATATTTGAAAACCACTATTTTTGGTTTAGTAGCAATGATCCCTGATTACTCTTTGATCATTGTAGGCGCAAATATGGGTGTGTCAAAGATGACAAGGGAACATTTAGGTGTCAGTCTCTTTCTTAAAAATACCATTCGCCATCGTCTTGACAAAAGTGGACATAGCACCCTAAAATATTTACAACGAAACTATAGAACATATCAAATCTCTGATAAAGAGTCCTGCGATTAAAAGAACTCCAATATAATTTGATGAGAAATCTGATATGAATGAAATAGACAAATGGGCAGGATTAATGCATGGAAATAATGTTGTGCCCATCTTCCAAGTCTCCAGCGTGTCAGGAAATGGATTATAGCAATTGACTCGTTTCATAAGCAAAGTGCCAAATAGAGATCAACTCAACAAAGCATATCAAACAGTCAACGATCCATTACAATTTGACATCTAAGAGAACTTTAATGTTTCAGGTGTCGGAATTGTAGTGAGTGGAATAATAAGAAGTGGAAAAGCAGTTCTAAACTAACATGTGCTTTTAGGTCCAGATAAGGCTAAATGTAAATTTGAAATCCTATAGTAGAATTTAAACCTGTGACCATTAAATCTATTCACATCAATAGAGTCTTGACTGATACTGCACAAGTAGGAGAATTTGCTTGCTTTTCTCTAAAACCCTCCAAAGCTGGTGATAAATTAGATAGAGCAGATTTTAGAAAAGGGATGATTATCATTGACCCAGCTTTAAAATAGGAACCTGTAACTGAATTCGAAGTATAATTATTATTCTAAATCAGGCCAATATCCATATCCTTCATCATCCTACTACAATGAGTAAAGGATATCAAGCAGTTATGCATTGTGGAGTTATTAGATAGGCAGTCGAAATTAAGAACATACTCCAAAATGAAGTATTGAGAACTGGTGATGTTGATACCGTTAGGTAAATTTCAATTCTAATTGTTAGATTAAAATTCTTATATGCAGCTGAATTTCTATAAACTGATTAAATATTAGTAATAAGAGAGGGAAGAACTAAAATTTTTGGATATATCTCAAAATTAATTACAGATAAATAAATTGAAGATGAGAAGAAAGCTTTAGTCAACCCAAATCTTTAAATAAAACAATAACTTTGATTTGTTATTTTATTTTAATAAATCTCATTTATATTAATTTTTAACATAAATTTATTAATACGAATATAATTATGTTTTTATAGTTTAGTTCAATGCTTTCTAAATTAGTATAATTCATTAAGCTGATTTATTTTCTCTTATTTTGCTTTTCTTTCTAAATTTAAACGATTTTATATTTCTCTCGCTCTTGATTTTTCGGTTGACAATTATCCATTTTTATGTTACTTTGAATCGCTATCTATAAATGACCTTCTCTTTTCATTTTCTTCTTGAATTCTTCTACTAATTTCTTCATCAATTTTTTTCTTTGGATCTTCATGTTAGGTAGATTCTAATACACTTACTCTTCCTCCTTGAACAAAACTGCTTTATAAAGGCGCCTTTAATTTATTCATGATTTCCTCATACATTTCATCCAACTACCTTTAACATTGCAATTACAATCTTTGAGACTCCTATTTAATTTAGATATCGATATCCTTAAAACTAGGTTCAACTAATTAATGGATCAATTAATTAATTCTTTCATCTTGATGAGTAGCTTAAGAATGAGAATAAATAGTATACTCATTTGATTTATTTCTCTCTACAACATGAGAATGGTTTTTTCAAAGCGTTCAATTTTGTAAGTTAGACCTTCATCATTTCTACAACGATCCAAATTCAAACCTTGAAACTGGTGAATGACATGATCCAATTATTTATTTAATTCATTTATTCGCTTGTCTTATAATTGGGTGAGATTTTCAATAAATCCCAATCGATCCTCAACGATTTTGAGTCTCATGCTCATGTTTTCGTTCTCTAAAAACATTTATAGTAAAATAAAATAATTATAAAATAAAATGTAAAGAATATAAAATGAGGGTTGCTTAATATATTTTTTAAGAAATAAATTGTTATCATGCTGATGATCTCTCTTAAAGATAAACCTTGACATTGGATAGTTTGGTAGCCAAGATCTCTTCAACTTATCTGATGATAGAGATTTCTTATTATCTATGTTCAGATTCTTCAGCATATTGAGTTCTCCATGCATCGCATTCAGCTTCCTTTTATTCCTTTCCTGATGAGGCAGCGTTCAACTCGTCGGTAGCATCTTCCTTTCTCTTCTTTTATAAGTCCAAAGCTTATTAATTATCTTGGAGTTATCTTTGAGAATCTTCTCTGGCAGCACTCAAGGATTCTCTTTATGAGCCAATTTCAATAACCAAAGCTTCGAAGTCTAATTAAGCTTAGATTTCTGTTTGTCTGGCAGCTTCAAGAGCTTCAGCCAATTAAGTACTGACTTCACCTAACTTGTTGATGACATTGTTTAATTATTCAGCTGAGAAGGTTGAAGCGACTTACATAAGTGCAAGGATTGGGTTGGTTGCACCAATCTTATTCAATTGTGTCAAGGCAGCCAAGACTTCTTGATCTGGTTGGATGGAGCTCAATCTTTAGATAATGACTTCGACAGCTTCAATGACATTTTCTGTTTCATTTTCAAACTTCTTGAAATTTTCAGCATCTTCAGCTCTTTATTCTCTGATTTATGTTTCTTATTCGTTTAAGATATCTAATTAGACTGTCTTATCTTCGACATCTTGAGTCAATTGTTCAACCTTGGCACTGAGGCTTTAGATTTCTTGGGTTGATTCAGTGATTTCGTTGGAAGCGAAGTCAATTCTTCTGTTATATTGGTAGATTTCTGTTTCGCAATCAACTTCATCTTAAGCGTGCTTTTGGTCAGCTTCTTGTTGGTTGAGGATAAGATTTTCTCTCAATTATTGTAACATTTTAGCGATGTCTCCCAATGGGGCCTTGTTATTCAATTAGAGTGCAATTGTGTCCAATAATTTTCTTCCCAATTCATGTTCTTCCATTGCTTCTAATTATGTGAAAACTGCCTTGCTTGGGTCGTTGGATCTTTTAACAAAAATAGCTTGTGTGAGTGTTAATCCCAAAAGAGCGATAAGAATCAATTTCATAATTAAATTATTGGCATAGACTTAAAAGGAAGATTCACTTTTCATATTACACTATTCGTTTTTGTTCCTTCAAAAGCATTTATTTTAAATAAATTTTAAAAAACGATTACTCGATTAAAATATAAATAGAATTATATAATAACAATCTAAATCCATCAATATATTATAATTCATATATATTCATTTATTCAATAGGTATGATGGCACATCTGCAAAAGTTGGCTTGAGCGTGTAGTTTCCCGGTCCTGGCACACTCTAATCTGTTTAATTTAGATTTGGTCTTAGTGCTGTTCCGAATCCCCACTTAGGCCCATCAGAGGAACCTCTCAAATTATAATTTCCAGGCCCTACAAATTGAATAAGCAATTATTACCTGGAGCGTCTTTTCCAAAACCAGCATTCAATTCAGCTCTTTGACCTGTACCAATTTTTGCTGAAGCAGGACGCTGTTTACTTGGTCCATCATTGGGATTATATGCTCCTGGACCAGGTTGATTCAAAGTAGTAGTAGGTTCGTACTTACTTCCTAAAATCTAATGTTTGGGACCCTCCCCCATTTTAGTGTTCAAATCATAAGTTCCAGGTCCTGGGATATCTCTTGTGTCACTCAATGGCCTACGAGTAGCACTACCAATACGAACTTATGCTGATTTTGGCCTTGCAAATTCATATCTAGATTCATAAGTTCCTGGTCCTGGAGTTCTGAGCAATTCTCGATTCAAGCTATCTCTAGTCTCATTTCCGATTTTATAGGAAGGAGGTCGCAACTTTTGTTTCTTATCCCAATTGTATGTTCCAGGTCCAGGCACATATTCCTACTGAGTTTAATTTCTTCTAGAAAGCATGGAAAACCCTTTTTGTGAAACATTAAACTCGCTTCTTGCTTCATATTCTCCTGGACCAGGATTCTTTATTTCTGAAAACGCTCCTCTTGATGCCGTCCCAAATTTATATTATGGACCAGCACTATTTGGTCTTTTTAGATATGATCCAGGTCCTGGGGTACGAGTCACGTCATAAAATCCATCGCGCTTAGAGTTGGGAAATCTTATAGTGAAACTACGATTACCTCATACAAGGAACTCCTACTACCGTGGAAGGATTTTCGTAAGCTCCAGGCCCTGGTTATAATGTAGAGTAGGTTTACGATAGTTTGGCTCCCATTGAATAATTAGGAAGAGCCTTCACCATTGTTCGGTAATTAGGATTGTAAGCTCCTGAGAAAAATGACTGCTTTATATTTACCTGGTCCTGGTCCCTATTTTGCTAAAATTGTTGGTTTCTTAAGACCAAAGGAATACTTTGGTCCCTCTTTGGTTACTCTCGAAGGATGCTCATAGGCTCCAGGTCCTGGTGCAAATACTCTAAGAAGGCCACTTCTATTGCCAGATCCAAATCTACTTTAACAGGCAAAATTTACTTGAAAGATGGAGGCGTCATCTTCTGTTTTTTCATTGGTTAGTAAGCCCCTGGGCCAGGTGTTTCACTTCTGGGTTGAGTGGCTGATTTAGTTAAAACTGATAATTACATCGTTACGCTTTGCCAATTGAAAAAGCACTCACCATTTTGATTAATTTTATTTATAAGTATTATATATATTTCACTATGTGTTTGTTTAAAAAACTACAGTTCAAGAGAGTTGGTAGATTGATGATTATGGATGGATTCTGAATAGTAGGTTTATTTTTTAAAAGTGAATTTTATATAATGCAACAGTTATAGACATTGAGATAATAAAATTGATAATTACAAAAATAGTCCTTAGTAAGATTTTGTAATACTTTTTCAAGTTCATTCTGGTTGCACTCAAGGGGATTTTAAGAATTATATCTTTTTTTGTATCTAAATGGTATGAAATAAATGATGAATGTAATTATCATATATTATTATGGCATAGTTACAACATAAGTTAAAGCGCAAAAGTAATTTTATTAATTATAAATATGTAATATTAATTGGCGCCCATTTTATCAAATTCCCACGATTTGTGATCAAAAATAAAAATAAATGGCAAAACAAAATAACAAGCGACAATTTCTTGTGCCTGAATATGCCTCCGAGTTAAGCAGTCTCAGTGAATTTCTTGCAGAGTTTCGTGACAATTCAATAGTAGAAATTGATAATACTTATGGTTAACGCAAATACATGGTTGAGTTGGTATGATATAATTGAGAGTAAAATAGCAAAAAATAGCAAACAGATAAACTAATCGCATTGATATCTATGTGGAGGATCTTGAATATTTCTTCAATGATAGAATAGATTTTGTTAATAAAATAAAGACAAATACATTGTCATATCAAAGATTACTTTATGATGCTTGTGATACCTTAATGCCGCAATAGTCTAGAGATTTTGATTAGAACTTTGATTTGTTTGATGAGGAAATTAATGTTCAAAGACAATAGAATATGGATTAAGATGGAACCAATAACCAATAGAAGAGACTCCCTCCCGAACTCATTCGCAGATAGTAAATTAAATAAATAAGTGTAGTCAACTATTTATAATTCGAGGACCACAAACAAAGTAGCAAGTAATGGCCATAAGAAATCTAAAGGCACAATTGATAGGATCTTTAATTACAATAAAAGCTATGGTAGGTTAGAACATCTGAAGTCAGACCCTAAATAATAGTTGCTTGTTTCTCATGTGATGCATGTGGATATGAGAATTATTAGACAGTTCATGGTAAGACCTTTACTCCAATGCTCGATTGTGCAAGTGATAAATGTAGAGATAATAAAGTGAGAGGGAGGTTGATATTCAATCATGGCAGTTCAAAATTCATATCCAATCAAGAAATCAAGATTTAAGAACTAAAAGAGCAATTGCCTAAAGGATCAATCCCAAGAGCATTTACAGTTATGGCCAGAGGAGACAGCAACATTAGAATTTGCTCTCCAGGAGATATGGTTACTATTTAAGGTGTCTTTTTACCAGTTGAAAAAGAGGGGTTCTTTGCCAATAAAGCATCATTCTACAGTACTTACATTGAAGCATTCCATATTAAAAGAGATAAAAAGAAATTCAAAGAAATTGATATTGAAAGTGTCAGTGGTCATAAGATCTTTGAAGATATCAAGAAATATCCATTCAGTGATTTGTATATGAAATTAGCTAAGTCTATTGCTCCTGAAATCTTTGGAATGGAGGATGTTAAAAAAGCATTGTTATTAATGATTGTAGGAGGAGTAAGCAAAGAAATGCATGATGGATTAAAAATTAGAGGAGATATTAATGTAGCATTAATTGGAGATCCAGGAGTGGCCAAATCTTAATTATTAAGATATATATCCCAAGTTTCACCCAGAGGAGTATATACTACGGGTAAAGGGTCATCTAGTGTCGGTCTCACAGCAGCTGTCATTAGAGATCCTATCACTGGAGAAATGGCTTTAGAAGGTGGTGCTTTAGTTATGGCTGATAGAGGAGTATGTTGCATTGACGAATTTGATAAAATGAATGAAAGTGATAGAACTGCCATTCATGAAGTTATGGAACAACAGACTGTCAGTATTGCTAAGGCAGGTATCACTTACTACTTTAAATGCTCGTACATCTATTTTAGCAGCTGCCAATCCTCTATATGGAAGATACAATAAAAAATAGACCCCACATCAAAACATCAATCTTCCTGCTGCCTTATTATCGAGATTTGATCTTATTTTCATATTATTAGATGAAATCAATCATGAGGCTGATACTAAATTAGCATCTCATATTGGTAGAGTTCATCAGAATAAATACAAGGAAAATGAGACTCAAGATTTATATTCAGTAGAAGAAATCACCACATTTGTTGCCCTGTCCAAATAATATGAACCAATTCTTACTGCTGATATACATTAATACATAGCTGATCAATATGTTGAAAGAAGAAAATAAACATTTGATAAAACCCTTGATGGATATTCCTACACTACTCCAAGAACTTTATTGGCCATCATTAGATTATCATAATCTATTGTATATTAAATCTTTATCATTTTAGGCTAAATTATAATTGGCTGACAGAGTCACTCAAAGAGATGTTGAAGAGGCTATTAGATTAATGGACATTTCCCAAGAGAGTGTTAGGAGAGCATAATAAATAGATGGTATTTATATTTATGTTATTTTAGACACTGTCTAAAGAAAGGATAAAACTGCTAAATTATATGAACTGTTGTCATCTTTATGCAACAAAAATAAAGGAACCATAACTAAAGATTCATTTGTTAGATAAGCTATTAGCAAAGGATCTTAAATGTAAGAAATCGAAGAGTTTTTAAATACATACTCATCACTTAACCAAATTCAAATTCATGGAGATCAAAACGATAGAATTACTCTAGTATCATGAAATTATTGTATTTTATATCAATCTTTATTTTATTATCTCAAATTACTCTCCTGAATTAATTAATTTTAATTTCAGATTGAATCTATAATGTTTATTTCCACTTCTTCATTCTCTTTTTCTAAAAACCATTTAACGCTTAATTGAAGGTTAAATTTTTATATTTCAAACTTAATATTAATATAAAACATGGATCTAGGACTTTTATATGGTTCTAATAAATGCTCATCAATGTTTTGAACTATTTATATGCTAATTAATTAATTCTATCGATTTAATTTTCTTGCCACTGAATTTATGTATAGAAGCCAGTATTTTATCAAAATGTTATTACAAAATATTTATCTAATTCATTTGGTTTAATCTGTATCTATAAAAGAGTCATTCATTTGATAAAGACTCATGAATTAAAAATATTCTAATTCCCTATGTATCAAGTTATTCTAAGTGAAGTAATTCTAGCATACTTTAAACATAATTTTATAAGATGTTTATTATTAGAAGTGTGATTTTCTATTTATTAATATTAGTCAATTAAAGTCGTCTTACTATCTTTCCAAAGTAGATATCATCTCTGACATAGTTGATTAATCTCTTCCTACATTTCTCCTTCGAGCTGGCTTTTTATTGGTTTGTATTGTCCTTTGATGCATATTTAATTAAATTAATGAATGAATCATCTACTATTTCTACCTATCTTCGAACAGAGACAGATGAAGTCAAAGAATTCAGTAGTAATATAATGACTCAAAGAAAGAAAATTCCATAATTGAAAAACTTGATTTCGCCTAGAAAATCGAAGCAGGTTAAATTCAATCCAATAATTGATTCAGTTCGTAGCAGTCAAAGTCAAAGATCCTCAAAAGGGAATTTAGGTCTGCAAACATAAAATAACAATATGATATTTAAAGATTCCTTTGAATTGTTCTTAGATGGCAAAATAACGAGTGTTGAATTACTGCAATTATCCAACTATCCCAGATTGCGATAATAATTGATGGAGGATCATGCTGATTCAAAAGGAATAAGTATTTTGGGACCACTAGTAAGGTTTAAAAATAAATTCAAACACAAATAAGTTAGAAACACTCAAGATGATAGAAGTGTCTATTTAAAATCCAAGCTGCAAGGATTAAACAATTTAATTCACACGAGAATGATGCAAAAGAAGGAAGACAATGAAACTCAAAGAAGATAAAATCTTTAAAATGTTGGGTTGTTTAAAACCATCGTGGATGCTTCTGAAGGAATAGAAGACAAATTGGCTTAAACTAAAGATCCTTTTGCTAAGAAGATTCCTTCAATTAGATCTTTAAAGACTATGACGGTCAGCTATGACGATTTGAAGCCAAGTATAATTCATATCTATTCAAAGTTATCAAAAATGCAAAAGAATCACCAGCAATTTCAAAAATCTTTTTAAAAAACAATCTAACTGAATCAACCAAAAAATATATGGATGAGGCTTCCAGACAACATTATCTCAAGTAACAAGAGTTAAATAAGCTAACCAAAATGTAAATTACCAAATAATCCAACTCCAAGTTTTCATTATACAACAAGGACGTATTGACATCCAAAGATCTAGAACTCTATGATTATCTTCACAACAAGCCAAAACCAATTGTTCTTAGAAATCATTTCACTGAAATGGATGAGGAAACCATTCCAACTCATGAAATTATTGCTACTAAGATAGGAAACCAAAGACTCAAGAAGAGATATCATAAAACTGAATAAAAAATTCATGAAGATTTGGACAATGAATCTCATACTTCTTCATTATAATCTACTTATGAAATTCATCTAGATAATTTATATTCTTAAACTGTTGACTTAAAAAAACAACTCACAAAAAAGACTACTCTTCCAAAGAAAGTTAAATAAATGATTAAACTTGATGAGCTTAACTAACAATCTCTTCAGGCGAATACATTCAAATTGACACATTGAAAAAATTATATTTATATATATTATCAGATTTTTCTTATATTTTATAGTCTTATTAAATGTCTTTCTTCAACATCTTTTATAGTATTTAATTTGGCTGATGAAACCTAAGTTTTTAGTTTGGTTATAGCAAATTAGTCGCTTTGTTATTGTTCTTACAAAATTTTAATTTATTTTTTTAAATGTTAATTTGATTCTGTAACATCTTCATATTGCTTTCTAAACATCTTTTCATCAACCTTTTGGGATTAGTATAAAATTGCTTATTTACTTACATAATCTTCATATTGCATTGCCTTACGAGAATACTTTTCATTCTACTCCCTCAAAGCTTTAATCTATTCTTCCTATTCCATCAACAAATTCAATTAGTCTTTTGCTTGATTTGACAGTTCTTATAGTTATTTTTATTATTCTGTCAATATTTCTACCTTCTCTTATAAATTTAATTAGTTTTCTTAAGATTCCATTTATTTTAACTAAATCTCTCTTTCTAAATCCTTTTATACATCTTCAAGACCCTATATTTAAGCCTTTAAAGTCTTGATGATTAATTCATACTCATTCTTCATTTGAATATCTTTAGATTCAAATTCTTAAATTTGTTTTTCTAAAGTGTTTTTAAAATGAGATTACATTGAATATCTAATTTATTCCATTTTATCAGAGAATTCTCTTTAGGCTAAATCATTATCCAATTTCAATTATTTAGCCACCATTTAACAAGTTTATGTTGAAACCAGTTGTAACTCTTTTAATATTTATAATCTAAATGTTTCCATATCCAATTTTAGACTCTAAAATATCTTTTGTAAATTTGATTTAATTTTATTCCTAATTTCATCCACCTTGAGTTTATAATTTCTCAATTTCCTCTTATAGATTTTCTCTTGATCATTTTGTTATGTTTTTATATTAGCTTATTCTTATTGATACTTTTTCTTATACCTTTCCAACTCTTCAGTTATGTCTATTACTTTAGTTTCTAAGGATTTTATTTATTTATATTGTGCTTCATTTTATTATTTCTATTGCTTTGACCTATTTTCCAAGCATTGCTTATCAATATTTAAGGTCTCATTTGTTTTTTTCATGCTCTGTATTTATTATCTTAATTATGTTACTGTTTCCTATTCGGTTTTTAGTGATGCCTTTAATTACTTAAAATCCTTCACAGCATGTTGCTACAATTCTCTTTCTTTTGTTAAAGCAGCTTATTAATCGCTAACTACATATTCCAATTCTGCCAGTTTTTATTATAAATTTTAAAATTACTCTTATTCTTTTTATTTATAACTATCTTATATTTAATTCAAATTTTGTTCAAATTCCTCAGCCAATTCTTATTTTTATTACAACACATTTTCTTGCATAATATTTAATTTCTATTCGATTTCTTCCAAGGCCTCTTACAATTCATTTATTTATTAATTTTGTTCTTTGATTATTTTTTACTTTTCTGTTCTATCCTCATCCATCTCTCTTAAATCATGTCTTAATGAAAGGCATTCTTAAATAGAGCATTCCAATTGTGCTTTCGTATGAGCATGTTCTTTCTTCCAATATAATTCCGTATGATCATCAAGCGCCTATTCAAAGATCGATTATAATCTATCTCAACTCAACAAATATTTACTTCATTAAAATATCTTAAGAATCACTTCTATGAGCTAAAAGTTTCTTCAATTCTTAGTCTAATTTAATTTATTGCATAGTTTATTACAAGAGAGCTTTCATATTTAATTAAAATAATATAAATCATTCACCATGTTTTAAGAACCCAATAAATTTATCTCCAAATTTAGGAGACTATTATTATCCTTATGTTTGATTCTATCGATTTCGATATGGATCTATTGTAATGCATTCAATTTACTTGTTTTTCTACATCATTTTTTAGTTAAATCCAATAAACCTGTTAAAGTTTCGAAATTTACCCTTCTTAACATTAAAATCAGAATTGTATATCTCATATCATATTATTAATAATGCTGATTTTTATCTAATTTTATTATTAAGAATTTGAGCATCTGATTAATGTTCATCATAAAGTTCAATAAGAAATTCATGTTTTTTATAGTTAATTCATCCATTTACAATTTCAATTTAGAAATACTTAGTTCCCCTTTTCATTGTTTTCCTTAAGAACTTTAATTAGCTTTAATCTCCTTTACTAATCTTAAATCTTTATTTCTCAAATTCACCCTCAAACCTTTTAATTATTTTATCCTTTCAATCCTAAAATAATTATAATTCAGCATTGATTTCCACCTTCTAATTAGACTTAGTCTGTTTCAATATTGGCACTCTATAATGATTTAATTTCGCGTCACCATTCCTTGTCTTTTTAGAATTCTCTTTTGTATACGCCATTTCCTTTTTGTATAAAGTAAATGCAGATTGAAAATTCAGATGAGCATTAATTATTTAGTTTTCGCTTTCTTTGCATCTCATATTATTAAATCTTGTTAAAATTCTTCACTAATGATGCTGCTCCTCTAGCCTTAATAGTTAATTAAGTAATTTATTCTAAATTAACATCTGAAATATTATTAAAAATTATAAACCATACTCAATAATATTTTTAGAATAATCATATATAAAATTTAAATTTTTATTCTAATCGCAAATCTAAAATTAATATTCATTAAAACCAATAGAATTAATTGTATTTTACTTTTCTAATAAAATAAACTAGAAGGATAATCTCGGAATAAAATTAATATAGAACTAGAATAAACAAATCATAATCCTTCTGAAAATTTAAATACATTTACTAATACAAAGTAATTGAGAATATAAATACTCATTCGAATAGTAAGTGATTCTGGAATATCGAGAAATCACTAGGTTTTTCGATAGAATAATAAAATTCGATACAATAATATTAACGTTAATTGAGAAAAAGATAGGATTAAAAGTGGTATCTATATTGATATCTATTTTATATATGATTAATTAGGTTTTCAACAATATTGGGCTAGATTTGACTAGATTGAGTAGGATTTTATAACCAATTAGGATTAATTAGATAAAAAGTTAGAAACGGATGGATATTAAAACATATGATTTATAAAAGTTACCCTTAGATTTGATGTAAAATTCACGTTAAAAAAAGTGCTAATCAAATCTTTTGTAAGGCTGAATGAAAAAGATTAAAAGCCAATTTTATACTTCAATTGTAAAAGTGTCAACAATTTTATGATTTTATGGTAACTTGAGAGTTGAATTCAAGTTATATTTGTGTATTCTCAATTATGAAGTTAATTTGAGATTGAATAAGGCATGGTAATTATATAAATTCTAAGAGTTTGTTCATTTATAGTCTAAATTATGAAAATCAGATAGGGATTATGGATGCTCGAACAAATGAGGAATGTGCATCAAAATATACAACCAAGATTAGAATTGAAATACATAAATTTTATTAAAAATGGGTTGCGGTTCATCTGATTCTTCTTCTGCAAATAACCCCAGAAAAGTAGAACGTCAAAAAGAGTTCACTGGAGAAAAGATTTCATCGGAGATCTTTGTTGACTTAAAGGACGGCAACATCTACGAGGAATATGAGGTCAGGTCAACTTTGGGGGAGGGAGCATTCGGTTGTGTAAAATTAGTAGTTCATCGCAAAACTAGTATGAAGTGATATAAGCAATTTAGAAATGGCATATGCTATGAAACAAATAAAGAAGATGGGATTAATTAAGGAGGACCAAAAGATCCTATTTAGCGAGATGGACATTTTGAAGTTAATTGACCATCCCAATATTGTTAAGTTACACAAACTGTATTAGGACAATATCCACTATTATCTGATCACTGAGTTATGTTAGGGTGGAGAACTATTCGATAGACTTACATCTGAAAAGAACTTCACTGAGAAAAAGGCAGCTGAAATTATGAAATAAGTATTATCTGCCTTGACATATTGTCATGAACGAAAAATCATACATAGAGATCTCAAGTTGGAGAACATACTATTGGAAACCAAAAGTGCGAATTCGAATATTAAAGTAATTGATTTTGGCACATCTCGCAAGGTCTAGGAAGACGAAAAATTAAAGTTAAAAATAGGGACTGTACATCTTTATTCAAATATAAGTTATATTACATGGCTCCTGAAGTTTTCCAAGGTCAATATGATTTAAAAGTGGATGTCTGGAGTCTTGGCGTGATCTTATATATTCTGCTCTGTGGATATCCTCCTTTCAATGGTGATGACACAACAATCAAGAAGAAAATTTAAAAGGGCACTTTTGAATTCAACGGTATTGATATCCTATATTGTCCTCATTAATAGAAACTGAATGGAGGTCTATTTCGAAAGAAGCGAAGGATTTAATTTGTAAAATGCTATAATACGATCCTTTACAAAGAATCACAGCTCAGTAGGCTTTGTAGGATCCATGGATTCAATCAAAAGCTCCCAATACTCCAGTATAAGCTAATGCACTCAATAATTTAAAAGATTTTTATGTATATCAACAGTTTGAATGTTAATTTAGAGCACATCAAAATTAAAGAATGCGATATAATTATTCATTGTCACTCAGGTTACAAGTTATTAGGAAAAGGAAGAGCAATTAAAATAATTTAAAGCGATGGATACTGATGGGAATGGAACAATAAGCCCAGAAGAATTAAAGAAACATTACTCTAAAATCTATGGACAAGAGTCAGCTGAGAAATTAGTATAAGACATAATGAAATAAGTGGATATAAATTAATCAGGATAGATAGATTTTATTGGTAATTTCACTTTCAATATGAATATTATTAGAATTCTTAGTTGCTGCTGCAAACAAAGAAAAATTACTTTCTTAGGAAAAACTGAAATAAGTATTTTAGATGTTTGATAAAGTAATGAACATTATAATTTTAGAATGGGGATGGTAAAATTTAAAGAGCTGAACTTTAATATATTATGTCTGGTATTCGGATTGATGATACATAATGGAAAAACATTTTAGAGGAATGTGATAAGGATAACGATGGAGAGATTTCGTTAGATGAATTGATCATGCTAATGCAAAAACTAAAGTGATTTCAGCGAATTTGATTAATATTTTAAAAAATAAATTATTAAATGAAATCACTACTCTTTGGAACTTTATTGATTTGTATAGCGTTAAGTTAAATCACATACGAGGAATGCAAAAGGGATTGTACAATGGATTGGTTAGATTGCACCAGTGGGTGTGATAGTATTGGTAATCCATCCTATTGCCATAAAAATTGTTAGAAGTAATTATAACCCAATATGTAGTGTGGTTCATGGATGTTTGGATGAATGTCCAAAAATAATTTGTATTGATGAGTGTCGGATCATATTGGAACAGTGTCGTAAAAATGGAGCAGGGATTTGCGAAGTACATTTCAATCAGTGCCAATTGATCTGTGAAGATACTTATAATGAAAATTAAGATATATGAATATATTTAATTAATGTATAGATAGGCTACGAATGCTTCAAGATTATATAATTAATAATAATATATAATCAACATTAAAACGATGAATTTATATTCCGTTTTTGGTATTATTAAAATAAATATGAAAACATTCGTTGTGATTTGCCTCGTAGCAGCTGTGTTTGCACTTGACACAAGCAAATTCGCCGTGCTTCTCCAAGCAGGCACAAGAGGAAATGATGCCGTCGAATCAGTTTACAATCTCTTGAGAGATTTGAAGACAGAAAATGTTAATGTGTAAGCTGCTGCCGACAAAAAGAACAATACAGATGAAGGTACATCATTCATTCATTCCTTCTAGAAATCTTTTCCCAAGTCATTGGCGATTTGACTAATGTTGCCTCACTCAACAAACAATAATGGGAAAGACTTGGAGCAGTCAGAACAGATGTTGAAGCCTAAGTCAGAGTAAGCAAAATGATTTATTCCTCAAGGATGGATATTAATGGTTGGCCTGGGCTGAATCCAGACTTGCTGAAATCGAAAGAAGAAATGCTTAACTCCAAGACCAAAGATGTTGGGCCAATGGACTCTTCGTCAAATCCCTTGCTGATCACGGTGATGCCGTCGCAGTCGTCTAACTCTTATAATAAGATGTTGCTGGTTTCCTCACTAACAACGCTGGAGTCGAACTCGTTGAAAAAGCCCAATCTATCGCCGATAAATTATCAGCATACAGCCATCTTTTCTAATAAGATGCCCTCCAAAAATTCTAATCACTTGCCGAAGTCAAGAGAGAAGGCACAACCGGAGAATAAGTCCTCCAAATCTTGTTTGACTTACAAGCTGAATTGGAATCCACTCTTGCCACATTATAAGAATAAGAAATTCACGCTGCCTTCGCTCTTGCCAAATACGTCTCAGACACCAATGCCGAAGTTGCCTGGTTGAATTCAGAACACGAAAGAAGAACCGGACTTGTTGAGAAATTAGAAACTGTACCTTTTTACATCTTATTATTTTTATAGCAACTCCCAGCCGTCCTTGCCTAATAAGCCAAAGCACTCAAATTGTGGAAAGATTCCTTGAACGCTGTTGCTGGTGCCACTGCTGATTTGGAAGAGAAAAGAGAATTCTATGCCTCCGAAACTGCCAGAAGAGCCGGTACCAATTATCACAATAATCTATAGAGGAAAATGCCATTATCGATGTTGTCATCTAATTGTTCAAAGATTAAGTTAGATCCTTAGCTTCATAGACCAGTCTTGGAAGAAAGTGATTTCCATTAAACAAATATAATCAATTTAAAAAATGAATCATTTTTACATCATTTCAATCCAATTCTCCTTACTTTTGAAGATTTTCCAATATTTCTTATATTTAAAGAATTCCTTTATAAATGCATACCAAATTAAAGGTGAACAAAATTCACTTTGAGTTTCAAACCATAATTCAATTCTTGGGTTAATATGATACTTCAATAATCACACTTAGAAAAGCACTCACCTTTTCATTTAGAAACCATTCTCTAATATTTTGCATTTATTAACCATCTTGAGTTAGATTATCAATTTGGCATATTTTATGCATTCCTCAAGGATCAATAACGGCTTTTGGCTCAAGTATCTTGTAGAGTGAATTCAAATCAAAGAATTTTCATTAAGATGAAGTTTCCCACATAATTTCAATTTTTGTAGAATTAATATGTTATTTTTATTTATTTCCTTATATATATTTATTGTGTGCGTCATTAGATTATCTACTTTATTATTTCTAATCAGATTTTTCATGAATAGCAATTTCTTTAATTAATCCAAGACTATTAATATTCTAAAAATTAAATTATTTTTCTTCTTATAAGTATTAAACTGAATTAACAATCTAAACCCAAAACTATGTATTGGACTTAATAATCAGACTGGAATTTTCAATCTAATCTAAACAAAATACACATATAGAACTCAAGTATCAAATTGTTTAATAAAAAACTATTGTGTTAGCTAATAATAATTCAAATATATAATGGTTAATTAATCAAATATTTCAGCCTTATTTTTGATGTAATCTAGTTTTGTGATATTTATTATAAATCTTAACCTATGAATTTCAGTAGTTTCCAAGATGTATTAATATAAACAAGAAATTTAAAAATATATTTAGAAACTACATATTTATTTACTTATTGTCTATGAATAATTAAGATTTTTATGTGAGATTTTAGTTTAGTTGATGAAAATCCTTAATAAAAACAAGTGGATCCATTTTTCTATTAAGAGAAAGTCAAATAAAGTTAGAATCACTGAAGAATTATAAATAATAAAGTTGGATAAATATATTTTATTTGTATATAAAAGGGGGGTCGGGAGGGAAATATAAATTTTATTATACATAAATAAAAATTATGTTAACTTCGTCTATTGTGAGTGTCGATTCTAGCAAAGTATATAAACCAAAAGCCAGTCAAGTTGGGTTACTCTCTACTGCAATTAGCAAACTTGGTGATTCAAGCTTTGTATCAAAAAGCAGAGAGTCCACAAACATGTCTCCTGTTAGAATGAGATTATTTAGGGATTCTTCACCTAAATAAACCAAGGGATTACAAGGAGTAGTAGTTGGAGAATATCAGTAAGATTATTAAATAAATATTTTTAGTGCTTTGACACCTACTCATATTGTGTTTAGTAGCATTCATAAAAGTACCTCCCCTCTGAGATCTGGTAGAAATTATAACGAATCACCTCAAAGAGCAAAGGTAAGATTAGATAGATTCAAAAATTGGGACTCAAAGTTAGGATTAGAACTCCAAATATAAAATACCAAATTCACACGTCTCAATAATGAATTAACCTATTTAAGTCATTAACCCCATCATCAGACCACAAAATCAGCTATTTTCTTAGGCAGCAATTTAAGTAGATTAGGTGTTGGTGGAAACTAAAGTGATATTAGAGTTTTGACAGCCAAATTGAATTCCATTCCACCCTCATAAATTGGAACCTTTACTGCAGGGTAAGGAATATTATGTAATATTTTATAGTCATTCTCATGAGTTGTCTTCATTGCAATAATCGCTAAGCAGAATTATGAAATCGAGCCGACAGTATTGAACAAAATTGATTATTATATTATATTAAAATAATATAATATGGACATTAAATTAATAACTTTTAGTGATACATTCATTATCTATAAGGAGATCTAAACGATATCAGACTTAAAGAAGGAAATCAAAAGAATTGGGATATAAACAAGGGATATCATTATTTAGTACCAAAGCTATTTCTACTTAAGCTTAGCTTTTATGATAATGATTCTGATAAAGTTGTGATAACACAGGATGAAGATCTTTAATATGCCTACCAGCAAAGCAAGGCTCTTAATAGACAAACAATCAAATTTTATGTTTATTACAAACTCAGTTAGCCTTAATACTAGCAAATGGGAACCCAGATCAAAATCTCAACATAATAGCCCTAAATTGATTGGATAAATTAATCCTTCTAAAAGGAGAGCAGCTAATCAATCATTTATCATAATATATATAATAATAATTCCCCTTTAATTAGCAGAACCTCTACAATTATAATTCCGAAGCAATCAAGAGAAGAAAAGTTGAAATTGGCAATTGATTCTTTCATCGATTAAATATTGAAAGATGAATATCATATATGATAATATCTATATATATATATATTAATATAAATTAAAGTATTATTATAGAAAATTACCTTATTTATTATATAATGTACTTATGTATTGTTATATCAATCATTTTCTGGCTGCTAAGGCAACTTGAGTTGCAATTCTATTTAAGTCTTATTATCCCTCTTTGGTAACAATTCTTGATCCCTTTTTCAAGAGTGATTTGTTATCCTTCTTTAAAACTTTAATGGCTTCCAATTATTGAAGCAAGTATCTGATGACTTTTCCAGATCCTGATTCGTGTTTGCCATTGTCATTGACTGAACCAAACATATGAGTGAGATTTCCAACTCCCTGTTGTGTAAATTAAATATTAATACCCAGTGACCTCTGACATAAATTTTACGAGCAAGTGCTGCAGCTCTAACATACATCCAATCTTAGTCAATTGGTGAGATTTCTTTTCCAAGTCCAGTCTTGACAATTGAACCCCATTCTGGAATCTTGATCTTGTTATTTTTTTTCAAATATTCAGCATAAGCATGAATGAAATCTTATGCAGGTACGTCCTTTTAAGTTACATAGTTATTGATACTTTCACTGTGAAGAATGGTGCTGACATAATAAAAATTAAATTATTTTTTGAATATTTGCAAGATTTTAATTCATAAATAAAAGTATTTAATCAATCATGCATAACATACATTCTATTTAGTGAGGACACCAGTCATATCAAGAATGAAAAATTCATAATCAAAGAATTCTGATTATGTGAGATAGCACTTCAATCATTAACTACTTTCTAATTAATTAAAATCATGTAACTCAATATTTAAATCAAAAAAAGCTTACAATTTGATTACACTAAAAATTTCTAAAATATTAATATTTATAATCCCATTAAGGATGGAGGATTAATTTGAAATGAATATCTTTGTTCTTGGAACAACAATATTTTACATTTTACCAAAAGTATCAACGAGTTTCAGTTATCTCAAGACGGAAAGATTACGGAAGCTTTTAATTAGGAGAAGGGTATACAATGTGAATGGATTATATGAATTGATTAATTTGATTAATTTAATGAGAGCGATAGAAGATTGATATAATAATTTAATTATAAAAATCTTAGATTATTGGGGAGTGGATTGTTAGGTGAGACAATGGATGGAAGAAATGGGAACACAAAATCGGTGAGATGGTGTTAGTAATATTATAAGAAAATGGGGATAAATATTTATAAATTAATTACATACATAAGCATTTTTCGATCCGTTTTTAAAAACATTAATAAATAAATGCAAAAACTAGCTATCTTGACATTGGTTCTTGCTCTTGCAGCTGCCAAGTTTGTAGATACACATGCAAGTTTGGCTTAAATTGATGCCAATCCATTCGGAAATGTTGTATTGTCAGCCATCAAAGCCCACTTGTAAGCCTAATCACCAGCCAACGAAGTTAATATGTTATTGAACGGTGTTGCTGCTGGATTGTAATAAGATCAAAATGACCACGACCACGCTTTTGAAGTTGATACAACCACAAACAACAGAGTAAGAATATTAAACTATATAACAGATCGTTGAAGACTTAGAAAAGGAAATCTTGTATCACTAAAATCAAATCTCATCCAACACTTAATTGAGAGATGACACAATCGAAGCATTGGCTGTTTCTGAAGAAGACATCAGAGTTACAATTTCAGACATTGCAACAAATGAATAAACTTATGCTAGAGAAGAAGCCACAAGAAACTAATAACACGAAACCTTTGTTGCTAAGGTTGCTGCCATCGATGATGTTATTGAAGCTATTGATGATGCTGCCAAACTCATCCAACATTTGAAGCTAAGTGCTTCATTTGTCTAAGTTAAATCAAAGTATGAAACAGTTCACAAGAGACTTACCGACAACACATCACACAGCCAACTCTTACAAGTAAATTCTTTTCTTTCTATTATTCCACTTTTAGCCAGTCGTCGTTTGCTCTTACCGAATTAGCCACTCACGGAGTCAACCAAAAGGCCTTGACCAAGATTGCTTAATTATTGAGCGAAATCAGATAATAATTAGTCTCAGAAAAGGCTACCAAGACTGTATTTAATTAATCCAATTATTAAGGACGTTGAAGACAGATAAGCTGCACACTGGGCTGAATTCAGCGTTCATTTGAGCAATGAACACACCAGATTGGTTGAAAGAAAAGCTTAATTGGAAGTCTAAATCTAAGAATAAAAGGATACCATTGAAGATGCTTAATCATGGATCGAATTCCACACCTTGGAATTAGAAAACAGTGAAGAGAGACTTGCTGGATAATAAGCATGGTATGCAGTCTAATCAGATATCTATGAGACCTAAACTGCTGAAAGGTAATATTTCATAATATCCTATTTTAGAGCTGCTTAAAATGAAATCGTTGATAGACTCTAAGAACACATCAGTGAGAAATTATCAACCACCGCCCAATTCATCAGCAAAAGAAATTGATTTATTAAAATAAATAAATTATGAACAATAGTTCTTTATGCATTTTATGTTTTCAGCAATCTAATATAACTAATACAGATCTCCCTGTTTGCTAGTCTTGCTTAAAACAACAAGCCTAAAACTTGGAGTAATTTGAAGATCAAATTGACAAAATACATTAACAAGTAATTCCCCTTAATTACACAAGGATCAAGCAAAATAAGATGACTCTTCTTCCATCAGTGAAATCATACCACAGAAATTATATCTAGGAAACTACATCGCTGCAAAAAATAAAAACCTTTTGAAAAAATATTAGATAACTCATATCCTCATATGCGGAGATTTTCTCAAATAGAAATTCCCTGACGATTTCAAATATCATCAAATCATGATACAAGACTCCTTGAATCAATCTATCCTTGAATATCTTGATGAAACCTTCAATTTTATTGATTAGGCCCAAAACGTTTTTGTTCATTGTGCAGCTGGAATAAACAGATCTCCAGCCATAGTCTGCGCATACTTAATGAAAAAAAATAAGTGGAATTATGATCAAGCATTCCAGTTTGTAAAGGAAAGAAGATCTGTTGTAAACAAACAAACTAATTTTGCAAAATAATTAAATTTATATGAATATTGATTAACGTATCTAATAATTCAACCGAAATAAGAGATAATATAATTCATCCCTATTAACTTTCGATTTTCTCACTCTCTTTCCATTAATCAGCAATACATTAACTATATTGATCACTTATTCTAACATACAAGCATTTGAATTTACTTTATCTTAACCAAATCAGAGGATGAAAAAAGATTATTACAATTATTTATCCATTTAAAATAATAGTTTAAATCGAACTTAAATCCCAATAATGAAGACTTATACTTTTCATATTTGAATTTATTTGAATGTATTTAATAATATTTATATAAAATTCATTTTCCTTTACAATAAGTGCAAATGAAGGATTCTATGTTTTAGACCTATTCTTCTGTCAACCCTTCACATTTTAGATGAATCCATTGATTACACATATCACAAAACACATATGGCAGATCAGGGTTTTGCGGTTTTTTACAATAGCAAACTTTTGGCCATTTACTTACCTCTGGCAGAAACTCTTCGCTTTTTGTGTTATAGAATGCTCTAGTAAAATATACCGCATCCTTGAATTCATATTGTTCATAATCCTCGTAACTTAACACGAGAACTTTAGATTGTATTGCATCTACCAAAATTGCATGTTCTTCTTCTGTCAAAAACAATTCGGACATTCCCATATATTCTTTTTGTTCTTAATATTGTGATGCAATTTTGTCTTTGTTACAATAGAGGTTGATTATGACTAAAGGTAGTTCTTGGTCATTTTTCTGAGATTTTATGCTAATTATTTTTTTTATTGTTGCTATAAATTCAAAATTTTTGACATTTATGAGAATTGACTCTCCGGTCTTATAGATTTCATCATTAAACTTGAGTTTCTCGTAAGTCAATGTATGTTGAGGTGCTTTTTCTGCTAATTTATACAATTTATCAAAGTTTTTAGCTATGGCCAATTATTCTAAAGCGTCCTAACTGAATTCTTTGAAAGTGAATTTCCTTCCATTTCCTGGTTCATAATCTGGATCGTCTTGCGCTGACATTTTACTTATTTTAATTCATCAAAGTATTAATGTAATCATAAATATATGAGAATAAAATCCTTTAAATTTTTGTGATCGCATAAATTTATCAGGCATTACATAATAACCAGTATAAAAAACCAATGATTTATATTTTTAGTTTTGAGGATTCAACCCATAGTCTAACATAGTAAAGTGTTTCATCCATAAGATTTGTTGAATGATTTATTTTAATATTAAATTATTTTCTCCTAATTTTAATAAATATTCAAGTTGATTATCATATAAATTAACTGGAAATATAGATATGATAGATGGTATTTTATCATTGTAATTCATTCAATCGAATATGAACTGAATGTGGTATGTATAATTGCAAATTTACATTTAAATTTGATGATTAAATATTCTTCGTATTTTGCTTGATTTAGTCATTGGGATTGATGATAAAATCTTAAAGTTGATTGGTAATGGCAATTAGGCAAAACAGATTAGGAATGATTTATATGTAAAGATTAAATTTTAATTAATTTAATGAGTGATTTAGTGCAATTCAAAGAGTTAAGACAAAAGGGGATTGATGAGTTCCATACAAGTAATGACATGGTCTACAATATAATTTCGAAGAAGTAAAGCGTTTTAAATGTAAATGAGCAGATGGTTGGAAGAGTGGTTGGAGAGTAAAGAGAAAGACCATCCAATAGACAACTACTCTTGTGTGAATTCAGACTTACTTTAGTCGAAATCATCAACTATCTTTAAATATGATCCAATTCAAAGTCACATGTGGAATAAGATTATGCTACCAAATCTTTAAGAAGGAGTTGATTATGAAATTTTAGATAAAGCATCTTGGGAATTCATAGCCAAAAAGTCCTAATATTTTTGATTATGTAGGTACCACACGACAGCCATAGAGCGAGATGCCACTATTGTAAACGGAAAGAAACAAGTGAATGTCAATCTTGTGCCTTTAAATTTCGGAGCCGTGTTTCCTTCTTCACTTCGCAAATACAATGGAGGAAAAACAGCCTCACTCATTAAGGGGGACTAGTATGTATCAAGAACGTGCAAATTATAATCATTTATTGAATTATTGGCAAGCACTTTGTAAACAGTGTACGTAATTATCATTCAATCATTAATAGTAGCGGCTATGAATTCCTCAGACGTGATGGAATCAGACTCTACAAAGCTCCAATTGGCATGACTATTTCAGAAATCGAAAAGCATATATCTGAAGAAATTAAGAATCTTGGAACTTATGATGATGTCGTATTTGATTTCAAGGATGGCGATTATTTGGATCCAACCAAATATGAAACTATTGATGATTGTCAAATAGCACCAGGCTAAGTAATACTTGGTGATTTCAAAGAAGTCTAAAAAAATTGGGTCATTAAACATCCCTTTTTCCCAATGGAAGGAAAATGTGAAGGATGCTATAATTTCAAAGTGCTTCAGTTTCCATGTGAATGCAAAAAAGTTAGTTATTGTACAGAAGAGTGCAAAAAAAAGGATGAAGCATATCATTTACCTAGATGTGAAAAGACAGATTCCGATGATGAGACTATGGATAAACTCTAAAGGATTGAAAAATCCATGGATGGCAAGGTCGGATTATAGAATCTAGGAAATACTTGTTTTATGAATTCAGGAATCCAGTGTATTGGTAATACATTCCCAATAAGAGAATACTTGTTATCTAATCAATACAAACAGGATATCAATGAATTAAATACTTTGGGTACTAAAGGAGAATTAGCATAAAAGTTTGCCCACCTTTTAAGAAGAATGTGGTATGCTGAAAGAACACCTATACCTCCATTCTCACTTAAAAGAGCCATAGGAAAATTTTAACCCTAATTCCAAGGATTCCAATAGCATGACAGTTAAGAATTGATTACTTATTTATTGGATGGATTAAATGAAGATTTATGTCGTATCAAATAGAAACCTTATGTGGAGAGAAAAGACTATGATGGTAGACCTGATTTCGAAGTTGCTAAGGAATCTTGGGAACAATTTAAGTTGAGGAATGATAGCATTATCGTTGACAATCTATATGGACAATATAAGAGTACTTTAAGATGTCCAAATTGCAATAAAATATCAATTACATTTGACCCATATTTGATGGTTAACGTCAGTATACCTTAAAATACAACCAAAAAGTTAGAAATCCAATTCATAGATCCAAATTTATTGTGGGACTGTTAGACTCTTATCTACAACTATGAAAAAACATAAGATCCTACACTTGGTTAAATTCTGCAATCTCCAGAGATTTAAGATAAAATCTAACAAATTAACCCAACCGATCTGATTTATATCTGTACATCAGCTTACTAACATGATGATACAGATGAAAATGATAAAATGTCAAGTTTAAGGAAGAAATTGAAATACAAAAAGTTATACATCAGGAAGGCTTTGCAATCAGAACTCAATATTGAAAAAGACAATAAAATTTGTATAATGATACATGAATCCTTCAAGTAAAATGCTTAATATCAATGGAAGAGAGAAATTACTCCTGCTTTCAACTTCTATTTTGATAAAACCAAAACTACCCATGCTGACATACATAAATTTATCTTTGATATTCATGTTGGAGTCTTAGCCACATTTGAAGACCTCCCCAAATATTAAGGCAACAATTGGAGCGAATATTATGAAGAGAATATATTAGACAAGGTTTATTATTTAGAATTCAAATCCAATTAAAATTGGTAAGTTGAGTGTGCTTATTGCAATGCCAAATCATGCAATGATTGTGTATGTGCATATGTTTAAGACACTTGTATTGAAAAATATATATAAAAAGAACCTAAATTAGAAATTGAAGTATTTGTAGTCTGGAAAAGAGGATTCAAATCAGCTAGCTCTGTTGATGAGTTATACAATGATTGGTTGAAACATCATCAAAGGAAATAAACAGATGTTGAGGAATTGCCAAAATAATTAACTGATCAAGAACAAACATAAGAAGTTGTCGATGATGCAAAATAATAAGAAAACATATCTGATGAATAATCTGCTTAGAAATAAAATTTCACTACATGTCTCGTACCTATTGAACCTGCAATACCAACAATCTAACCTACTAATGTTTAAGGTGCAACTGAAAAATCAATGAAATTAACTGAATGTTTGAAATTCTCTGAGCAACCTGAATAACTAGATGAAGAAAATACTTGGTATTGTAATCAATGCAAAGATCATGTGTATTTTATCCATTTTAATCTATTAGCCGTGCTTTTAAAGTCATGGAAATCTATAAGACACCTAAAATATTGATATTCCATTTAAAGAGGTTCAAGAACTCCAATAAATTTTTCAAAAGCAAACTTGAAACCTTAATAGATTTTCCAATCGAAAATTTTGACATTAGAGAATTTGTTTAGAATCATCATTTACCATCTGATTTCGCTAATGAAAATCCTCAAAATTCAAGTATTAAATTTAATTAAATTACGAGAAATCAATGATCCCTATTTATTATGATCTATACGCAATTTCTAATCATTTTGGAGGATTGGGAGGTGGACATTACACAGCCTTTGCTAAAAACTACTATGATAACACATGGTATAATTTCGATGACAGTTCAGTGCATCCTATAAAAGAAGAATCTGTTAATTCAACATTAATTACAAGCGCAGCCTATGTATTATTTTATCGCAGAAGAGAATGATATTCAAAAAGCAAAAATATAAATATATTTATATTAATAAATTATATTCTAATCTGTCAATTAAAGTAACCATTAAAATAATAATAAATTTCAACTAGAATAAAACAGCCTATTCTATAAATTTATCTATGATAGTAGCTTTTCCCTATATAGAATAACTATAAAACTCTGATGACAACTATCTAAATTTTTAATTATCTGCCACTATTGCTTTTTCTCAGATACCTAATTCAAAAGATCTTTATTTCTTGGTTACTTTTTGGTTTCTACATTTCTTAAAGTTTAGATTTTGCCAAATGTTCAAGAAAATTGAGAATTTTCATTCTAGTTATTTATTCAATAGAGCGAAAGGAGAACAAAGAATTTAATAGTTATCAAATTATATCATATATATATGTTTATTATAAATCATCTGCTTTATTGGTATTAATCTATTATATATTAAAAATACTGATACATTATCCGTAGACTGGTGCTTTATTTTGATAATTGAATTAGAAACTATCTAATTCAGCTTAGGATGTGTACAACTAAGGCTATTGATTCTACATTGGAGCTATAGGAATCTATTTTTTCTATTCTAATTCTTATTTTTCTTTTTTCAAATCAAGCATGCCTAATAAATCAGGTTAATTAGTATTTGTGCTTTTAGGTTGAGTGGCTGAGACAAAGTCACCAAAAGCAAATTCATCTTACTATTATTTTGTTTAATTAGCTTAATATGTTGGAACTTATGGCTTTACATAATTTTGATTTTGTTGTTACTATTAGTAATTATTTATTTAATAATTTTAGTACAGATTAGGTTATTAATATGTATTTTATTACTATTATATGGGATATAGATTTTATTATACTTAATTTTATTAATATAATAATTATTAAGGCTATTAATAAAATTGTTGTTAATTATTTTGTTAAGAAGGTATTTATTATCCAAAGAGAATAGGATCTTGTTATTGTTATTAAGATGTTGGTGGTGTAAAAATGTCATTAGGTAATAAATTAGTCTATACCTTCTATTAAACTTAAGGTTATGGAATTTGATTACTAACAGGAGTAGCAGTTTAAAATTGACCCCATTCATTATTTTGATTATTTGCCTATTGAGAGGGAGGTGGTTATAAAGGTGGAACAATTTATGGTTATTATGGAGGTGTTTGTTAAGGAGCATCAAAAATATCTAATAGATTTTTTTATTATTATTATTATTATGGTTGTTATTGTTATTATTATGGTTGTTATTATTATTACTGTTACTATGGCTGATGCTGCTGTTATTACTATTATGTCTTAGGTCCTGGAACATCCCACTTTTCTCCAGGTTTAGCTAATCTCATTACAGGTTCTGAAAATGGTACCGCTGATGTTTATTATGAAGGAGTTGTCCATGATATTCCATTACAACTTATATTAGCATTAGTATTAGAATTATTATTTGTGTTATTATTAGTATGATTATTATTTGTGTTATTATTAGCATTATTATTATTATTACTTGTACCTCTGTATCTATCTAAGCCTCCTCCACTCTCTAAGCCACCATTATTATTTTCTGCTTTATAGATATTGAATGCTTACAATAATTTGTTGATTATGATGAATTGGATTCTTATCCATATTTTGGCTTATTGCCTTCATATGAATTACTTCCATAACCTTGATAAGATGTGTTACTTCCAATAGCTCCAACACCCCCAGCAGCTTATATTTTAAATTTAATGTTACCTGCCAATCGTTCTCGTATCTTTTTAGCACTCTCTCTTTCTTCTTCAATCAACTTTTCATTGCTTAACAAATCTACTAATTGTTTAGTCTTATCACGAACTAATCATTATTCATTTAATTACTTGAGAGACCCTTGTCGGAACCTTGTTCAACTAGAAAGAAATCAGAGAAACTTCTGATTTTGTAGATATTGTCTCTGAATTCTCCTACACAACGAGGTGCTCCATTCTTTGTCAAATATTCTATCATATTGAGAGTCTAGTATTATTTTATGAAGGAATCATACTTTCAAAATTCTACGCCACTCTCTATTATCTGAATCAAGACGTTTCCAAATGAATTTCATAATCGTATCGCAAGATGTACTAAAATATTCAACAAAACATTCTTACTATCCATATGATGCCTCTGCTACTTCTTATAGCAATTTAGTAGGAGTATTCCAATTCTCGTTAGATGTTGCTTCAGATAATGTCTACTCCAAAGGAGATTTGGTAAGCTTATCCTTGCTGGGGTAAATTGAAATTCATACATCTATTGAGCTGCTTCCTTGATAGCTTGTAGGTTCATTTTAAATTAATTAATACAATTAATATCTGATTGTGCAATATAAAAAAAAACAGATATATATTGACAAAGTTTATTTTCTATTTATTTTGAGCATTCAAATCCCTCAACAAAGGCCAAACTCAATATGGATTAACCTAAAATGTTCTCTTTTTGATTTGATAAAATTACTAAAAAATAATGAGGCTACATGAAGAATACTAGGAGTTGATTCAAACCAAATTGTAAGATAGGATAACAATATTTTTGAAGAATTTATTAGATTAGTTTAAGTCATTGCAATTTTTAAGAATTATCAAGTTTACTTTATATTATAAATTTTGCTAAACAAATGAGAAAGTAAGGTTTTTCTCGCATTCTATAAAATTCCTTTTAAACCAAAGACAGCTATTTTTTCTTAGAATTCTCATACTAAAGCTAATGTTATCTCAAGAAAGACTGAAAAGTAGCCATTATTTCATAAAGAATAACGATGAAAAGCTAAGAATATTTATGGTTTTAAAATATTTAGATTAAGTATTGATATAATAATACAAAAATTGGAAAGCAATAAATGCAGATATCCTTCTGCTTTCATAGCTATAATTGAAAATTACAAAGATTAAATGTTGTAGTGTAAATTTTATTAATAAAATGATCATTTTATTAGAGATTAAGTTGTTTTATTCGATAAATGGTTCAAAAAAATTTTAGTCCTAACTTTAACAAAGCACCATTTAAAAATTTTTATATTATCTTCAAGAAAGTGAATGATTTAGAAGTCATTAATTAATGATATATGATTTCTGATCGAATTTTCAATAGGTTAACTCAAGATTATTGGTCCATAATAAATTTAGTTAAAAACTTTTGATGGAGTTTCTGATATAAACATTTTATGTAAATTGAATAATTGTTCAAAGGAAGATATAAAACATCAAACTTTGTAAAAGATATTGTGGAAATAAAACAATTTTAGTTCGATAGGATGATAAGAAACCACCATTTTTTGTAATTGAATGATCCTATCATTTGATTTTATAAGTTAAAATCAAGTTATTTTAGATATTTTTGTGGCTACTCTTATTATAATCATGAAAGCAGTTGTTCTTAATAAGTATTCTATTTGATTTCGATAATTATAATGAATTATCAAGTCAATTTTATGATGAAAAGCAAGTATTGCTAATTATATAATTTCAAAACCATTTGGAAATTGATAATTCAGGTTAGATCTCAGCAGATCAAGTTAAAAATAAAATATACTCAATTATTTAATGGCTAGATAGATGATATTTTCAAGGAGGGAACACAAAAATGAAATAATAATTTATATTATATATGAAAATAAATATTCGTTTTTCGATTTTTTAGCACAAATAAATCCTCAGACGTATGTCAATAATAATTACAATAAATGTTAAAACTAACTCTTTGTGTATTGTTAGTGCTTGGTGCAACAGCCATCAATGTCTAATCATCCGTCTGGACAAATCGTGACTAAAAGGCTCTTGCTCAAATTCATACATCTGGTTGGGGTAAGTTCATTTTGAACTATGCCGAACTTCATATGTAAACAGGAGGTATCCTTTCTGAACTCAACAGCGAAATTGAAAAACTCGTAACTATTTATCGTAACTAATTTCTAAGGTTGGTGAATTGGAAGAGGAATTAGCTGGAGTCCATCACGAATTCAATAGAAGAACAGATGTTCACAACAGAGAAGTTGCTAGACTTGAATAAGAAATTCAAGACAAGGAAAGAGGTATAATAAAATATGATGGTTTTAGAACTCTTCAATGCTCATGATTTCTATGATAACGTCCTCATCCCATAAAGAGATAGATTTGCTGCCTAACTTGAATAATTATAAGAAAACATTGCTTAAAACAGAAGAACACTTTCAGAAGCTGAAGTCAAAAGAGAAAATGATCACGAAACCTTCGAATCAGAAGTTGCTGAACACAATGATGCTATTAGTGCTATTGATGAATGCCTTTAATTGTTGAGCACAATCGCTACCCCATCTCTTGCTTAAATCAAAAAGGTTTAAAAGAACCTCAGCAAAATCCAAAGTTCATTGAAAAAACACAACTAATTCCAAATCTTCGTTAAAGTCCTTTTGGAAATCACAGTTGAATCTAACTTTGCTGACTAAGGTGCTCTTAGAGATGTAATTCTAACAACTTAAATGATAGATTGTTGTTGCTTTCAATAATTTGAGAGTTGAATTGGTTGATTCACTCAACTAAATCACTGCTGATGAAGCTTAAGCTGTTACTGATTTCAATAACTAAGTCATCTAATTAAACCAAGAACATGCTGAATTCTAAAGAGCAGTTGTTGTTAAGAATGCAGAAATCGAAGCTAATGCCAGTACTATCTCAATTTCTAATCAATTTAGCCAAGATCGAATAAACTCTTGACCTCATCGATGAACTTGATGCTGACTTGGAAACCCTCAATGGATAATTGTAAGCTGAAAACGATGACTATGCCTTCGCCACTGATGTTTACAATGCCACCGTTGCAGAATACAACAAGGAAATCAACGCTGCCAACTAAGCCTTAGAATTGCTCAACTAACCAAGATTCTAAGATTACGTCAAATCATAACTCAAGGGAGCATGATCTATTAAAATAACATCAATCAAAAGTTATCACCATTCTATCAATCTTCTATTTTCTCATTTTTTTAGTTAATTTATTTTATTTCCTTTTAAAATGAGTTAAACTCCACCATCTGAAGCCCAGATCTAAACTCTAAAAGAGGAAATACTTCAACTACAATTTGAATTAAGCCAGTACTCCTATTTACCATCATAATCTATTAGATAAAAGTAAGAAGCAGATGAAAAGGACGAGTTTTACAACAGCGAAATCGAGGAAAGAGACCAAACCATTGCAAAACTCAAGGCCGGTTTCTCAGAATCTGATTCCATGAAGTAATATCTAATTGCAATATCAACAAAGATTGATTAGCCAATTATAAGATTAATTGAAATAGTTGAATTACGATTATGATTAACTTCTGATGGAGAAAGGAAGTTACTAAAGTGATACTAAAGAATCATAAAACTAAATATCAGATGAGCCAATTTAAACAAAAGAGTAATATTTTTAATTGTAACAGAAATGAAATTATTACTCTCAAAACGTAGATACAAAATGAGAAAGAATTAACACTCAAATTGCAACAATAAATAAGCACATTATAAGCCGATATTGAAAATATGATAAATGAAAAACAAATGGAACAAGAAGAAGATAACAATGAAGAAATCTAATAATTTTAAAAGTAATTCATTCTTCATAGTAAAAAACAGATAAATAGACATGTATAAGCAGTAAATCAATACATTAGAATCTGAAAACTAAAAGTTGAAAGCCATATAAACTGAAAGTTCAAATTATGCTCATCAAATATTTAAATTAGAATAATAGATCTCTATTTAAGTTAATTAAATTACTCAATTTGAAAAATTAAAGTATTGAGATATCATTAAATCTTAGAAAATAATATGAAGAATTGAAGGAGGAATCCTAAAATTATGAAGAGACAGAAGAAAAAATAAAGGATTTAGAAGATCAAAAAGATTTACTCCAAAAAAAAACAAATTAATACTTAAATGAAATTAATGAACTAAAAGAAGAAATTTAAGTTTTAAAATTGAAACCTTCGACTGTTCTCATCAACCAATCGGATAACGAAGAAATTTTAAGAGAAAATGAATAATTAAAGTAGATATTGTATTTATCAATCTTGTAGGTAATATTTAAATGAGATCGTAGAACTTAATACATAATTGAAGCATGATAATTTCATCATCTCCGAAGAATATAAGTATTTATAATAGGTTAATTTTCTATAAGAAACCTTAAAGAATCTAACGATTAAATTGTTACTGAATCTGCTAAGCTACTTGATGAAAATCAGTAATATTGTTTTATATTTAGATATGAGATTGATTCATTGAAGGAATAGCTAAAAGATCAATAATTTTTGGAAGATACCATTACTAATTATAAATAAGCTCAAGAAATCTACAAGTAAAAAATATAAGTCATGGAAAAAGAAAAAAATGACTTGCAAGAAACATTAAACTAAGAAAAGTAAGTATACAAGTAAATAAACCTTAGATAAAAATATGAAAATGCATTTAATTAAGTTAAAGAATTATTGTAAAAGAATGAGTTTGATCAATAAAAGTTAATTAAATGTGAATAAAACGAGCAAGATTTGAGGGATTAAATTCAATAATTAAATGTTTAATTAGAATAAATCCAATTCTAAAATTAAAAAACCACATTCAATGAGAATAATGCTTAATAGTTACTTAATGAAAATAACCAATTAAAACAAGAAATCCATTAATTACAGTAATTATATTTAAAATATCCAAAGGGTAGCAAGTCAAAGAGAGGCATTTTAGAAGAAAGATGAATTTGCTTAAATAAAAGAATAATTGTAAGAATGGGAGAACCTTACTTAACTTGTCTCTGGAAACCTAAATGCAATTAATTCAAAGGATGTTAAAGTTTAATAATTAAGTACAAACAAATATCAATATTAGTCAACTGTTTCTTGAATTATTAAGAGACAAATTTGTCCCATTAAAATCAAATAGAAATCTTGCAAAATGAACTAAAACAACATAAATTAGAATTGAATAAATCAAACTCTGAAAAATTAAACCTAGAAGAATAGTTGGTTTTACAGAAAGCTTCAGAAGAATAATTAAAATAAAAAACTGTCAGAAAATCAATATACCACAATTAAATTCAGAGTAGCGATGATTTAAAGTAATTCAATATAAAAGTTAAGATAATAGTATGAAATCTTGCAGTCAAAGTATGATAGTTTGCTTCTGATGAAACAGAGATAAGAACAAAGCGAAAAAAAAAAAATATTAGAGAAAGAACAAATAATTTAATTGGAACTTGAAAATTCATCTCTTAAAGAACAAATATAGTAAATTACCACCTAAAAAGAAAAGATAAGAAGCAAAAGAGAATCTTTAGCATAAAACATTAAAAATGTTAATGATACTATTATAGAAGATTTCAATAAAAAAATTTAAGAGTAAAATTAACTTATTGAATAATATGAATAGAAAATTAGGGATCTAGATCAATAATTAAAATAATAATAATTTATTCAGGTAGATCAATAGGAAGATTGTGAATAGTTAGAAACAGTAGAAGAAGAAAACCATATTCCTCTAATTAGATAATTTGATGAATCTGAATACACTGAACAAATTTAGTTAAAAGAATAAAATGAATTGCTTTGGAAATAAATTAACGAATTAAAATAGTCATAAAGTATTTTTTATTTAATACTTAGACAATGATGAGCTGAAATAATTACGTGCCTAAAATGCATTATTAAAATAGGAATTATAATAATACAAATAAAATATTTAACAAATGTCAAATATTGAAGGGTAATTTTAACAATATAGTCCGTTGAATATTCTTAAAGTGCAGTCGTTTTTAAAATAAAAGGACAACAAAAAGCCTAAAGATAAAATTAAGAAATAATAATTAGTTTTAGAGAATGAAAGCAATCCTGTTTCAAAAAAAAAAGAAATAATTATGTAAAAGTTGATTTAGGAATAAAATTAAAAGATTAATAAAATATAGGATAATTATGAATAATTAATGATATTATTAAAAAATATCATTTTAGACATTAAGCAAAAATAAAATCAATTAAAAATTGAAGAATTAACAAAAAAGTCATAAGTCTTACAATATTTAAGCAAATTAAGGCAATCTACTGAAATAATACTCAACAAATTAGTGCTAGTTTAAAATAAAAATGAAATATACAAGTAATAATACTAATAGTAGCAACAATAAATTTAAGATTCTGAAGATCTTATTTGATTATTTTTTTCATTTATTAATCATCATTATATTAAATCTCGTTCAATTATATCTATTTAAGAGGGGTACTGAAAATATTAATCATCAGATTAATAATATATTTTTAAGCTAAATAATCAACATTTTAAATTACTATTTAACCTTAATTTATTTTCAAGATTTATGTATTGATATATTTTTATAATAAAACGTTTTATTTTTGTTCGATATGTTGATTAAATTCTTTATCATTAGATTTTATTAAAGGTTAAATTATAATTGCTAATGATTACTTTCAATTTATAAGTTATTTGGATATTATTTCATCCTAAAATTATCGAAATAAAGTGAGATTTCCTTATATGAAATTTAGAAATTCAAAACTTTCTTAATAAATTTCTTGTATTAATGTTGAGGAAGTTCTAGAAATATGTAGGGGATCAAAATGATAAAATTTAATTAATTTTTATTTAACGAATTATTATATGTAAATGCAGATTCCAAAAGACATAGTAAGGCTTCAATTTGATTATCAAAGTTTAATTAGTAGATATTAAGGATTAGAATAAGTATGCAAAAAATAAGCAAATGAATTAGCCTAATTAAAAAAGATAAATGAAGAAGTAAAAAGTAATGCTGAAAATTAAGAATGTGGCAAATGTAAAAAATTGTAGGTGCAAATTGATTAATAAAAATAACATAACAAAGAATCAAACCTAGAAATTGAATCATTATAAAACTCTTTGAATTTAAAGAAAATATAATTTGATGAATTTCGAGAATAGGTCTAAAATGAAATGGAAAATAGGATAAAGTAATTTGAAAATTTAAATTAAGTGACTCTTGAACGGTTAGATAGAGTTTAGAAAGATAATTCTCTTTTTGAAATTTTATTAAGAGAAAGAGACTTAAGAATCGAATAATTAAATTAAATTATATATAATTAAGAATAACAACTACAGTAAGAGAGTTAAGAAGATAATACTTGGAAAAAGAAGTTTATTAAAATAAATAAAGATTATCATAAACTTTTATCAGAATACAATTCTGTAAAAGCTGATTTGGATGCTATGTATGTAAGCTAATGTAAATGAGTTTTATTATATTCATGGGAATACTATACTAAATTAATTTTATTCATAAACTAGCAAACATACAATTGTTTAATATTGACTCTTTAGAACGCTAAAATTATTCAAAATTCTCTGATTATTTTAGCAAAGATGCTTCATATCAAGAAAATAAATAAATTTATCATCTTCCTTAACAACTTTGTCAATCGTAATTTCTGAAATAATTAAATCATATACCAATTTACTCCGTCTAAAATACAATGTCAGAAAAATAGGTGAATTTGGCATCTGGATGATCAGATGTTATTTAAATAAGTTAGTTTAGTGGTTGCTTCTGTATCTATCCAAATCCCATAAATATTTTAATAAAAATATTAAATTATAAATGAATTAATTTGCTTAAATAATTGCTCTGGTGAGTGGGGCTGGTGCTCCGTCAGGGCTTCAAACCCTGAAGGTGCCGAGAGGCACAGCTGTTCGATTCGGCCTCTGGAGCGAATAATTTTTTTAATTTCAATTAATACTAAAAAATACTCATTTACACACAAAAACTGGTATACCACAATAAATGGTTATTTTACAGGTCCTACATTCAATTTGATTACGTTCATCAAAGCACTATTTACAACATTATAAATGGTAGCAAGGTATAAAAATGAAGCTTGCAGGTCTACTTTTGCAATGTATACATCTTGTACCTGAATTACAATATGCAAAATTAAATTTTGATTTTATTTAATCCAATCCAGGATATTCTTTTTTAAGCATATATGGTTCAAGTTAATTCATAATATACTTTCCAACTTAATAGATAGTTAACAATCCAAAGATAACCATAGAGATTTTTGTTAAATTGATTTTAGTTTTTAGTATTCTAAGTTTTCCCATAATGTTTGCTTCTAAAAAATATTTTAATCTGACAAAATCATTTGCAATGGCCTTTACATTTGTTACCCTCACTTCATTGTCAAGCATTATTGCAGTACATTTCATGCATAATTAATTACCCTTGCTGACTGAAAAGGGAGTGGGGTATTCCCAAGTTATTTAATTTCCATCAAATAACGTATTTGTACCTACAATTTTTTAACTTATATATTCAAATATTAATAGTTTCTATTTGGGATGTTTCTTCAACTCAGAAATTAGCCCTGAATATATTTAGTTTTCATCAAAATCTTTAAGAAAAGCAGATGAGATCATATTTGATTTTCTTATAAAATCAATATGAATATTTTCAGAAACAAATTAAGTTAATTTTGGGGTTAGCGCCTAAGATAAATCTGTTCTTTAAACTTTTTTTCTAATAATTTGATCTAAATTATTCGAATTCACGCTAAAGTTTAGATTTCCTAATTGCATATTCGTATCCATTTATACATAAAGAAAAATGTTTTTAAATATAGTCATTTTTCCATACTATTTATATTATGGTAGTAAATAAGTAAATTCATCATATTTTCCATCTCTCCAAGACTCATCTAATAGAATCAGAAGATTTTTGTTTAAAGGAGATTATAACTTGATTTTATCCTATAATGTAGTAATTTTTTTTTGCTTTCTTTTAAATTTAAGATAACAACAAAAACTCAACAAAAATCCAGCTGCACATGACAAAATGCCAAATTTAGAACTCTTTTTAGTAGTTAGAACAATGTTAATTGCTTATATTATGGGATTTCTCACAACATAATCTAAATCTGCATTTCTTCTCATATAAAAAATTAATTAAAAAATAATTATATCGTTGAATATGTAAAATCTCTTTCTACAAATAACAATTAATTTATTAAAATGTTATTAGATTCGATATTCTTAATTCAATCTAATAAATAAGTACTTTGGAAAATACCATTTTGTTTTTACATTATTGATAATTAATACAAATTTCCATGGTCAAAAATTCATCATACATTTAGTTAAGAAATGTGATGCTATTCATTAGATGCTGATTAATAAATTAAATCTAAATTTTAACTTTTGTAAAACTAGATTTACAACAAAAGCAAATTTTCTTTGCAGTTAAAAGACTGAGAATTTTTATTTTTCAAATAAATTTGGAACAGCATCTTAAGTAAATATCATTCTTAAGCCAAGTGACCAAAACTCTAATGGTCATAATATTCTATTTGAAAAATCCAAAAATAATTAAATTAAATGTATTTTTGTAAAAACTATAAAGTATACTCAAATACTAACATTAAGTAAAAATAAGTGGTGAGAATAGAATAAGAAGCAAATATATTATTTTATGATAAGGTTAGTATGTAAAATAATGATGTCCATAATATATTAATGACAATGATTGTTTTAATTTTTAAATAAAAAAATAACAAAGATTTTAATTAATGAAGGGATAGGCTGAATAATAGAAGGGAGCAACAAAGACTGTCAAAAAAGTTAAAACAACAAATAAAAGAGCTCCAGTTAGGTAGAATTTAGCATTTAAAATTAGATTATGGGTTAAGGCTGTATTTACAGGTTTTAGAAGATCGAAAGTTTAATAGAATGAAAACCAAGCATTACTCAAAATTGAACACGTCAATGATGTTGCTTCAAGTAGATTCTATTGGGGAAAAAGAGTTGCATACATTTACAAAGCCCATTCATTAAAGAATAACACCAAATTCAGAGTATTTATTAATTTCATTCAGGCAATTTGGGGACGAATTAGCAAATCTCATGGAAGCAATGGAGTTGTTACTGCTCGTTTTGGTAGAAATCTTCCTCCAAGAGCTATTGGATCAACCCTTAGAGTGTTCCTTTATCCAAACAGAGCTTGAATTCACATATACAATATACAATAATACATTAATCAAGTTTTAATTTGATTTAACCCAATAGATACATAATTCTTAGCTTTATTTAATTTTCTCTTATTTTATGAAAAAAAATCAATTCTTTTTTTAGACATTAAAAATCTATAATAAAAATTAAGATAAAAATTGACTATTAATAAAAATGATGTTACTAGGATCTTCTTCTCCAATAGAAACGAATAAGTCTCTAAGATTTGCAACTTAGTTTTGAAAAAATCCAAAATTTACAATAAAATTGAATTTGATTTAGAACTGTAATAGTTGGATCATATCTAGTTTATCTGAGTTATCAGGCACTATAGGCATAGAACAATTAACAGTATTACATTAAGTTATTTTCAATTGCTGCTGAAGTGTTTTTGCTTAATGAACTTGCTAGAAAAACAAAGAATGTTATTTCTGTTTTAGAATTTTAGTACTTAATTTTGAAAGCTAAAGCATTTAATCGAGAATATTTTAGAAATTATTAAAATGATACAATATTGATTTTTGTTATTTCAAACTAAGTATGAGTCATGAAAAATTTAATTGTAATCAAGTGAGAAAATATTGGAAATATTGAAAGAGATAGGCTTATCAAGAATTTAATTGAGTTGCGAGATGATGATTTATGTTAAGGAGATAACCCTCAAGCTAAGCTTTATTATCTCACTAAAGTACTTTTAACTCTTTGCTGAATCTGAATTTTATAAATAAATGGTAAAAATTCAAATTGAATTAAAATAAAATAATTTATTTATTTTTTTATGGCTGATCAAATAAAAGTTCTAAATAAACACTTTTTTTAAGAAATGGTTTAAAAAATACTTAATAGTTTTGTTATTTAGATTTCAATATCCTTTATTAGATCAAGCAGGACATTTCTATATTGATGATTGAAAATAATTTAGCAAGCTTTACTAACGATATTGACCTCAATCACAAATTGACATGCTATTTTTTTATTAAGAAAACGTAAAATTTGTGTAAGAATATTTAAATACAAAATGCTTCATATATATTTTTTATATAATTAAATTGATTATAATTTGTGAAAAATTTTGGTGCATTAAGTCAATTAAGGAATAGGGGTTCTCTTTAAAGGTATAGAATGAAATTATTTAAAAAATAAATTATCAAAATTGAATATGGTTTTGATAAGTAAAAGAAAAATAATAGTTATAAAATTTATATGGATATCCCAAAAGTCATCACAGGCCATAGTGCATTATTGATAAGAAAATTGATTTTAAATACATTATAAAATAATAGTAGATGATATTGAAATAAAGCAACAAATTTTTGAATTGGAAATTTTATACAAATACTTATTATAATAAAGAAGATGAAAGAAAACAAATAAAAATTTTCTAAAAACTAAAAGATAGTTTAATGTTGAATATAATGAGGTGATTTAAAATGTTGCTGAAATAATTTTAAGTTAATAGGGTATAAATATATATAAATATATATAAGTATTATGTGGTGATTCATTAAAAATTTGAGATTCATAAATTAATAATTGGTTTAAAAATTGAAATAATTGTTGTTGAAGACGCAATAATAAAAAATGAATTAGTAAAATATAGATTCTTAAGAAGGGATATAACACTGTAAATGCACAGATAACTAGTGTGTTGAGTAATGTTAATGCAAGACTGGTGGATAATGCAAATGTACTAACTGTAAGTGCAGTGATTGCTAATGCACAGATAAATAATGTGTTGAGTAATGCTAATGCAAGACTGGTGGATAATGTAAGTGTACAAACTGTAAGTGCAGTGATTGCTAATGCACAGATAAATAATGTGTTGAGAAATGCTAATGCAAGACTGGTGGATAATGTAAGTGTACTAACTGTAAGTGCAGTGATTGCTAATGCACAGATAAATAATGTGTTGAATAATGCTAATGCAAGACTGGTGGATAATGTAAGTGTACAAACTGTAAGTGCAGTGATTGCTAATGCACAGATAAATAATGTGTTGAATAATGCTAATGCAAGACTGGTGGATAATGTAAGTGTACTAACTGTAAGTGCAGTGATTGCTAATGCACAGATAAATAATGTGTTGAGAAATGCTAATGCAAGACTGGTGGATAATGTAAGTGTACAAACTGTTCCTGCTAATTGCCTTAAAAATAAGATATACAATGAGTTCATATATAATATTATGCAAACAATTAATATATAAATATTTTAAACACTATAATATTTTGATTACCTACCTAACTACAACCTTTTTTAATTTATATTGCATTAATTTTTTCCATTTCTATTTTTTTTTAAATATTTACTTTATAAATAAATTAGATTATTATTTATTCATTGTACATATATATTAGACTTCATTTAAGACTTGGAAACAATATTTATTTACCACCAGCGTTAGGCGAATTAATATTTAAATTATCTCTTAGAATTTCTTCTTCATTGACGACAATTTTATTAGGTGTCTATGTGCATCTATCCTCTGACATTGAATCATTTTATTTATCATTTAATTCATCATTTATATCTTCCTCTTTTTATATTTATGCAATTTTTGCCTAAAGACCTGATTTGACGAGTATTTTATGTTCTTCCAATTTAGGAGTATCAGCTGGACTTAGTAGTTTATCTCTTTAACTATCAGAACTTGTTGGGAAATCAAAGAATAATTATTTTATCCCCATAACATCAACATATTCAAATTTATCGAAGTGAGCATACTTAAATAGCCATTCATGTACAGGCCTAACATCTTGAAACTTGGATTAAGTTAATTCGATACTTATGATAGAAGCTTTAAAAAAGGAATTAAAAGCGTTAATTCCTAATCTGTTTTATCTTCAAAATAGTTTAAAATGTGCACGGCATTCATTGGCTAAAACATAAAAGAGTTAACCGAGTTCTAATGTCTAAAATTTTCATACATCAATTAAAATCACTGAATCAAGTTTTCTTTTTAATAAAGAAAGATCCTTAACAAGAATGTCTTTGTAAACTGTGCAATTTTCTCTAAACAATCTTAAATCAACCAAGCCATGAGGATCCAAAAAATCAATAACAGAATTTGCATATTCACTAATACTAGCAGTGAAAATGATCAGCTCAAAATATTTAGAGGCTTCTTCAATAAAATCATGAGCACCTGGTCTGATGTTAACATAAATTTTATATTTTTAATCGTTCATAGTAACCTGATTAGTTTTACACTTACTTCTACAATTAAATCATTAACTTTCATTGGCTCGAAAGAGCTGTGAACCAGTGTTTCATCCAAATCAATTACAAGAGTTTTTCTCCCCTTATCTAATAAAAAATTACTTAAGATCTTTCAGTTTATTGTGGGATTTCAATGGGATTCTTAATCTATTCATAACTTTAAGATTTAGTTTTTTGAAACTTTAGACACTTGCAAAGCAATTGAATTAAAGAACTAGTTTATTATCTCATTTTTTATTAAATATTTTTGAAATATTTTTATCATTTTTCAGATAAAATGTTTATTCTAATAGTTCAATAGATCTCTAAATATTTACAGTTAGAATATTGTTTTATAATAAATAATATTTTGTAATTGTTTAATTAAACTTTCTTGCTAGGAATGTTTTAAAAATTGTTGAACTTCTAAATTTACGAAAATTAATATTATATAAATAGTAATCATCTAATATTTTATTATTAACTGTCATTAAGTAACCAAACAAATATAAAAATGCATCAACTTGCAGCGGAAAAGTCTAACATAAAATATGCAATCGTTGTTAAATGTTGAAATAATGATAAAAATAGTTGATAGATAGGATAAATGTACTAAAATATTATTTCTCAGATTTTAAAGGGAATAACTATATAATCATAACTGAAATGAAGTTGAATTCAGGATTTAATAATTAAATGATTACTTATATCAATTATTAGATAATAAAAATATCAAAAACTCAGTTATTTTTATAGACTTGTTATTGATTATAATCTTTTTACTTTAAATATCTAGGAAGAATTCTTTCATTCAGTTTAAATATTAATCAAGAAATATTTTGTACACAATTCCATCCTTATCAAATTTTTCTGAAGATTCTGAAAAAGAGGTTGAGAGGTTTTACCTAGATTGGGGAAAGTATCTATCTTTTTGACTCATAGACTTACGGAGTCAAAATTGATTTAGATCCTTAATTATAGCAAGTAAAACAAGCAGTCTGAAATGAGTTGAACTTTTTTAAATACTCAATAAACTGGGAGTTAGACAATATAAAAACATAAAAAAAAAGAAATTATAAATTATCTGTTATTAATTGCTATCATAATTAATTCAATTTCAATTAGCAAGCAATTTTCTCTTAAGTTGTCCTAACTTTGAGGAGATTAGATCAACTGCAACTGCTACAACCCTCTTTTATTTAATTCTAAAAGTTGTTTAATATTTTACCTGTTGGCTGTGTCAGTATCATATTCATTTTTTTTAAGTCTGCAATCTGTTTCTCGATTATCCAATTCTCGAGTTTTGGCAACAATTTTTGAATCAACTTCAAACTTTTCATTTGATGCTTATTAAATTCTAGTTGATAATGATTCGACAAGTCCTAAAATTATATAATAAAAAACCTTCCATATATGTTCTATCTTAACTAGCTTAGACTAATTAATCAGACAATAGGGTTTAGAGTAAATCAAAATTGCCAGATCTGAGTGCTTCTGCTTAATCTTCTCTAATTCTTTCGGATTAAATATAATTCTCAATTTATTTTAAGATTGATAAGACTTTTCTAGTCAAAACTTCTGCTTAAGAAGGTTCATCTTAAGCTTTGGCGGCTAAACGACTCATCATTTCAAGCATGGCTCTGTATCCTTCTAAATGTACCTAGAATAAGTTTTTAATTAACATGATGCTTCAATTTATTGACTTTAGCGGCTACTTAAGTGAATGATGTAAATTATTAGCCTTAATCTTCTGCGTCATCAACTTCAGATTAATCATATTTGAAACTGTATGTTTCTTACAAGAATGAAGGTTCAGGTTTGTCAAATCTTTTTCTATTTTTGACAAGTACGTCTAAATAACTATTGAAATATCCTTTAACTTGATTAACACCAAATAATGCTTATTCCAAATTATCTAATATAACTTAATATGTAATGGTTTCTGTCTCTCTTTTATGAGTTTGATAATTGAGTTCTGCTTTTAGATCATTAATTTCATTATTTTTTCTTTCTAGACTAGCTACTGCTGACACTTTCTAAGGATTTAAGCTGTCTAATTCACTCTTAAGAGTTAAAGAATTGACAGTATTCTAATTAATTTGATCTTTTAAAGTATTTATATCAATGTCACAATTTTAGGTAATTCTAGCTATCCTTTTATCATCCCTTTCTTATTCATTCTCAAGGGTAGTTTCTAAACCTTAAACCATATCTATAAGATTAGAGACTACAGGATCGCCGGTTTGCAATTCCATCAAAATGGTTTGTAATATTGTTTAACCAAAGTTGGAGTTCTATAACTCCTCTACCTACTAATCAAAATCAGCAGCTTAGCTCCCAAGAATAAGTAGGAATGTAAGTACAATAGAAAACTTCATTATGAATATAAAATATATAATAACAAATCCGTTTTTATTAGTTTTATATTATTCCAATATATTTGAATCAAATAGATGATGTTGAATGTGCCTTTTAGTTTTCATATCAGACCTCAAGGTAAAGATAGCACTCCATTCAATTATAATATCACATTTAGCATATCAATTATTATTTTTATTATTCACTTTTTTACTTTGTTTACAATCTATGTATTTTCTCAGTATTTCAATAAGTTCTATCTCAAAGATAGCCATTTATTTATTTATAATTTCAGATATAAATTGTAATTTATAATTTCTTACTACATCCTAAAAGGATAAATGATATTTTATATAAGATTTCATTATCTTATGAATGCTGTATTTAAATTAACTTATCCTACCTGAATATCTTCTTGAAAATTAATAATTATCCATATCTAAAACTCTATTTTCTCTCTTTATATATCCAATCCAATAATTGAAAATTGCAAAAATAGATGTGAATATAATTATTTCTACATTTCGAACTGCTTAATTATTCTCCTATTCCATAGAATAATAATCCAAATTAGGATAATAATATTTCCTATTCAAATTAAATAGTTATCCCTTAATTTCATAAAATAACCCTTAAGTAATTTGAATTTTTAATGATGAACTATATTTGCCTTTATTTTAACACCTAATATTAGTCTAGCCTTCATTCTTTATTCATATTCAAAATTTTTGTTTATAAAGATAAAAACATAATCTAAAGGTTTTAAAGTTGTAACTTTTTATTAAAATTATGTCTTTATTTCATATTATAAAATCTGTTCTTTACTATTTGCTATTACCCTTAGTATTCGGAAGTACGGTTGATATTTCAAAATCTCAAAATGTTCTCAATAAATCTTTATAAGGGAAGACTTGCTAGGATAAGTGTAGAGATAATGATGATTATGATCGATGTTATATTGACTGTAAAATGGAGAAAGAAAAACCAATGATACAGATAATTAGCATAACTTGTATTGTTTTAGGATTGATGTTCATATTATTCTTAATTTGGAAACGAAATCAGGTCTTAAGATTATTTCGATGTATTCGAAATAGAAGGACAATAATGATGGAATCGTTCTTAAATAATGCAATTTTGATAAAAAACAATAGCCCTTTGTTGAACCAATTAAGAAAAGTGAATAAATTGCTAAGTTAATAGAAAAATGAATTGATATTTATATAAAATGGAAAACTTCACAAAGAAGAGAATGTCTAAATAACGTGTAAAATTGATGAGGAGAAACAATACATTTAGATTACTCTTTTGGGGAACGATAAGTATGGTATTTGGAGTGGCAGTGGATTTACCATCATGGATTTTAATTATTAAATTAAGATATGGTTTTTGAAGGATTATGAAGAACAACGAGAAGCAAGAATATCTGGGTTGTGGGAGCATCTCCTCTATTAAGGGGAATACGATGAAGAAGTAAAAATCTTTAGTGGATAATGGCATTATGATGGATTTGAAAATGATTTAACTTATAGTGGTACTTGGTTACTAAAACTCATATGAATATAGTATCTAATAGTTTGAATGCTTTAATTGCAATAGTTATCAATTAGATTCATCAGCTCAGAATTAATAGTTATAAATCAATTTTGCCAAAGTAGGTCCTAGAATAAATCGATTGATATACTATTGAAATTAATGACAAATAAATCGTAAATAAATTTATTTTTACAAATATCATTAATCCTATGCTCTTATCTACATCCAAGCTCACCACTTCAAAACTCTCCTCTTCTTAATTGTAAAGTCCCAAGAGATCTACAATTAATTATCTCAGTTAAGATTTGGATTCCCCAGCTAGACAGAGAATCAAATTACTTTCTGATAAATGGAATCACATTTAGAATGGAATTGATAAAGATAAACTTGAGAAGCGTGAAGTATTGGAGGAGAGAATCAAAATAATAGAGGATGTTTTAGCCTCTGAGAAGCCAAAAGATGAATAAAAATTTAAGGTATTGAAGGATTAAGTCTTAAAATTGTAAGATCAAGCGCATAATTAAAAATCAGAAAGAGAAGTATGCATTAATGTTAATTAGGCATTTGATGATAAAAAAGAGAAAGACTTTAGAACACTTTCAGATAATGTAGCTCTATCTTTTGATTAAGAAAGAAATGCCAGAGGATAGGCAGAAACAAAGCTTTAAAAATAAATTGATGAAAGATTTGCTTAAATTACACTCACAATCACTAGAAACACTCATTAGTATGAAGATAGAAGTCAAGCAAAAATTGCTGAAGTTCTTTAGTAAGTCTAATTAGTTAAAAATTAATTAGATTAAGAAAGAAGATCAAGGTACTGATTGATTTTATGAAATCTTAGAGAAGAAGCAGCAGAATCTTTAACTGAATAAATCGATAGTGAAATTAACAAATTTTCAGACTAATTACTCGTTGAAAAGAAAGTCAGAGAAGAAACCTAAGGAAAAATATTTAGAATGATTGAGGATGTTCATGGAAAGCTACAATAAGACATCAGCTTTGAAAGAAGAGAAAGAGAAGCTACAACTGAAGCATTGCTGAAATTATTAGAAGACGCCTGCATTAAAATCGATAAAAATTTTAGATAATTCTGATTTATAAATCGATTAAATATCAATTATATAATATTTATTTAATTTTATACTTTCATCTTCTTTCATAATAGATAATTTTGTCTTTCGATCCTATAATTCGGGAGATTATAATAACACAATTAATCACCTTTTGTTTTAATAGTTAACTGCTTATGATTATTGTATTAAATCCTCAAAATACTCCTAATCCTCACTTAGTCTTAAATTATATCGAATTTAAAAAAAAAATAGAAATAATAGAATTATAAATGAAAATTAAATAAAAATCATCGATTGCAAAGTATTATTTAATAAATGAATTCTGATTAGAAGATAAGTCTTTTGCTTCCAGATGGTAGTCCTTACAATTTCAATGTTAAAAACAAGGATGAAGTCTATTATAGACAAATAGCTAAAGGTAGAAAAATAAAATTAAATAATAGAAATTAAATTGGGAATCCCTGAAGAGTTCGTAGCAGTGTATGATTTGAAGTAAAATAAAGTCATTAGCAAATATTATGATAAGTAATTGTATAATTTTACAAAAGATTAGAACCAACTTCAGTTTACAGAATATTTCATTTATAATAGGCAGCGAGCATGATTTAAAATAAGGATTAGGAAATTACTAAGTACAAGGCTGAATTCTAGGATCTCTAAGAAAGATAAAAATCTTTTGAAATTGAAAATCAAAAAATCCAGCTTCAATCAGGTACAAATGTTAAAGAGCTTTAAGAAAAATTAATTGAAGCTGAAAAACAGATATAAGTGGGTAAGGATTAAATACAACAATAAAGAAAGGATATATAGTCCTTGTAATATGATATAAAAGTAAGTAGTAGTTAATAAGATTTGGTTAAATAAGACATGATAAAATAGTTGCAAGAAAAAGATGCAAAATGTGAGACATATGGTCAATAATGTTAAAAATATATAAAGGATATCGAAAATTTATCGAATTAATTATAACTACAAAGGCAAAATCTATATTAAGTTAAAGAATAGTTCTAATAATATTAGTAATAGTTTTCAAACTCCTTACAATAATGGCAATAACATTCACTATAATTAGAATCAGAGAAAAAAAAATTCCAATTAGAGAAGAATTAATCGGATTCAGAAGTAAAGAGATTAATAAGGACAATTGAACAATTAGAAGATGATGCTCGAACTAAAAAATCTGAAATTTCTAGATTGAAAAGAGATAAATAGTCTTTAGAATCAGAAATAACTTCATTGCAAGAAGATATCACTGATTTAAATATAGAATAGGATAAATTCGGAGCATCATTAAGGAAATTGTAATCAGATATTGCACTTAAAGAAGGAGAAGTATAATAAAAAAATAAAGAGATTAGTTTGCAAAAATAAAATTTAGAAAAAATAAATCAAATGCTTGCGAGCAAGGAAAGGTAGATTCAAGAATTATAGAACAGTTAAAATTAATAAAATAAAAATGAACGTTCTTACGATTAAGAGCATATATTGAACTTATAGGAATAAGTGAAGCAATTAAATGAATAAAATGACCAATTGATGAAAACATTAGAATCAGTACAGAACCAAACATCCGAACAGTAGAGTAAACTAAATTCAGAATAATCATAAGCTTATGAATTGCAAGTATTAAAGGAAAATTTGGAAAAAAAATTGAAGTAATGTTAAGAGGAATCAAAACATAAATTGAATTAAAAATAATAGGAAATTGAATCATTGAAATAAAAGCTTGAGAATGAATTAGATATGGTTTAAAAAAATTTATAAGAGTCGATCAAAGCACACAAAGAAGATGCTGAGAGATGGAAAGAAAAGGAATAAAATTACGAAAATTATTTTGAAAAATTTAAATTAAATTTAGAGGAAGTTAAGAATGAGAAAATTAAATTTGAAGAAGATGCCAATAAATAAAGATAAGAACTTTTAAATCAAATCTATGAATGCGATTCTTAGTTGTGTTAAAAGTAACTGGAGCTTATTGCAATTTAAAATTCAGCTATTGTACCTGTTTACTAGTTTAGAATATAAAGATTAGTGGAATAAGTACCTAGAGAATATTTCAAAGAAATAGAATTTGCAGTTGAAACTATGATGTTAAATAATGTAAATCCAGAAAAATTTCTTTAAGATAATTAAGGCAAATGTTAAAAATTAACTTTTAATATGAGTCAAATTTTACTAAATAAGGCTAAGGCAGAGGTTACTCTTTATAACATTAGTGACTAAGATTATAGAAAATGTGTTGATATAACTAATATTGGAAAAATTACTGGTATTTAATGCTCTGTTCAAGTTGAATCAGATAGCACTTCTTTGGATAGGTATTACTTTTTCAAATGTCTTGAATGTCCCAACAAGAAGCAATTTGAAGGTAAAATTTTCGGAATTAAATAATGCAAAAATCAAGACATAGAAGATTTGGAGGCAAAAGAAACAGCTATTGACAATTGTTTGTCAACAATAATTGCTTAGGATGTTATGAATAAGTTTGTCAAAGAATTATAGGAAAAAAAAGCTGAAAACATTTTGGAGTACAAATTCAGAGAATAATATGTTATTGAAACTTTAAAGGATTTTAAGCAAGTGTTATCAGAAATATAGGGCTAATAGCTTGCAATTTAAGATCAAGGTATAAAGAATTATTTTGAGTTTATTGAATCATTAACTGGCGAATAGTCAAATGAATTTTATGATTTTACTAGAGAGTATTCAACCGATAGAAATTAACCTGCAGATGGAAACATTATCTAAGCATTTTTGAAAGTTTATGAAAATTAGAATACTATGGATATTTAGGAACTTCAGGATATTTAGAAACTTTAGGAAATTTATGCTAAATTTGATCCAAAAACTATCAAAAACTCGCTTCATCATTTTATTGATTTTATTGGAGGGAATATGAAAGAAATGCCCTAAAGACTAGTAAGATATTAATACAATAATTTAGTATTATTCTATTCAAGAAATTGAAGTTAAACCAGATTTTAAAAAATATAATGGAGGACATTTGAATCTTGATTCAAGCTAGGAAGGAAAGTTCTTATCCGCATTTACATATTATTCAATCGTTAAGAGTTATGGATAGATGTGTATTTCTCACTTACAAGGAGTTGGGAATTAATTATATGATCCTTTAGTTTCGACCTATGATGGATTTTTAGATAAATTGGATTAAGGATTTAATGAAATAAGAACTATTGAATCAAAGTTTTAATCAGAATCCAATCTTAATAAAGGGATAGAATATATGAAAGCACTTGGTATCAAATGGAATTGAACAATATATTATTTTATAAGAAATAAAATTAATTTTTATAATTTTAAACACTTATTTATTTAATTAAGTGTAACTTAGCAGATGATGTATTATTTAATTTACTGTAAGACAGTACTTAAAGAGATGTCATTTATAAAATTACAGTTGTTCTATTTCCACCCGATTACTATTAAGTTATAAAATAACATTTGTTGGAAGCTTCTGAATAATTCTATCTTAATAAAAGAACCTAATTTTTTAGACCCTCACAAAAAAACTTAGACTTTATTGCCTCTTGTAAGGCTAAACTATTGTAGTAATTATGATTATATCTAAATTTATGAATGGCTAGTATCCTATAAGAATAGATTATATTTTATTACAAATCATATTATTGAATAGATTTAGTAAGAAAAAATCAAGAAATTATAAAGCTAATTATAAAAGGAAAAAAAATACATAGATAATTTACAAAAATTATGTTCTCTTATTTTTTGATTTCAAAAATACTAAGTAAATAAATCAATTGATTAAGATTATTCATAAATTAAAAATTGTTTGAAAAATCTAAGCTGATTTACTCTTCTTGAACAAAAAATTAATAAGGCATGTTAAATCTTCGGAATAAAAGACTCTAGAAAACTTAACTAAATTTGGATGTATTTAGTGATTCCACTTTACTATATAATTATTTCCTTTTATATGATTGTTGTTAATTTTATTTAACAATTTGTCAAAATGAGATTAATTGTAAATAATAAACTTTGAATAATGAATATATAATAGGTGATATTAATAATTATTATATCATTTGCTGCTTGGTCCTGGAACGCAATTAAGAACATGAATTCTATCCCAAATACCGCATTACTCAGATTTCCAACCTTTTTAGCATCTACCCTATCAGAATACTTTGATCATGATACTGATTTGCAACAAACTTATGTTTCATATCCGCAAACAACTCCTCCAGCACTTTAACATCTATTTGTGCAATCCAAACTCCATGGAGCAAACTAATAATCTTATCTAAGGTTATTCTATCCATTAAGTTAGTTACAAAGAACTAATCCTATTATGAGAATGAAAACGCAAACTTTCATTATAAGTTATTATAAATAATAAAAACGACATCAGAATTATATATGTAAAAACAGATCAAATCATGATATTAATTCTATAGAGCTAATTCCCCAATAATCATGATAGAACTCTTACAATTTATTGTTTCTGCCATTTCAGTGACTTTATAAATTAATACTTTCCTTGATCAACTTAAGAAATTAAATAAATCTAGTTTATGCCATAAAATATCAATCTAGGCCGTAATGAATTTTTTTAATTTTATTTTAAATAACCAATTTATCATGTTTTTAATGTACTTGAAGGAAGTTTTAGTTGTTTAATTCTTTAATTGAAATAAACCATTAATTAATATAATAAATTTAGTTCTCTTAAAATTATGAACTCTTTTCGTAGGATTAATACTTATTCAAATTAGGAAACGTCTTACCTGAATAATCTTGCCTATTTTTTTATTGTAATTCTTCTATATTATTTAAATAAGAATTATAATTGGGAGACTATGAAAATCTTTTGTTTTATAATATATAATGATAATAAAAAACAGATTATAAATCAGTTTTACTCAATTATTCGCAGAAATAATATCTCGAATCTATTGGGCTAGAAATAGCAAAGGATTGAAAGACATTTCTTCTCTCTATTACCTAAGGAATTGTTTCATTTTTTCCAATTCGTGTTTGTCTGCCTGGTCTTCATCCTCTTGATCCTCTCTTATTTCTCCTAATGATAACAGAGTGTCTTTTTTGAGATCTTAAGATATTTATTCCTCTGCTCCTCCTTGTTAAGCCTATTCATCCATTGGTAAAGGTGATTGAATTTCTTTTTGATCTTTTCCCATATATTTGTGAAACTCTGATTGATTAATCCCCATTTCATCTAAATCAACTGATCCTTCTGAGGATTCATACTCAGATCCAAGCTCAGCTCTGAGTCTCTCTTTTTCAACTCTCTTCTATTCAATTTTATCAAATATTTTTATTTTCTTGAGTCTTTCTTAATGTTTTCTAACTTCATCTGATTTCACAACATGATCGATTAACTAATCTAATTATTCATATTACCTTCATTAATGCTGGTTATAATCCAGGGTAGACATTTTGCTATAAGTATTCTATGGCAACTAAATCTCTTTTAGTGTTTGGGATCATTGAATTATAAATTAATTATAACAAATTTAGTTAACTAACTCAAAAGAAAACACTTTATATTGTAATTAATTATATCATGTCCTTCTACATCCTTTAAGTGAATGTAATTAATGTTTCAAATTGCTAATTGTTTTGTATTAAAAATTGAATAGTAACTTTATAATAACAATATTTTTCAAACTAAATAATAATTTAAATTCTCTATTTAAACTTCAAAACAAAAATAATTAACTATGTCTTATTAAGTCTTATTTTAAATGAAATCCCCAATTAAATTACATAAGAAGAAATAGAATCCATTATTTTCTCAATAAAAAAAGATTGAAATTATTGTGAAAATAAGGTTTTATAAATTTACTGATTAAGAAAGATTTTATTGTTATCAAGGTATAAAACACATTTTTTTTGTTTTAGAACTCATGGAGATATTTTCATTAACTTTATTATTGCTTTAAACCATATAGTATAGAAATTCAAATAGAATCTTAATGAAAATAAATATCATAAAAAGCATTATGATTTAATAATAAAGAATATTCCACTAAAAAATTAATCCACATATTATGTAAAAGGAGGATTTTCTTATAATGGTTTACTATTTCATGATTGATTTCTCGAAACTATTTTTTGAGTTTTACATAAATTGTATTTGAGGATAAAATAAAATATAATTAAATATTAAAGGCTATGTGGAAATAAATAATATGAGGATACAAATATGTATTTTGATAACGTAATTGTAAGCAGTTGAATAAGGAAGCGTCAATTAGACTAAGCGTAATACTTTTATTGCATATTATAAAATTTATAATAATCAGATTTTGAAGATTAATTTAATATTTAATAACAAAAATTGTAATGCTCCAAAGAAAAATAATAGTGCCTTCCAAAAGAAAATAATAGACAGATTCTTAACAATAGGATGATTTTTATTTTGAAAGTAACTTCGAAACTGTTGAGATGGAGGAGATAACTTCAATGTTAGCTAAGAGACTTAAGTTTGAAAATTGTGAGGAAGGGTTGAATGAATCAAGATAATTTAAGAGATGTTGTTTCAGTGATGAGAAATTTGTAAGTTGTAGTCCAGGATTAGAAATACTAGCAAAATAATAGGAGATTTCAATAATGCCCAATGAAAAGCATTCTACCAAATAGGTTAATTAACTGAAAGGAGGAGAAAAGAGATCCGTTCAGTTGAAGAACATTACAGAGTTTAAGCATATAAGAACTGGTGAAATAAATTATCTGGAATTTTTTGGATTCCCTGATGTTCAGAAAACAATGAAGGCAAAAAGGAAAAAGGGTAACAATAAAATAACCAAGAAGATTCGTAAATATTGAATATACAATTGAAAATAGTTATCCATATATCTAGATTTAGCTTACAATTTATAAACACTTTTAATTTAATTTACTAGAAATTAAATGTGATTTCTTATTTTATTTTTAAATATTTCATATTAATCATGCAATTGATGGAGAATGTCACTTATTGGATTGAGTTTTGTCAAAAAAGAGAATAATAAATAATTATTATTCAATTATTTTATAATTAATATAAATAAGGATGAATTATAAACCAATATCGAATGATTAGCATTCCTTAGACATCGGAGAAGAAGATGGAGAATTGGATATTGTAGTCAAGAGATAGGAAAAGCCAAAGTCTAATTAAAAGTCGCTATTAATATGGATTGTCATTGTCACATTTCTTGGTGCTATTCTAATATATGTTGGTTAGAGTGATTGGACAACAAATGGCAAAAATAAAACAGATAAAAATAAAAATTTTAATTTCACAAAAGTGAATAAAACAAGTATTACGTGTTTTAATTTAAAGTCATCCCTGATTTAAAGGAAAAATAAGCAGACAATTTGGAACATTAAGATTAATTGAATAATACTGTTAAGGAAGATGCAACAAGGAATGTTACAGAAGGAAATTCGGATAAAATCAATAAAACGTTTAGTGATGTAAGTAGAGTAGAAGATCAGCAAGAGAACTAAGAGGAAGAGAAAAATATTGATTTTGAAGGTAAAATCAAATAACAACAAATTAGAATTATAAAAATAAACAGATTAATTAAATAAGGAAATTAAAGAGTATTTCAAACACAAGAATGAAACAGAGAATTAGGAGACAGTCGACGTAGCTTCTAAAGATCCAAGATATGGTGAAGTTTTATGCGAAAGCGGTTATTATATGAATAGAGATGAGAAGAAATGCAAAAAATGTGAAGATAGATGTGCTGAGTGCATGCATATCATTGGAACCTGTTATAAATGTTAAAGTGAAGTATCAATTATTTGTATTAAGAGTTTTACTTAAACAATTATGGTAAATGCATCTAAAAATGTGAAGGAAAGCATGATTCAAGTAATCTATTGTTGTCAGATGACAATAAAAATTAAAGCATCCCTATTTGTTTAGGCAATCAACATACATCATCACTCTATATGTCAGTTTAAAAGTCTAAAAATACTCACTTTGTTTTGCCATACTTGATCATTCATCCAGCCACTAGTGTTTCATTAATGTATCATAACAATTTCCCTCTTGTTTATTATTTCAACAAAGACATATTCAATTTTGAGGATGGGATGAAATTGAATGAAATTATCACTCAAGCCCAAGAAAAATAATTGATCGTTATCATTATAGGAGCTCATACTCTATACGATTTCTCTTTGTTTAACACTTTTTTATTCTAAGAGGCTTTGCAAAATATAGAGCTTTTGGTGAAAGCAAAAAGTTCAACTTTCAGATCCTTTTTTGGTTAAGATTACAATGCATACGGAGTAATTAGAGAATACTAATCGCAGTACAAGAATAATTCTGTCGATTTAGTCATATCAGATGACCCTGTAGAAATCGATCAGTATGGCATTTATTAAAATTAATAGCGAATACTTGGAATCTAATTTATTGGTGACTCATGAATAACATTACACTGACTATAATTTTGAATCTTTACAAGGAGCTTAATCACAAAAAACTACTGTGATTTTGTTATTCCACACTAAAAATGAATAAGATCAAAAGGATTATTGTTCAAGATTTCTTTATGTATCTTTCTTGCAATGTGCAGTAAGAGATATTAAAATAGATCACATTTAAAGAATGAGATAAGGGTTTGAATTAATTTCGTAATTTGTTGTATAACCAGATTTATGATGAATTTCATAATTCTTCTTATTATGTATTATTAAATCAAGGAAACAATCTAACAGGGTCTCTTGGGAACATACATGCATTACTGATATTCTTTAGATTGAAATATAAAAATGCAACTCTTTCTAATCCAAAGGCACATCCCCCATGAGGATAAGCACCATATCTAAAATGATTAGTTTCATATTATATACCTGAATGAGTCAATGTAATCCTTCAATGGTTCAACAGCAATTCCTTTCTCTTTAATTTGTTTAACTAAGAGTTCTGGGTCATGCACTCTCTATGCACCTGAAACGATTTCCTCTCCTCTCATGAAAAAGTCATAGGATAGAGTGTAGTTGGGATCATCATGACAAGGCATAGTATAAAATGGTCTAGCCTTCTTAGGATATCTGTGGAGAATGTAAAAGTCAGTTCCATATTTTTCTCTTACCAATTTACCAAGAATCTTCTCATTAACAGTATCTAAATCATCATGGGGATCTTGATTAACACCTGCTTCATGCAACATCTTGACACCTTCTTCGAAAGTGAGTTTGAGTACTGGTTCTGGTATTTTGAATGGTTCAAATGGGAATTATTGAGAAATGATTTCTATTTCCTTTTAGTATCTCTTTTCAATTCCCTTGAACATATATATACACAAGTCTCCCATTAAATCTAGTAATTCAGTAAAATGCTCCTTGATAACCATTTCAATATCCATACTGATGAATTCACATTAATGTCTATGTGTGTTCGAATTTTCGGCTCTAAAAACAGGAGCTACTTCGAAAACCCTGTCATAGTCAGCCATCAAACACATTTATTTATATAATTAAGGAGATTATGCTAAACAGGCATCTTAATTGAAATATTTCAACTTAAACACGTTAGTGCCACCTTCAGAAGTACCTCCAATTAATTTTGGTGTATGGATTTCAATGAATCCATTTTCAACCAAAAATTCTCTGAACAACAATCCAATACCTGATTAAACTCTGAAAATTGCTTATTTAGCAGGAGTTCTGAGATCGATAACTCTGTTATCTAATCTAGTTTTCAACATGACTTATATCTATTATTTTTCATTTTTATCCTATTTTTATTAAGGTTCTTCTTATTTCTATTCTTAAACTCCGTCTTCAAAGTCTGTGATTCTTCTTGAAGCATCTTCAATTTAAAATGGTAACATAGGTAAAGATCTGCTTACCACTTGAATTGATCTCACTTCCAATTCCACTTTTTGAGTGCAAGATAAGATCTCCTTAAATGGTTATTTAACAAGAGCTTCAATATCGACAACAGATTCAACTGGGATTCCTGAGATATACTTTAACATTTAGGCACTTGCAAACTCACCCTTCTCAGCCACTACTTAAATTGTGTTATAATTCTCTCTTAAAACTAAGAAGGCCAACTTTCCCTTCACTCTTGAGTTATGAATTCTGGCCCTTACTAAAATTACTTAATTCACTAAAGTTTAGTCAACGTCGCCAACTTTGGTCCATTTTCGATTTGTTCTCTCTTGAGATTAAATCAAATTCAAATCTCTATATCTGCCTACACAATTATCCTCTTCTTAAATTAGTTATTCCTATTGTTTTTATTCTATTATTAGATCCAAGTAAGAATACCTTATTGGTGCTCTTTTTTTTTCTAAGCCTTTTCTGCTTCCTTTTTTTCTCTTTATAATTATTTCTTTGACTTTTATTCTCCTTCTGCCACTTACTCTGGAGGTTGAACTGGCTAATCTGACATCTTAAAAAATTTATTCTTTTATTAAAAGATAAATCGAAATTAAATCGGCCTGATTAATGTATTGAATAATCTAAGTTGTCTAATAATCATATATAATAATAATTATTTATATAAGTCATCTCTCTTCTTTTAAGACACTGACCACAAATAAATCTGTAGCCAAATTTATTCCAATTAATACTTTGAACTATATGTTTCAATAATAACAACAAAATTATCTTTATAAGGATTTACTCTATAATTCACACTATTTATTAATTCTTATAGATCTACAAATTTAATTTTCCAAATTAATACTTACGGTATTTCTCAACAAATAAAGAAACAAAAAGTTCTTAATATACTATGAATGTTATAATAATTAATATCGATAATTTTAATGCTCAATCAAGCTTAACCTTTTTAGCAACAGGATCAGCAATAAACGAATCCATACCAAAAATATTTTCAGCTTTCTCAAATTAAACAGGAACATTTCTTAAGTTGTTATTGCTAATGATATATTAGGATTGATACTTATTATCTTCTTCTCCTTGTTGAATTCCAGAATATAGGTTGGCTCTTGGTTTATCATTGAACAAGGGTTTGTCGAATGCTTCATATTCATCTTCATCTCCAAATCCATGATTCACTCCTTGAGTTTAATTGAATAACCTTTGATCATATAAAGTATTTTGAGTAGTAGGTTATGCTTAACCCAAGGCTATTTTTTCACTGATGTCTCTGTCGTTATCTCTGTTAGTTTTGCTCTTCTTTCCTTGGTTTTCCTATCTTAACTATCTTTCAAGTTCTCTTTTTCTTAAGTATCTTAATTCTTCTCTGGCTTAAAGCTCTTATTATTGTTAATTTTCAGAGGCATCCTCTTATTTTGTAGTTTACTCCAAGAGAAGGTTCTTTCTCTATCTGGCTTCCATAGCTTTTTGCCTGTTTTCTTCTTCTTTTTCTTAGTATTCTTTATATTGCATAGATTTCAATATCTTATTTCTCTCTTCAAGTTCTTTTCTGGATTGTCTTTCAGCAATATAGAGACCATCGGTTAATTAGGCGAATTTGGCATTTACTGTATGCTTTTAAAAATTAGTAATGATGAAATACATGTTAGAGTGTTCTACCATCAGCGGACAATCTCATTTCTAACGGGATTGTGTAACCTTTGGCATTTTTCCAATTTGAAATACAAGGAGGAATTTTCCAATCTTGTTGATCTTTGAGAGTCAACTTTCTAGGTGGAGATCTCATTTGAATAGGTGGTGGTGATCCTGGGCCTTTAGGAATTCTTTTATGTTTAAAACGAGGAGGTTCCATTGGATCCAATTACTGGGCTTGAACTCTTTAAAATAAATAAATGCTTCTACTTTACAATTCTCTCCTAGCCGGTTTGCTATTAATCACCTTGTTTGGGAGTGTATTTGATATATTATTGGGCAGCTCCATCCGAGGCTCTGAGTTATCCCATGGTTGCGCATTACTTTGAGAACACCAATTGATCTAGTTGTTTCTTGGTGTGGATTGCAATCTGTTCACTCACTTCTTTTGAAGGCTTTGAAAGTTCTGCTTCGGAGAGATAGGTGTTTTTAAAATTGTGAGCATATTATGCTCCATCGGTTCCTCTAAATGGTTTAATCATATATTTATTATGAATATTTAAATATTGTTTAATATATTATCACTATTTATGAATACTCAACTGTTATTACAAATTGGAAAGCGTAAATTCTGGCTTATATTCAACAGGGATTTCAATTGGTTTGTATTATTTAGCAGAAATTTTGAAGCCTTGTTGTTTGATTTAGACTTCCACTTTCTCTTCGCTTTTGTTCAATAAAACAATTGGCTCAGGATTGTTCTTGGCCAACTCAGGAAACAACTCAGGATGATAACTGTAGGGTGGTGGAGGATAGTGAGTTCTATTGGGATTCTCTCTTGGAATCACATCAACATAAAATGTTTTCTTGAATTTATAAGGATCCCTTCTGAAATGCACAATACCCTTTGTAATTAGTTATAAAATCACCATACTTCGACCTTAGAATGAATAGTGTGATCCTTTCCCACTGAAGTGTTCTATCCAGGTTTCCATCTAAACCCTCTTTGTCTAATTAAAATGTCATTTGGAAACACTTCCTCTCCTCCAAATTTCTTTACTCCCAGTCTCCTACCTGCAGAATCCTTAGTTTTTTGAGTTGAGCTGGCTTGCATCTTTGTTGCAAAACCGTAGCAAATGCTCTCCGATAGGGATTTGAAATAATTCTAAGCAAATGCCTTAATCATATTATTTATGTTAATTATTGAATACAAAAATGTTTAATAACTATCATCATTAATGAATAGATGTCTTCTATTTTTGATTGATATTCCTCTTAGTGCTGCCACTTCTGCTTCTTGGTTAAGTTTAAATACTTTCTATAAAATGATTGATGAATATTTTACAATGAATATTTTTCTGCAACATACTTGAATTTTAAGAATTGTTTTTTGATACAGTATAATTTCCAATGTGTGTTTTGATGTTTTTAATTGCATTGTGTTATTATATTAAATCATTTATTGAAGATATCGAATTATGCTTTATTTGATAGCTTTTAATTTACTCCTATTGTTGATTTATTGATTGTTATAATGATTGCAAATGATGATTCTATCCGTATTACAAAATATTGAAATAGTTCTGTTTCAAAGACCCTTACGATTATGTTGGGTAGTCAGTGCTTTCCTAGAATTAACTACTTAATTTATGTTCTGAATAGGAATTAGTCTTATTCGTTTCTTTACTATTAGGCTTTCTCTAAACCAACCCTTTTATTTATTACATATTTTTGGTTATTTACTGAACCTCATAATCTACATGATCCAGCTCAATGGTTCTCTTCTATTGTTCAAATTCTAGTTATTAAATCTTTTCCTTGAAAGATACTATTTCTGATTGCAAAGATTGATTTTCTTCGTAATACTTTTGATTCTCTCTTTTCAAATTCTAATGTATTACAATTAAACATACATTCATTATGTTTTTTGTTGTTTCCAGTAATTCGTTTCTTGTTGCCTCACTTTCGTCCAATTTTGATTACATCGATTCTGCATATAATTTCAATTATTATTCCAACTAAGATTAAATCAAACTAAAATCATACACGAATGTGATTCCTTATCTCGCTCTCATATTTAATGACTGATTATTCTAATTTTTCATATTCATCCTCTGTCCGTATACTTTTTTATGTCATATTTGGATCTATACTATTTTCTAATTTCCTTTCATAATTGCGAAAGCTTACTGGATTTTTCTCTCTATCTTCAACATTAGATTAGTGAAGATAATTTTAATTATGTTTACTAATTGAGTCAAATTTTCATAATCTTTCAGTTCTTTCTCAACTGCATTCAAATCATTTTTGGTCTCAATATATTTCTCCAATTGCATCAATATTCGCTCGAGCAAATCCTTGAGGGATGACTCCATTTCTCTGTCAGAATATGTTATCAAACTTGTTTCACTCATTAACAGTTAATTTATTTATTAAATAAGTATTTTTAAAAAGTTATTTCATATATCCTCCAATACCCATTTGTACATTTGTAGATAAAAAAACAAATAAATTCAAACCCAAACTCAAACTCAAATCAACTTCTCATTCACAAAATAACTCCTTGTGTTTCTCAAAAAATTATCATCATACAAAATTGCTGCCAAAGGGACCGAATATATGAACTTAGTCAACAGCTTATAATTTCTTAATTAAATTATCTAATCAAACTTAATCAGCAATAGCCCATTTATTATTGAAATGCATAAACAAGCCACAGTAATTATCTAAAAATTCGATAATATCTTACATTATAATCCACCTCAACTTACTAATTATAATAAAATAAATCCGAATAAAACCTTTCAAGTATGTACTGGAGACCATAACTCAAAATTGTAATACCCTCTAATTCTAAAATCGGAAAATTTGATCTATTTGTAAAATTAGTATATTCAAACTCAGTTTTTATTTGATTCTTTATATCAATCAAAGCAGTTGAAATTCCCTTCTGTAACACTCCGCCAAGAGTAGTGTTACAAATATTGTAAGAGTTGTCGATTGCCTAAGATTATTTAAATTGAATTACAACTAATTCTACGCATAAATTCCCATTACTGAAGCTATCTAAAAGACTAGAAAATTCTGAATCAAAAAAATAGTCATTCGGTTAAAATGTCCATTATTAATCAGTATACTATTCCAACCCTACTAAACCCTCTTATGCAATTTTGTAGTATTGATTTAGATCTGTTTAATTTAAAAATGGAAACGCCGATTTATAATATAGAATTTCCCTTGTTTGATATATACTTAAAACATTAATATTTAAATTGGCAAATACTTCGTATAGCCTCCCAGTTTGTTTTATTTTTGAATACGTATGATAGATTTGAGTAGTTAAAACAATGAATGACACAGCTAATACTCCAAAGTGGGTTAATGTGAGTAAAATTGATTTAAGCTTATAATACTCAGGAGAGATTGTGTTTTTCTTTTATTAGTGTTTTGAATGATGAGAGCATTACTATTTAATCATTCCAAAATACTCATCTTTCTCTTAAAAATTGAGTTTGTAATTTTAAATTTACTGATAATTCTTCTCAATCAATTCTTATAATAATGTTAATCTTTGAATTTCTAAGTTTAAGAAATTCTAATCTTAATTTAACAATAAGATCTTCAGTTTTTCCTTTTATATCTAAAATACTAAATCAGAAACAGTTAATGTGAACTAGATCATTACGAAAAAGAAACATAATACAATAAAGATGACTATTATTTTTTGCTAAGAATCATCTAGGTGCTATTGTTAGGCATCAAAGGCAACTAAATTAGCGTCTGTGAAAGCATTTAATAAGGTATGCAAATTCTTGTAATTATAATAAAAGTAAGAACTTTCATAATCTGCTTATCCATTTTAAATGTAAGCATTTTAAGTGTCATATTAATAATTCAGTAAAGTCATTAAACTATTTCGAAAACTAAGCATACTCGTTTCACCAACATTTCCTTTTTACAAAAATTCCAGATTTAAATATTAATCTTGATAAAGAGTAAAAAAAATAGGTTCAGTTAAGATACCTGAAATCCCATTCTTAAGTTTTTCGTAACTTCCTATTAATCTTGATTTTGGATAAACTAAGAATTCCAAATATTACTATTAAGTAATTATCTTATAATAAAATTCGACGTTATAATTTACTATTGACAAACGAATCAATTGAAAGGACAAAATAGGATAAAAGATATCATTTTTCATACCTAATAGTTTGAAATCCTTCTGAAAATGATGAAAAAGATCTATCTCATACAAATACTATGTCTATAATAGAAATAATTACCAAACCAAAACCAACTATTGATATTATAGTTAAAAGTATTCTAAAATATATCATTTTCTTAAAAATTTAAGGGATTTTTCTTGAGTTGGTAAGCTCATAAACAAGCGAAAATTATCGATAGTATATCGACTTTTGCATAGCTGAAACACCAGACTATTGAGAGGATATGCCTTCTGTTTAAAGCTTTTAGTTCAATTTCTTTTTCTTCTGTGTATTCATATCTAGTTCCTCGCTTACATGCTGCTCCTCCTCATTCTTCATTGCCACTAATTATTCATCCTATTAAATATCTGATTACATTAAGTTTTAACATACGAATTCAGATTTCAAAATACATTATTGGTTATATATCTTTTCTTCATGAATACTCTATTCCATTGCAAAAGGTTTATCCACTATGATGGACTCATCTAAATGTGTAGTAGCAATCACATTTTCTGATTGTCTATATTAATAAATATACGTATCTCCATTATTGTAAACACGTTTTGGATTTTTTATTATAAGTTCATAATAACTAGAGCCATACTCATTTCTCTTTTAAGAAATTGATAAATCACATTGATAGCATATCAAAGATTGGTGATAATTCCACTATTATTGAATTTTTACTTATGAGGATTGCATGAAAAAAGAAGCATTGACTTTATTTGGATCTACAAAATAAAATGTCTATAAACTATAAAATTTATCTTGTATTAATTGATCAATATGCTTATAAATAGTGCATATGTCCAAACCAATAAAGTATTAAGCAAAGACTCCATCAAATTACAATACATCGCAAAACAGCTCATCATCAATATTTAAGATTCTTTTAGTATCATCTAGGAAAATACTATATGAACTTTCCTTTATCTTTTTAAAAAATACAATCATTTCAATAGAGGTCAAGTTTAATTAACTTAAATCCATTAGTAAATCAATTTTTTTACACAAACAAGGAGAGATCTGAATGTAAGATTCATTGAGTTATTAATAAAATTTATTCTGTCTACCTGCTATGAAATTCTGTATTAATTTCATATGAGACACTTGAATATAGTTAGGTATCATATCTTAAAAGTTCAGTGTTTCTAATTTGTCGAATTTTTCTAATTTATTATATTTGTATTTGAGAATTTTGATACTTTGCTTATTGTTGATTTAAATTATCATATTGGAGAATTAATTAGACAAGAATGCATTGCTGAATTTTAAATTAGTCTCATCATTGTAATTAGATGATGATTTTTGATTCTAAGAGGAAATCATATCATTTAAAATTTCCATCTGATAAAACATCAAAATGTTTTGTTGCTTTTAATCTATAAAATAAAAGATACTGAGTACCTAATGTTTATTTAAAGAATGATTTCAACTATTTTAGTCCATCTATCTAATATTTTATGGATTTATAAGCAAGTTTCTCTAGTTGTTCTTTAGAGATATTTGAATTTATTTTTTCCAAATAATTGATTTTCTATTGTACTACTTAACTAATTATTTTTCTGATTTAAACACATTGTCCTTCAACATCGAGGTAGGCTTTGATGGCATAATGAATTTTTTATGATTCATTCAACAAAGTATTCTTTTGATTTGAAAACTATTAAGCAATATCTAATCTCATTAAATCTTAGGCCACTTTTAAGACTATTAATTTATGCAGATAATTAATTTTGAAAACTTTTTTTTTCATCTTATAATTGTCTGTCATTAAAATTTAATTTTGAAATTTAGTTCTATCCGATTTTTGAAAAATTATTTAGAAGCATTAGTAAACTTAAAGGTATTACTTTTGAAAAAATAACAGTTATAAGTAAGCAAATATTTGTTAGTCCTAGGTACATTTGAAGGACATTGTTGAAATCAAACTTTCATACTGTGATAATAGGTCTTTAAAGTATATTTCATAGGAGATTTATTGAAAATTCTTTTCTAAAGGACTTTGCTTGCAGGTACAATCGATATCATAACATGCCTTAATGTGTTTTGATAGAAACATAAGGTAGACTATCTTTTGCTTATAGGTGTTTTTCTGTTTAGTGATATTGTATATGATTTAGAAAAGCACAAAGTTACAATTTTCTATGCTTGAATTTTAGTAATTGATAAAATGTTTTTACAAATCTATTTTGATTTAATTTTGGAAATAAAAAAAGGGCAAAATTATTACAAGTACCCAGATTTCTTTAAATTAATGTTATTGAAATAATTCATGCAACAGGTATTACAAACAAATGGCAATATTTATCAGATTAATGGCCAAAATCACTCGATAATAGGACCCATAGATGTATTGCTTCAGTTTTTGCATTTGATATATTTATATAATCGATGAAATAATCGGCAGGATTAATTATGTGAGCCTGAAGGGTATATCGTCGTAAATATATAACGAAAAACTTAACTACAGAAATTTGATCCCAATTCTGTAATAGGTTAAATTGGATTCATTTATCATCAAGTGTTCTCTTTAGAAATCCAAGGCCCAATTATATGAGAACATATTCACAAAAAAGAGAATTATAATAAAAATTCCTGCAATAGTAAGAAAACTTAAAAAGACTTTTAGGTAATCATTTATATTTTATTAAATCGTCTAAAAACAAATGTCCATCATGATATATCCAAAAGTTTGTTTGCTTATATTGATGGAAACATTTACAAATATAAATAATACTTTAAAATAATAATTGGTGTTGAAGGCATTCTATAATTCAATCACCAAATTTTCTGATCTACTTTTCAGTATAAAAATAAAGCAAATACAACTTAGGACAAGAATAAATAAAAATCCCACTGAAATGTACGCTAATATAGCTGTATTTTCTATCAGTGTATTGGGTCTTGATAATATAGTTATTAAATCCAATTCTGAAGTAGTACTGAAAGCCTTGTAACTATAAGATATATTAATGTAGGCTAGATTTTGCAGTTCATTAATAACTCCTAAAGCGAATGAAATCATTAAAGGCAAACTCCAAATAAATTGTTCCAAAATTAAAGCGCCTTGAACAAAGAGAGATATTTGGTTGATTATCAATTCCATCACGTCTTATATTAATTATTTATATTTTCAATTGAGCAATTGATCGAGCAGATATAATAATTTAAAAAAAAGGAATTATATATTTCAAATTTGTTTATTATTTTCTTAAAAAAATCTTGAGAAGGAATATTTTTTCTAATATTCTTATATTTTTTAGAGATGCATGAGAATTAAAATCTAACTGTAAAATGACCCATTCAGTCTTCACAAAAATCCTAAATTTAAATATGTTTAAACATTAAACATATGTTATTTCAATTAAATCCCTAATCTTAAGGATTTTTGTAATTATACTGGGCTATCAATTTCAATTTTTAATAGTTTGGCTTTACACAATTAAGAATCAAACGGTTTTATCAATTAATAAGTCTTTCTACACATTAAAGTTATTTTAAAGGCCTATTAATATTTTCAATGTCATAGGCTCCAAAACCTGTCCTTTAATTGAAAGAAATTAGTCAATATTATTTAATGCGAAACCATTAAGATGGCTGGTATGTCTTATAACCATCTGATAAGAGGATGTTATAAATGTAAATTAATTCAAACCATTTTCTAAGGTTATAAAACATTTTGGTAATAAAATATTAAATTATTTTTTGTATTGTAATAAGGATTTTAGCTTAAAAATTAAGCATTGTTGTCATTTCTTAATTAAGCTTGAATGATTCCTAAATGTTACTTACGATTCATTTAAATTGAATATAAAAGATGATAAAATTAGATATTATTATAAAGAATCTCAAAATCAAACTATATTTTTTAGATCTTTAAAACAGATATATTGTTAGTTCTAAAGCATAATTGCTTGTGATTATTCTTAAAATCCAAAATCTTAGCATTATAAATAATTATTAAACAAATATAATTTTTATACCAATAAATTAAAATAATAATCTCACTTAGTCATTTCTTATTGGATCTAATAATCTAGGAACTCTTCATAGGATAAGCATATTTTTCCACTTTATTTTAATTTAGTATTGTGAAGATGCCAATCAGTCTTATAATGTTATCTGAATTCTTGATTTGTGTCAAAAGAGATCAAACATTAAGTACATTTAAATTACTTACCCAAATTATCCTTGGCATTGTCTTTTTTTTATTGCTATTAAATTTATTTGATTTGATTTTATTCTTCTTCCTCAACTTGTTTTTTAATTTATTACTGCTATTAAAGTTGCTGCTTCTTTTATTACTTGTTTTTTTTGGGACCTTTCTGTTTTGATTTCTGATTCTATTCTTCATCAGATTCCTCTGAATCTGAAATTTACAATTTTTCTAATCTCTACTCCAACTCAACTTAAGCTATGTTATCAATTCCGTCAATCTATTATTTGATTGCTGCTTCTACGACTTCTAACGTACTTTTAAATTATTTTTCAGTAACTTTTGTTGATAAAGCTCTAAATAATTAAGGGTCGATAATAACAATAAATTTATTGTTCTATTGAACAATGTCTTTGAGTCCCAATTCTTCTAACATCTAATAAACCAACTCCCTTTGTTCATCGATAAAGGAGATGGATACTTTCATAGGAGCTCTTTTAATGAAAAAGCTCTCCTTCAGTTTCTTAATGCATTGCAAAGCCTACAATTTAACAGGTTTATCAGTTTTCACCACAAATTATACTTTTGAAATTGCATACTCAATGGATTGCTGTGTAAGTTGTCTACCTGAAGTGGCATGGATGCATTTATCCTGTATGAATTTTACTATGTCTCTGTAATAATGCTCTAATTAGGCCTCTCTTTCTTTATCTCCAACTTGTAAGTCTCCCTTTTCTAGAATAGTCTTGATGATTTAATCTTTGTCATTAGTTTAGAAGCAGTACAATAATTCTTTACCGGATGCCACGTCTCCCTTGGTAGCATTTGTAAAAATTTCATAAACTTAAAGAACTTCACTAAAAATTTATTAAGCAATCATACCTTAGATCCTTCTCAACTCCATTTCTCCAGTTGATAGCCTTATTTTTATAGCAAGCTATTTCAAATTTTTGATTGTTGTTTGTACGATATTTGATAATGGCAATATTTGTCATTTAAACAATACCAACAGGTTGTGTTACTCTCATTTATTAAAGAATATAATTTATTAAAATAATTTTAATTAGTCCATATTCATTAAATACTGTTAAAATATTCTACTCATAAATTTCTAAATCATGACATCACCCTTAAATAAATAGAATATTTACTTTGTTAGAGACAATCATGAATGAAATTTTAAAAATAAAAAAAGATTTAGATAAATGGACATATATCATTCAATTATAGGATTGAAATATCACTACCCTTTAAGTACAGGCTTATTTTCATTCTATACCTAATAATTCTGATTAATTATATATTTTAAATACATTTATTTACTGTCTCAAGAAACTAAATATATATCAATGTCAAAATAGATTTTTCATTATATTTATAGAGTACATTGTTCATAATATATTAGTACATAGTAATAATGCCAAAATTAAAGAAATTTTAAATAAGACTTTTTTAATCCTTCCTTAATATTGTTATCAAGTCAAATTAACGCCTTTGTGATGAATTTCATATTATAATTATATAGATATCAGGGTCTGAAATACTTTTAATCTTCATTTATTATTATAAAATTATAATATATTTTGGTCCTATATTTTAGCAATTCCATAAAGTCATAAGAAAGGATCATTTCTAATTTTGTTTAAATAGCTCTAAGAAATAAATGTTTATCGTTAAATAATTTGAATTCGGGATAGAAAATAAATAATATCATGAATTTAAATTATTCTTCTTTTTATTTATGTAAGATTGTTTCTCATAAAATCTATTGAGAATGAAGCCATTCCAAGAAAAATAGAGAAATTTTGAAGATTTTCTTATTGTCGTCATTTTGATATAATGTTACGATATAATTATAAACATTAAAGATTTTTAGTTAATTTGAGTTGGATTATTTTCTATATTATAAAATTACGTCATGAAGAAAATTCTCTTGATTAGTCTTATCATTGTGCTGTCATACTAGACAGTAGAATATAATACATATGATGAATCATTTGCAAAACACTTGTTTTACTTGACATCAGCAAGTTATTGCAGTGAGTAACACATTAAGAGTTGGAACTGCGGTAAGCCTTGCAAGGAACTTAAACCAATAACTGATATAACATTTTTTATTAATGCAACCAATGAGAATGCAGGATATGGTGCATATCATCCAGAAACTGATGAAATCTACTTAGTTTTCAGAGGAACTTTACCATGGAGTCTCACTAATTGGATAGAGGATATAGACTTTATAAAGACAGATTATCCTTATTGTCCTAACAATTGTGAAGTTCATAGGTATTATAAAATTGTCATAATATCATTCTAGAGGTTTCTATTACTCCTTCCTGGGAATTTAGGATTAAGTATTGAATTGCTTGAAATCGTTGAGCAAGAAATACCCTCTGGCCAAGATAACCATTACTGGGCATAGTTTGGGAGGTGCTTTAGCCAATCATGCTCTTGTGTATTTGACAACAGTATTTATAAATATCAATGTAGAGAGGCTTTACTATTAGTAAATTCTACACTTTTGGGTCACCAAGAGTAGGTGATAAGAACTTTTTCACTTATGTTAACCAACAATTGTTTCCTGGACCTAAATTTAGAATCACTCATAATCATGATCCAGTTCCTCATCTTCCAGCACTCATTTAAGGATTCCATCATGTGAATCAAGAGGCCTACTATAAAGATTATTTACTGGTCATCCACAAGAAGTAATAAATTATAAGATTTTAGAGTTTAAATGTGCAATGATAATCTCAAAGAAGATGACAGTTGCTCCAATTCGAATATTGCTGATTTATCAGTATCTGATCATACTAATTACATGGGATATGATATGGCAGTAGAATTACTCACTTGTTAGTGATTTAATTTAAATTTTATAGAATAAATTAAAAATGTAATAATCTGATCCCAACCAAACCTAAAACTGGGGAGTAACAACATTTGAGATCTCAGAAACGTAATAGTAATATCCTCAGCAGCAATTCATTCCAAATCAATAGCCATATCCTTAGTAATATTAATAATATGGACAATAACCCTAGTAAGTCGCATATGGATAGGTATGTTGCATCTCGAATATTTAAGCCCGTAGTTACTAATGCTTATCCTTAGACTGTTTAAGTTGGAGTACCATATGTGTAGACAGTGATTGGAAAGTATTATTCATAATCATTAGTCATTTTAATGCTCCTCCATAATACAATGCTAATGGGTCACCATTTCCTATTTAAATCATATGTCCAGCGTGTAAAACATAAGGAATTACAAATGTGAGAACTGAGATTGGAGCAGGAACATATCTGGTTTCATGTCTATTATTTCTGTGCACCGGGTATGAGATTTTGGCATACTCAATAGAATATTATGTTGTTGGGTTCCATGTGTTATGCCTGATTGTTAAGACAAGATTCATAGATGTTCTTCATGTTAAACAGAAGTTGGGATAAAATAGTATGATATGTGTTGAACTTAATATAAATAAAATTACATAACTAAAAATAGTTTCCATTCAGAAATTCAGATTCCCAATAGTAGTTGAACAATTAAAAGTAAAGAGTAAAGAAGTTCTTATAATTGTGATTTATAATAGTTCTATGAATAAATTTCAGAATTTTTGTGAAAAAGCAGAGTGAACAAAGTTTGATATCTCCATTCTTGAATTCTCAGTATTAAGCTTGGATATTTTGGCCGATTGTATTTGTTTGTTATCCCACTCCAATTTTCGATTGATCAGTTATTCACTTACTTGTATATTTAAGTCTCTTTAATCAAATACTTCCTCTTATTATCTACAATTCTGTATTTATTCTATTAAACTTTGTTCTACTTCTCTTAATTGCTGAACCTATTTGCTCAAATTGAATTCAATATTTTTTATTGATAATTCATGCTATATAATAGTCTGTAATCCAGAATTCAGTTTATCTATTTATTAATGATAATAATCTAAAAATAAAATAAATCTATTTACTCTCCTTTTAATTCACATTTTATAATTGATATTTTAGTTTATCAACATATTATTCGGCTTCTCTTAAATTTTGATCTATAATAAACTCCTTCTCCTGCAAACATTTCTCTCTAATCTTCAATTTATTTTTTTCTAATTCTAATGTGTTTTACTAATCCTCTAATTGCTTCATGCTAATCTATAATTATTATTCCCTCTCCTTCATTTTCTCTTCCTGTAACTAAACCTTCTCCCTGAAATTCTATTCTTATTCTCCTAAAACATTGAGTTTATCCTTTATTTGGGATGCCAAAATGCGTATTTCCTTCTCCCCTTTGCTTAGTTTCTTAATATAAAACAAACATACATTCGCCCTTTCTTCTATTGATTTATGTTCCTCTTCCATCACTTACTTTGTTCTATCTAGCTCCTCACATTTCCACTTGTATTTCTCCTTTATCCTAACCAATTCTAATTGATTCGGATCATTTGTCACTATATCAGGAATAGTCAATTAATATTAGGTTGCAAATCTAACACCTAATTTCTTTTCTTAAGTGAGATCTGGATTTGTTTGTCTTTAACTTAGAAACGATGATTTCTGCAAACATTGTCCTAGTGATTTTCTCATTATATTTAACAGATCAATAAATTAAAAAATTAATATTACTACATATCTGGAATTCTTATGATCTTATCATTAAAATAGAAATAAGAATTGTGAATTACTGAAACGAATTTTGAAATTTCAGTTGATTTTTAGTCCTTACAAATTTAACCATATTACTTGATTTTTCATTTGAATTTATTCTGTTTTTTATTTTAATTTCTATTATTCTGCTTTATTATCCTTATAACTATCAGTTGAATGGACTTTTTAACTTTTAATTGTCTATAATTTATTAATATATTTGAGTTCTTTTTGATATATATGATAACACTTTTAATTTAGAGATTTGATCATCCTCTATAATGTGAAATCTTGTTTTCCCTCTGCCGAAGTTCCTTTTTTCTAAAACTTGATAAAATATTTATTCAATTATTATATAGCATATGCAGTACGAAATAACAATGTTGATGAGATGTATTAATAAATTGTTATATTTTGTTATTTTACAATGCAATTTAATTGATTTCTTAAAGAATATAGTATCTGTAACTTATATCAAATAGGATGCATAGAATCAATTTTCAAATTATATTCATAAACAATCATTAAAAATTAGAGTGGCTTATAGGATGATACTGTATTTTAGGCCTCCAGCAAAAACCCTTGTTTCTTAATTATAAAATTCATTATTTTTCATTTTAAGTTTATGTCTTTAACCGAATTGGTTAACACTTATGAAACAAGAGACTCTCATCACTAATAAAAAAAGCCAATACTTAAATCTTCTTAATAGAAAATATATTCAACACTTCCAAGATTGGACTGGGCTGGAAATGAAATAATTAAAGGAGGATCGCATAAAATTGCTTTTATTAGTTAAGAAAATACTTCCAGAACCTTCTTGGACCTACTCTCCAACGAACTATCTGATTAGAGTGACGAGGTTGATGAAGATTATAATGAAATGTTAAACTGTTAAAATGTGAAGAACGTAAGTAAACTACAACCAGAACTAAGTGAATAGTCGAATTGTTGTTTTATTTATTGACTTTATTATTATATTGAGTTATTATATATTGATTTATAATGGAAGTAAAGTAAGGTAAAAGTTTACTTGATACACAATTAGATTCAATCTACATTCAATGCAATCCCTTTTAATTTATTCAATCCTTAAGCGTTATATTTGTTTTTTTACAAAAAAATTCAATATATAGTTAGCAAATAAACTGAAATTTATATAATATAAATGTTCTGAATTAATAAGTATCCTCATTATTATCAACTATTATGAAGAATTTATATTGATCTCGCACCACTCATGCTTAAGGCATTCTGAATCTATAGGTAACTACATCAGTGTAAGGAAGAGAAATTCAAAAAATACAATACTTCAAATTTCAGTTCAATAATTAATATCTTGAAACTAATAAAAAATAAATTATTAAATGATTCATATTATTTGATTCACTCATTTTTGATTTTTAAGCCATTTTAAATTTAACTGATATCATATATTAAGCAACCCCACTTATTTTAGAAATTTATGGAAACTGTTTGATTAATTATTTTATTTATTACATTTATTTATAAAAATAATACAAAAAATGGGGTTATTCAAAAATTATGAAAAAATATTAATGCTCAATTTGGTTTGTTTTATTTGTATATTTTTTAAAGCAAATTCGTAATTAAGTGCAATCTTCTATTGACTGATTCATTTTTAACTAAATCTTCGCCTAGAGTGATTTCTTCATTTTAATGTGATCTAAAGTTTATTCTATTTATTTATTTGAAACTAAATAACTTTTAGGAATCAAATTGGAAAAATTATTATTAATTAAGAATTTTTGATTCATTCTAAGGAAGGTATTGTAATGATTCTTAAATTTTGCTGCTATCAGTCTCCTAAAATTTGAAACTATATTATATTGACTCCATTTCTTAACAGAGATTACTTTTTCTTTAGGAGCTTTTAGTTTATAGGTCTTTTAATGCCATAAACTGACATGCCAAAGATGAAAATAAGTCCGCATTTTTTTTTGTTTATGTTTTAAAAGCCATTTTAAAGATTTCTGAATTTAAATTATTCCCCATTTTTATCACATGCTCATTTATCACTTTTATTAGTTCTAACAATGGTGATGATATACACCTTATCAAACTGGCAGTTAGAAGAATCAAAAATGCACAGCAAGCCATCTAAATCTATATTTACTGAAACAATTCTGCCTCCAAATTATTGATTAGTATATTGATCTCATCTGAAATTTCTTATTCATATGTGACATTTTTAAAGCTTTAAAAAATAATAATATTTATTACACGATCATGGTTAAATTCTCTTTATAAAATTGATATGTATAAACGAATACTGATCTTTAATATATTTTGTTCAACAAATAAAATGTGTTATTTACATTTTCATTAATTTTAGAATTTTCTTAAATGGTTTACCAATCTGATTCATTAAATCCAGTGTATGTAGTATTCGTAATTCTTACTAATCCTGTGATTTAATGGAATGTATCCATTGTACTTAAAATAACATCGCCATTTTAGTGAACTAATAAGATATTTAATGGAACATTTTAAATATTAGTGTCTGATATCGGTAGCAGTTATAAAACTATTCCAAACATTGAGTTATTTCTAATTAGAGAATAAGTCAAAGCTGAATAAGGTAGGTTATTACGAGCAGATAGTAATATGGGCGAATAAAAATAGCTAGAATTGGGATGAATTTTGGATTAAGCCATATGATTGACATACCTATCAGGTTATTTGATTAATTACCAAGGTCGGGTGTTTAAATTATAATTCTTATATTTGAATTAATTAGGGAAAGAAGCAAAGAATTAGGCCTTTGGTAAATCAAAAAATGACATTTTTGAGTCCTCACTAGTAATAAATTATTAAGTAAATGGACTCAGCAAAGTCAAAGTATCATTAAAATCTTGTTCTTCATCATGAGATGTTACAATTTCAAATCCTTGGCATATAATATCTGAATTATAGATTACTTTGTATTCTTTGATTTAAGTTTATTCAATGCATTCTTAAAATTAACTATTAATCACCTTATATCGACTTTTCGACTGAATAACATATTAAAAGAAATCATTTGAATGCTATAAATTTGATAAAGCTATCTAAATTATTCAAAATACTTTGATAATTTTTGTGCTCTATATATTATCTAAGTTGATCAGAGATTATTTAAACTAGATGTTACTCTTGTTTCTGCGATAAGGTTTGAGAAAATGATTGAATAAAAGTGAAAAAGATTGCTGATTGAACCTAATACGTAGCTAATATCACCAGCACAGTGAAAGTGACGATACAAAAGTTAATAAGAGTGATCTAATTACTCATTCTAAGAGATTTGAAGTAATTTTTAACTTTTTTAAACATTCACAATTATTATTATATATCATGATTAAATAATTATGTTAGACACCAAAAAAACATAGTTGAACAAATTAAATTTATATATCATTAATTATTAATCTTTCAATAATCCTCGGTTTGTGTTTAGGAAGGCTAAATTTATTGCTTAACCAAAACATCCTATTGTTACAGAAGATTGGACCCAATATTTTTTTTTGTATCTTCATTTGAAAATGAACCCTTATCAAGCATTTTTAATCCTGATTACGAATTGTCTTCAATTAAATTAAAATTTACCTTCCTCCTTTTTGTAAATGTAAGATGACTCCTACGAGGGTTGTTATTAGTTTTATTGATGTTATTATTACGATTATATATTTTGTTGTTATTATTCTAATTTTTTCCTTTTCTCTTGTTCTTTTAATTCTGCTAATTTAATTTTGGTGAAATTTTGTTTTGCTTATTTAAGGGCTGTTTTATATTTATAAAATTTTTCAAAAAATTTATCAAAAGGAACTTTTGTTTCAGCATAATAATTAGCAAGATCTTCATATTATGTTTCAAGCTATTTTAATAAAATCTCAAAATTAGCTAGATCGGAAAGAATTTATTCATAAAAATTCTATAACCTCTCTTCTACCATATCTTGAATCGGAAGAGACACTTTTGATTTTATGGCCTTATCAACATTTTTCGAATTTTTTTTTAGCTCGGTTAAATCAGCATTCAACTAAGTCAAAGGGGTTTTAGCTATATATATCTTAATAAATACCAGCCAATTCAATTTCTTCTAAATTCTCATCAACCAAAACTAATTCCTCTTTTAGATCTTCTTCCGCTTTTTCAATGATAAACATTAATAAGTTGCCTTTATTGTCAGTGGTTTTAACATCAGTTAATTTCTCCATCATATCAAATTTAAATCCATATGCACCACCTCTAGCTGATTATCCATTCATGTAATTTCCTGCAGCCAAAGCATATTCCATGAAAACTTTCGTATTCTTATCATTTTTTGTCACTGTCATTAAATGTTTGAATATATCAATTTTGGTTTACAAATCTTCTGCTAATTCTTTATAATTATATTTGAATTTCAACGATAATAGCCTAATTGATATTCTAAATTAATAACCTATAATCATATCCTTTTACTGAGCTAATATTTATACAAAATATGTCTGGTAAGGCTAAGTTTGATTAGTCCGAATCCTACCACATTACAACCTCTGTATCATTTGGCATTGCAGTAATTAAAGATTCAACTATATTTGGTCTTAATACAGTTTCATCTAGTCTTACAATTTAGTTTAATATCAATACTGATAGAGACTTTCAACTATTAATTAATTTGACATTTTAAGTTTGCCTAGCACTATCTCTAGATTTTTCATTCTCTCCGGTCCTAACATTGAAATTTTCCCCGGCTTATTGGTTCCACCTTGAACATTGATATTGCTAGATGTTGGCTTTGCTGCAAATAAATTCTCAATAACATTGTAATCTAATTTTAATTTAGTATCATCGATTGATTCCCATATAGTATTTCTAATTTATTCCGGCTTTATAATCGTCCAGGGAACCTATTTTAACTATATATTAGGTTTATGTTTTTATTTCCCACCAAATTAAGGATCTGGGCCACCAGGAGGTCTTGGCCCAGGAGGAGGAGGTGGAGGAGGTGCACCACCAGGTGGAGGTCCTGGTGGTTTTGGCCCTCCTGGAGGAGGTGGAGGAGCTGGTGATGAAGCTCCAGTTTTAGCACCAAGTGGAGGTGGAGGAGGAGCAAGTGCTGATACAGATATTGTACCTGGAGGTGGAGGTGGTGGAGGAACTTGTGATATTTAAGGAGCAAGGGCGTTTGTTTAATTTTAACCTAGTTATGGTGAAAATGTATTCTATGCAATTATTGCTTAACTATTCAATTTCTTTTCTAAATTTTCTTTTTCTTATAGTGTTTGTTAAAGTTTTTCTTGAAGAATTTGTATATTAATTAATTGTTCTATAGAATAGGATAAGTAGGATACTTTTGCTTTCATCATCGAATTTATGAATTCCATTCTCCATTACTTTTTAATTTTCTCTCATTTCATCAAATTTTTATGGATATTTTTTTTATTATTCTAAGAGAATGGCTTATTCTTCTATGATACCATGTAATTTTGCCAGCTCATCTTAGTACTGCTCTATTGTTTTCAGTTCACTTTAAATTTTATTTGCTTATATTTTAACATAACTTGCAGAATTTACTTTTTCTATCAATTATTACAATTCTTTCTTTTTAGCATATTTTTTTTTTATCAGTTTCTCATTTCTTGCTTATAGTTCTCTACATTCTTTATTTTTTTCAGTTAATTAAATCTCTTTTGTAATTAGATTTTCATTCTACTCTTTTAATAATTGTTTAAATTCTATGAATAAGCAAAGATATAATTACTTTTTATTTCTTTGTCTTGATTGATGAATTTTTAATTTTAAGATTGCAACTCTTATTTGAGCTAATCTAATTACTGTCTCTAATCATCATTATAATCTGATTTGTAAGACAATCGTTGAGGAGTAACCTCTTATTCCAATTTTTGAGCCTTGGCTTATTGCATAATTGATAATTTCTCTCTTAATTGATTGACTTCATTTTCCAATTATTGAATCGTCTTCTGTTATGATTCACATTCTTATTGAAGTGTTCTATAGTCCTTATTTTTCGCTGCCAATTATTCAGTTAATTGAGATAAATTAGACTAATCTGATTTCAATTTTTTTTCCAAATCTCCTATTTTTTTCTGTAATACAGCCACAAATGCTTCATTAGTTATTTTCTTCGGATTCAGAGACTCAAGTTATGAAATTTCATTGCTTTCAAATTATTACTCATTTGGAAAATTATTTTAGTATTTGGAAATACCATCTGCAAAATCAGTAACATGTTAATTTCCTCTAATTTTAGATTCCTATTTAATAGTTGAATTTGCTTTCCCCATTTCATCTTAGATTAAATTTAAATATTGAGGTGTAAGAAAAGTAGGTTTTAGATGTTTTGCTTACTATTTAACCTCTTGTTTAATTGGATCTTACATTTTTTGAGTAGGCATATCTTTATTATTCTCTAAAAATGCCTCAATTTAATCTTCTATAATTTTAATCAACTTTGAAAACTTTCCTATGTCATAACACTTTCTAGATTCTCTGTGATATAACATTGGCAATGTAATTTCTTCAGTGTAATTTGGATCAGTTATAAATTAGTGTTTTTACTTATTTAACTCAATAATCTATTAAATAACAACTTCGAATCTTAGTTCATCAGCCTTGTATTCAAATTCTTCGATGTTATTGGTGATTATTTTATAAACATCAACAATACCTGAAGTGATAAGCTATTGACGCATTCTTTTCTTCTCCATATCTTGAGTTGGAGATTCAATTAATGTTATGACAAATGAACATATGGAAGAAATCATAAAAACATTTTTGCATTTTTTTAAGGTATTCAAAAAAAAGGTAAGTTCGCTGTCTGGGCACAATTTGTTCAGACTTTTTAGCACCAAATAATATCCTTCATCAGTTTGCCTACATAAATTAGATGCAATTTCTAATACTATGGTTGTCAATTCAACATGAATTGGGTGTAGATTTTTCAATATAATATCCATTGAGTCTGGGATATGCAACAGTTCCTATTAGTATTTTTCTATTTTCAAGAGCATTTCCAGTATGTTTAAGATTTGAATTTAATATAAGTAACAAGGAGGGTTCTTTTTATCAATTAATTATTGAGATTGTTTGTAAAATCTGAATAATTTTTCTAAGAGTAAATTTATACCATCATTAAATTGTTCTAATTAATCCTATTAATCATAAATCTATAGATTTTTGAGATGCCTTCTCAACTATTCCAAATCTTAGAGAGTTGGGTTAGCCAATTTAGATTTAAAATAGTTTACATAATCTTTTGGTAAATTTTATAACAAATTCTTTCCTGTAATGCTTTTATACTCATTCAAAATTAAACATTTGAAATCTAACTATTTTATTTCATATTACTTTAAGGAGTGCTTTAGAATTACTAAAGAAGCTTCGGCTCTACTTTCAATTCTTTTATTAAGTCAGATATCTAATGTTCAAGATCAATTGGTATTGCATTTTTCTAAATTGCCATCAATTTTTTTGGATCCAAAATAAATCGTATTGTTAATTATGACTCCTTTATCTATGTATCAATGGATATTGGGGATATTAATTTCCCATTTTATATAGCATTCCCCATTAAATTTTAAATTTAATTAATAATACCAAATGTTTGTTGTATAATATTAACATACTAAACTGAAAAATGATTCAAATTTGAATCTATTGATCATCAACGTGTCTTCATAATAGTTCTAGAATTGGAAGCTATTAGATGATATGATGTTAAATAATAAAAATTAGTTTATATTATTAAGAATAATTATAAAATGGGAATTTCCTTGAACAAAAAATTCAAAGATGATTACGAAAAATTATTCTCAGACCATCCTGAATCAAATAAAGCAATTCAATTGTATCCAGCGTTTTCGCATGTTAAAATGTATGTAAAATGAAGTAACAGAGTTCACAATGATTGGTATCGGTTAGCCAAAGCAGAGTTCAATGGTCTACCTCATGAAACAGAAGCCTTTCTGCAGAAATGGAGATCGAGAGAACAACATCCTCATCTATTCTTGATCCATAAAATATTCACAAATGAGAGTAGTCGGGCAGTCATTTATTTGGATTTCCCAGAATCCGTAGTAACAGAACTTGATGAAGAAACCTTTCTACCACTTTTAGATGCAGTATTACAGATAATGTCAAAATGGTAGAAATAGAGTAAGACATATTCTTACTTTGGATGCGATTCTGTTTATAAAGTAAATCCAAATATGCCAATAAATAGGTGAGATCCTTTGATGGATAAACCTACTATAAAATATTGGATCCAATGCTACATCCATATCTTATTAAGTTCTATAGAAAGTGTTGGTTATAAAAAAACACTAAACAATTAGAGCAATTATTAGCCAAGTTTTATTTGTCTCCCATCTAATTGGAAGCCTTGAGTAAGAAGGTAGAATACCCTATTCATAATTTCTATAAGTCAGATGTGTTTTGTTTGGGTTTATATATTTATAAATGCCTAACGTAAGACGATGATTTATATGACCTAATTAATTATAAGGTTAAATTGGATAAAATTAGAAGCAATATCTAGGGTATGACATTCCAAAACTATGCAAAAATGATTTTATTGAATATGCTCGAAGAAAACGAGGAAGATAGACCAGATTTCATTTAGCTTGAACTTAAGTTTACACATTTTGCACCTGAAATCAAATATAAAAGAATATTTCACAATATTAATTAAATGATTTTTGAAGAATCCTTATTACAAATAACTTAATTGGTAACGGAATAAAATAATGAATAAATTGTTCCTGAAGAAATATAGGGATTTAATTTTGATGATAGACTTGATTTTGAAAATCTACACTTTTCAATTTCATCTGAAACTAATCCGACAGCTGAAATTCATAAAATGGTTGGAAAAGGGTTTCACTCATAGATGATATTGAATAACAATAGATAACAAAACTTTTAATTAGATGAAGGAGTTATGAGAAAAACAAGAATAGATTTACCTTGCTTAGGATATGCTGATTTAAGTAACTGGAAAACTGCTGAAGGAATGTTTACAAAGGGAATGCTATAAGGATATGGTCGATTGACCTTTGTGAATGGAGATAAATTTGAAGGCTTCTTTATTAATAACAGAGCCAATGGAAAAGGTACATATTCTTTTCATGACAATCAATACTATAAAAAAGAAGGGACCTGGAAGGATAACAAATTTATTATCACAATTTGATAATTCTTTGAAAATAAATAGTATTATAATGTTTATTATATATTTATTCTCAGTGGCACATGCTTACTTCTCCAAAAAACTTGCACATGATTTATATTTGTACACCAAAATAGCAGTTTGTGATACTCAATAAATAAAAGAATGGAATTGTGGATATTTTTGTGATCAGCATCCTGATATGGATTCAATTAAAGTCATTGAAAGTAATAGAAATGGTGTTCTATCTTATGTTGGAATCAACCAAGCTGAAAATAGAATTATAGTCACATTTCGAAGTACGATTGTTAAAAACCTTAGGTACTTAAAATTTGCTTAATTTCATCAATGATTTGAAATTTATGAAATAAGATTACCCTTGCTATGATTGTAAAGTGCATTCAGGGTTTATGGAGAGTTATCTAGATATCAAAGAGGATTTATTAAAATAAGTGAATGAATTGTCAGTACTCAATCCGAAGGCATAATTAACAATAACGGGTCATTCTTTGGGAGCGGCCTTGGCAACTTTGGCCGCTATTGATCTTACAAATATTGGACTATATATTCATACATTTTATATATTTGGGTATAGATTTAAATCCCATTTTGTAGATCACCTAGAGTTGGAAACAAAGCTTTTGCAGAATATTTTAGTAAAAAAATAACTACCTAAGACAAAGCAAGAGTAACTCACTTTTCGGATTTGGTTCCTCATTTACCCCCACAATCATTAGATTATATACATGCTGTTCCAGAGTTTTGGTTTAATCAAGATTTTAAGGAATATTAATAGTGTGAATATTCCTAGTTTGAAGATGATAAGTGCTCAAATTCTATGTGGAGTCATTCTATTAGAGATCATCGAGATTATTTTAATATTAAATATCGATGCAATGACAGTTTTTATCAAAAGAAAACAAAAGAATAAATTATACTCTGAAATATTAAAATTTGTATTATATTAAATTAGCAATTTAAACAATAAATATGTTAGTTATTTGTTCTATTTTCCATATAATATTGTAAATTCACAGAAACATTAAAAGTTAAGATAAATTTAAATATTAGACTGCAAAAATTCTATAATCAATTTCATTAGTCAACCTCATTTAACACAAAATCAATTTAATCAATTCTTTAGGCACTTTCATTTTGCATTTTTAAGATAAGTGAATCATCATTATCTTCATCTTATTGCTTTTACTAAGCAATATTTCCTGAAGAAATTGATTTAATCATAACTTAAGTTTTCATCCTTCTAGTCATTTTTCTTTTCTCAAGGAGTTCGTCTTAAAAATTGAGAGATTCTGTAATTTATTTTTCAATATTTTATTACACTTTATCGTATTCTTGGAGCAGTTGATTCATATTGTGAGTTTGATTTACCTCATTGTTTTATAATTCTTATTAAATCTTCAATTCATTTGCCTGAGTTTTTTTATAAACACTAAATCTCATCTTTTCTTAAATTTTGGAACCTTATTCAGGTAAGGCAAGTACCTTTTATTTCTTTAACAACTATATAGTCTCAGGTCTGCTAATTAAAAATTAGATTTTCTCAAGAAAATACTCTCTCATAGCGCACTTCTAATTATCAAATATTTAAACAAAATCTTAGTAAATTTCTAACATTTTATTTACATGCTCTAAATTATAAAGTTTTTCATGAAATCTGGCTTCTAGTTATAATAAAATTTTTAATGTATTATTATCTATTACCATTTTAATTGTAAAATAATATTTTTATTATTTCTAATATTCAACATACTTAAATCAAATATAGATTAGATATTCAAACTATAATTCTTTTTATATAAATAGCCAATAACAGCATAACAAAATCTACAGAATAGTGAATCTACATACTTATTAGATATAGAATACTTGAAATTCTAATAGTTCTCTGACTTTAATTTGTAATTTAAATTTATTCCAAACCCTTATGATTGTTCTTTTGTCTCATTTACAAAAAACTAAAGTCTTATGTTATTTCGATGTGAATCCATGAGGAGGCACAATTCAAACTTCCGCTGTTTTAATCAAATTGATGAATTAAATTGGTAGATGTAAATGAAGGATTTATATATTAAATACATAAAAATATCAACCAAAAACTTCTAAGTCAGAATAAGTGATGTATAAAAACCCATCCTCGGGATCTTTTTTCTTCTCATATATATCTATTAATTTGACATCTATTTAAGCATTAAATTAATTATACCCTCAGGGAGAAGTTGATTACCAATATGAAAATATAAGGATTGCTTAGGAGATATTTACAAAGTGTTTTTTAAGGTATCTCTAAACTAAAGTATGCGAAAACCTTTTGTGACTAAATATCAATATGATTAAGATCTCACTTACAATGATTTATTTAATTATGGCATTTTAGATTTAGGATGTTTCTCTAAAATGACAGGAATCATTTCAGGATGTTGACTTAATTTTTATTTACATCTCATTTGTCTCTCTTCCAGACTATTCAATTCCTTGTACGATTTAAAATTGACCGATGCTTAAAACATAATTGTTCTTTTTAATAAATTAATTAATTTTCCAATAATCAAAAGAAATTTTATAAAATATACAATAATGGAATAAATGTCATGAGTTTATTTCTTCAATTACATTAATTGACTTCAAATAATTAATTTGCTCCTAACTCAATTGGTATCTCTAACCGTTTTAATCCAAGACATAAGAACCATTTGAAATCAGATAGCCATTGCTATCCAATTCATATTGTTGAATCTATTAATAATCACTCCTTGAATCATCAAGGGTCTTTTCTGATATGGCAGACATCTGGCATTTATCTAGGAAATAGTTTAATTAACTTACATTTATTATTAATTTGTTGTTTAATCGGACTAGCTGTGTTTATGGGAGCAAGTTCTGGTTTGATTTCTGCAACCATTTGCTCAACTATATTTATGTTATTAGGTGATATTGTTTAGCTGAGATAAGAGGAAACTTCCTCATTAAACTATTAAAACCTCTTTAGATCTTAGCTGATAAAATTTGATTATGGTGTAGATATTTGAGATTTTTTTATGCCTTAAACCATTTCTGTAATTGCATCTAATTAAGTCTATATTTTAATTTCTGTCTTATTTGTACTTTCAAGTATACTCTTTTTTAATTTCTCCATCATCGATTGGGTGTAAACTTGTGTCTTCTATTCTTAATTGATTATTAATAACTATAATTCTCCCATCTTCAATTCTAATTGCTTAATTTTATCCTTAATTTGAACATCGTTGTTTAGTTATCCAATCCCAGAATCATACAATTATTTTACGCTTTATTCATTACTACTCATTCTATCATTTAAGGATTTTATTTAAATTTGAAATTGTTCGTTTAAAGTGTTTTACTCATATTGCAATTAGATTACTTATAATTTTAGTTTATCGAAGAGCTATTCTTAAGGTTTCTAGGATTCAAAACTATCCTGTGTTTTACCTGAGGGTAGGTTCTGATATAATTTATTTCTTATATATACATTTACGAATCGAATCTAACTACATGAATTGTGTTTCACTGGTCCTCGATTTTCCTTACCGACTGATTGCTAACGGATTTCGGATGGGTAATAAGTTGGAACAACTGGTTTCATGGTTCTTGCATAATTAATTGGGCCAGAATTCATTTTATATTATAATTAACGAATAGATGATATATGATTAAATATATTCAAAATCAACGTATTTCCATTATCACCTATTATTAGTAAATAAGAATAATCTCATTAATTAAGCAAATTTATTAAATCATTTGATATGAACTATTGAAACGAATACTTCCTCTTATTTTCAATTTATAAAGCTTCTACTAAGGCATTTAACGTAAATTTCAAAGATTGAAATATTATTTCATCATCAGATTAATTATCATCATCCTGATTCTAAAATTATTTTGATGATATTTTACTCTTGGTCGAAGTAGTTGATCCTCTCCCTTTTGATGCATTATGATGTTGTCATTGTAACATGGAAATGCACAAACTCTGTTTTGTTGCTTTAACTTTATGTAGGATTTTTGTTTAATTTTAATTGCTTTAAATTATTCTTTGCTTGCTTTGATTTCAGCATAGTTAGAAATTTCTTTCACGTTTCTTTTTATTCCTTGCTTAATTTCTACTGTCGAGTAATTTGAGTCCTAATTATAAGGATTGCTTAACATTATTAACTTTAAATTTGAATAAAATTTTTCCCACAATTTTGCTTTTATTTCAAATATTATATAATTATTAAATTAAATCTTTTATTTAATAATAAATGGCAAGAGGTACACCAGCAATCGGTAAAAGACATTAAAAGACTCATACATTTTGTAAAAGATGTGGTCGATAAACATTCCACATTTAAAAAAATAGATGTGCTTCCTGCGGATATCCAGCGGCAAGATTGAGACTTTGTATACCCATCATTCTATACAATTATAGATAGTGGATGGGGAGAAAAAGTGGCTAGACGCAGATCAACAGGAACAGGAAGAATGAGATACTTAAAATCTATTGCAAGAAGAGCAAAGAATGGGTTTAGAGCAGGAACTTAGGCATAACCAAAAGTTAATAAAACTTAAAAAAAGTGAATAATCATGCTTTTAAAAATAATGCATTAATTCTACATCATTTCTTTCCAAATATTCTTTTGAAATCCTGCTAGATTTCTATTTTGTAAAGTATACGTAATTGAATTGTCTATGTCTAATGTCATTAAAAAATTAAATCTTTAAAATTTAAATATTAATAAATAAATAAGATTATGTCCACAAACAAAGAATAAATTAAGGCTGAACTTGACGAGAATAGAAAGAAATTAGCAGAAAAGTTTGGGTAAACCAAAATGGGCAGCACTTTGGCAAGAAGAAAGCATAAAAATGTTCATCAAACTCAAGTATAGAAAGGAATTAATCATATTAGATTAATGATGACAAGAAATTGAAATAAGTCATTAAGAAGTTTGGTGTCTAGCAATTAGGAAATATTGATGAAGTCAATTTTTTCAAGGATGATAACACTATAATCCATTTCTCAAAACCAGAAGTCCAAGCAGCTATTGGAAGCAATACATTTGCAATATTTGGAAATCCAGAAACTAAAAAGTTTTAAGAATTGATGCCAGAGATTTTAAATCACATTGGACCAAACCAAATGTCTCTTCTTTAAGAATTAATGAAAGAAACTTAAAAGGTATGATATTTTAAATAAAAATTAGGAAAAAGTTGAAAAAATAGCCGAAGCTGATTAAAAAGACGAAGATGATATTCCTGTATTAGTATAGGGTTAAAACTTTGAAGAAGCAAGCAAGAAAGAATGAGTTAAATTATCATATATTATGTATATCGGCCATTAAACATAAGACTTATGAAATAAAACAAATTATATATTTTTAATTTAATTAACAGATGATTAATTTACCTGTTGATGTCGATGTCTAGATGATCCAAAAAAATAAGCTTTTCTAAAAATTTATGCAATAATAATAGCAGGAAACATAAGCATAAAACCCTCAAATTTAATAGAAAATACACAATAAATCCAATCATGATTCAATAGAGGATTAAAAATATTCTCACGAGAAAATGGAAGAAAGTTCTATCTATTAGGATTTTGCTAACTTTGCTAAAGCTACTAATTACAAGCAATCGTCACCTTATAATTATCATAAGTAGCAATTTCAATAAATTCCATAATTGAATTAAAATTCTGGAAGCAATAATACTTAAGAAATAAAGGATTTATAATTGAAAAACAAATCGCTTCTTTAGTAGAATTCTATTTTATAGTAATCCTTGTTAGATCTTTAGCAAGCTATACATAGACAAACAATTGATTTAGATTTACAGAAAAATGAAATATTAAATTAAAAGAGAGTAGTTTAAGAATAACAGATAGAGATAGAGTAATTGAAAAGGTAACTTTCAGAGAAAAGAAACAGTAGTTTAGAGAAAACCAGATAATTTGCAATTATTCAAACTCAATTAATATAATCAAACCAAATGGTAGAAAAACTTATTTCTTAATTGATGAATTAAGAATCACAATTAAGTGTAAATTTTTATGTTATCCATAGTTGTATCGACAAACTTAGATTAATTTCCCAAAAATAGATAATTTATAATTGAATGTAGACTAAAATAAATCAAATTTGATAAATGCATAAAATCTTCTTAGCAATCCATCATCGGTAGCATAACCTTATTCAGCTCAATATCAATAACAATCATAATCATAAATGCCTCACAATACAACATAATAATAATAATAATAATAATCATAACAATCATACCAAATACAATAATAATAGATTTAAATTTCATAGTAGTAATAAAATCCAAATCCTGTGAGTATGCCAACAAAATAATAGTTATAGTAGGATGCTGATACATCGTATGAAAGATATTTAATGCATAAAAGAGGAAGACATTGATTCTATTTGAATGATTTAGTTTATATTTCATTTATGAATTCAAATTATTTTTCATTACTTTTATAAAAATGAGTTTATAAACGAGATCAATGGAAAGAACATCAGCCGGCGAAAAATAACAAACTTGGCAATAATATAGAATTTTTATAGAGGAAATGAATACATTAATTGGATCAGCTTTAGTGGAGGAATTTAGAAATGATAATGAAAACGATATTAATCCAAATATCATTGTTGGGAATGGAGAAAGTTTACCCAGAGGAGCTACTAAATTAATTAATGCTGCAGATCCAAAAGAATTAGGCCAAATAGTATTAGATAGTGATATTGTAATATTTCATCAGAATTATTGCAGAGCAGAATATGCTTATAAATTATTAAAGCATGGGTAATTCTAGTAGTCGAAAATCTTTATATTAATAAGTAATCCTCTGACATGGTCTACAACACCATTAAAAGATAGAAAAAATGATGAAACTGCTATGAGATAGTCTATGGGAGGGGATGCAGATGATCAACCATTTTTGAAAAAGTATGATAAATTTACAGAAAATGATCTCCCTACAAGAAAAATACATTTCTTAGAAAGATTAAAGAATTTAGAGCAATAAATAATAGTTTGCGATAAACCTTAATTGCATGCATACGTAATAACTCCAGGGTTAGTATATGGAAATGGAGAGGATATTTTATATGACTTATTTAAAACTGCATGGATGACACCAGATGCAGAATTGCCAATTTATGGAGATGGAAACAATATTATCCCTATGATTCATGTTAATGATTTAGCCAATATAGTAAATAAAACAGTTACATTAACCCCAAATGAAAAGTATATTTTTGCAGTTGATTATGAAAATATGACTTAGAAGAAACTAGTAACTACTATTGCTAAATCTGTCGGAAATGGTCTTACAAAGAATGTCACAACTCCTACTGAAAAGATGTTAACCATAAATATTTGGCTTAGACCAACCTAAGTATTTGAGTCAGAGGATCAATATATTGATGCTAAGAAAAACCCTATAATAATATGGCAATGCAAAGAAGGATTTGCAAAAAATATTTTAAAAATTAGGGAACAGTTTAAACTCTATAGAGGTTTAGATACTGTTAAATTAATCGTGCATGGAGGAACAGCTTCAGGAAAATCAACCCTTTGCAAATAATTAGCCAACTTTTATAGAATTCCTCACATATAGATTAAACCCTTAATTTAAGAATTAATTGAACAATAATCTGAATTAGGAGAATTAGTAAGGACTACTTTATAATAAGTAAAAGATCAAATGGTTGCAGAAGCATTAGCCATTTTTGAAGCTGAGAAGAAAAAGAAAAAGGTTCCTAAAGGTTAACCAGAACCTGTTTTTGATCCCTCGGGCATTTAACCAAGACTTCCTGACTCAGTCTTAATATAAATTTATAAATGGAGATTGGACTAAAATGATGCTTAAAATTTAGGCTATGTGTTAGATGGTTTTCCTAAAACATTAGAATAATATGAAAAATTATTCGTCAAAGAGGAAGGCTAACTCATTGAATCTATAAAACCAAAAGGTGTGATTTATTTAGAATACCCAGATGACTAATTAAAAGAAAGATCAAAATTAATTATTGATAATCCTAGATATACAGAGGAGTAAGTAGTCAAAAGACTGGCTAATTTTAGAAAGAACAATGAATAATTATTATAGTAATATGAGTAATTTGACATAAAACGAATCTCGGATCAAGAAAGTGCTTTTGAATAATCAAAGGATTTTATTACTAGAAATGGACCTATTTTAGTGTTGCAAGACGTTAAAGAGGAAGAGGTAGTTTAGATTGAAGAATAATAAGATGATTGCACACCTTCCCATTAGGTTTCTTCTCTTCAACAAGAAAAGGTTGCTGCTGTTTAATAATCATAAGTTCAATAATCCTAAGTAGGACCAAAAAAAAAAGGAGATTAACTAAATGTAACTAATTAAATGTATTTTATTTTTAGAAGTCAATCAATGAAAGTAGATTATCAAAGGATAATAAAAAGTTAACAGATGAGCAAAAGCAAGATCTTATTAGACAATAGGAAAGGGAACTTTTAGATTAACGAAGTCAACCTTTAAGACAATATTTGGCTGATAACGTTGTTCCATTTTTAACAGAAGGATTAATAAATATATGCGAAAAACACCCTGAAAATCCATTATAATTTTTTAGCTGATTTTTTGGAATAAAAAGGAAATGAATTATAATAATTGGGGCAATGAATTTATTATAAATAAAATAGTAATTATATTATTTTAATCCAATCAAATATCTTTATTTTAGAAATGAAAATAATAAGAAATATGAAAGGAAGCAGTATGGGATTGCACTTAAATTTGAATTTATTAATTTGGAAATATGGAAATATAATAACAATTATAAATATATTTTATTTGTTTATGAGTAAAAAATATAAAGACATAAGGGCAAACTTTGTTTTTGAAGTTGCTCCTAAAAGTACTCACTAATCAAGCGATGAATAGGCTATGACAATAAAACAATCAGACCCAATAAAAATTGATAATCAGGAATAGGATGTGCAGGGAATGAGTTAATAACGATAATAAAATTTTGATGAGGAAAAGTTGAAATCGTATTAGAAAATGTTTGAAATGTGTCAACAATTATATAATGACAAAGCTTAATTAATAGATGTATTATTGTATTTAATTAGAGACAGTCGATTAATAATAGAAATAAATATTAGAACTAGAGAGACAAATTAATGGATATGAGAATTTGCAAGCAAATTATGAAAAGGAGTAGATGCAATTAAAAGAGGAATAATAACAATATATTTAAGAGATTGAAACATTGACATGTCAGTTATAAGTAGTGATGGACTAAAGATAGGATATAAATTAGATATAAAATAATTAGGATGAGACCTATGAATAATTAATGAATTTCATCTATAAGGAAAATCTTTCTGAGTTGATAAATGATTTGGATAAAAGTAATAAAAAGATGATTGTATTGTTTTTAGTAGAATATGTAAATTGTTGTTTTGATGGTTTAGTTAATTAACTAATATGTGTAAAAAAAAAATCAGGAAGAAATCTACTAGATCCATATTTAAGACAATATTTAAATAATTTATGATTTATAAAGTAAAATTTAAGACCTTACTTATAATCCTTTCAGAATAACTACTCCTAAGAGTGTATTAAGCGACACTTTAAAATAGAGTAAGATGAGCAATAGTGCAAGCAATTTCCATAAAACTAGTAGTAATAATAATGTTGACAAGGAGGAATTGTAACAAAAGATTGGTATTATGATACTCTTAATTAGCTTCTTTAAAGCGTTAAGGAAAGCAGATAAATTAAAAATGGCAAGAGTTTTGTGAAAATATTCTAAGAGAAAGGAATGAAGTAATAAAATACCACAAGAAATAAATTGAATCAATTAATGAGTAGAATATTGAATTAAAGAAGACTATCTCTGAAATTATACAATATTTGGGATAGAATTAATAAGACTTATGGATTCAAATGTTAGATATTAAATAAAAAATACAATTTAAGGTTATTGATTTGAGTAGAAGCGACAATGTCAATAAACTATTGGTGGAAGCTGAACTTAAACAATTATTCTCAATATAGGCGTAATTAAGAAGTCAATTAAATCGTAATAGACCGTTAAGAAAAGATTTATAATGAATTATATGCTAAAGAGATAATTGTTGAGTAGTATACGTGTTAATTTTTTATTTTAATTTATGAGACTTCTTCATTTGCTTAGACCAGCACTTTCTATCATTCCAGAAGTTCAAGAGCCAAGATTCCCTCAACCACTGAAGGTCAAAGTGCTCATTACAGGAATTACTCTCTTTATCTATTTGATTTGCTGCTAAATACCATTATATGGTGTGTACCGTACCTCAGGTATTTTTTCAGGCAAAATGTATTAGGATCTGATCCATTCTATTGGATGAGAGTAATCTTGGCTTCAAATAAAGGGACTTTGATGGAATTGGGTATTTCACCAATTGTAACATCTGGAATGATTTTATAATTCCTAAGTGGAGTAGGATTTATTGAGGTTAATCATTCTGTTAGAGAAGACAAGGTATTATTCAATGCAGCATAAAAATGTAATTCTAATATCAAATTTTAGTATTGTCCTTTATTATGGCAATAGCTGAAGGAATGGCTTACATCTGGTCTGGTGCATATGGTGACATAAATCAAATTGGAGCAGGGAATGCCATTCTCATTTTGTTATAATTAACATTTGCTGGTGTTATTGTTACAATGTTAGATGAAATGCTATAAAAAGGATATGGTACAATATAAAAATTTAAATCTTTTAGGATTGGGATCTGGTATTTCATTATTTATCGCAACTAATGTAAGTGAAAACATTCTCTGGAAATCTTTTTCACCTATTACATTGTCCACTGAAGCTGGAACTCAATTTGAAGGTGCAATTATTAATTTCTTTCATTTACTATTCACAAAATAAAATACACGTAAAATTAATGTAATTGTTTAGTTTAAGCACTTTATTATGCATTCTTCAGAGAATCAGCTCCAAATCTTAATAATTTATTAGCCACTCTATTTGTGATCTCATTGGTTATTTATTTGCAAGGTTTTAGAGTAGAAGTTCCATTAGCAAGCTAAAAAATTAGAGGATTAGTGTCATCACATGGAATTAAATTGTTTTACACCTCCAATATCCCAATGATTATTCAAAGTACTCTTGTTTAAAATGTTTATTTCCTTTCATAATTACTCTATAGAAGATTCAAAACCAATTTCTTTGTGAAATTGCTTGGTACATGGTAAGAGGCAGAATTCGGTGGTTAATCAGTACCTATTGGAGGATTGGCTTATTATATGTCACCATTAAGAGATGTTAAGGATATTATTAATGATCCAATTCATGCAGTTGTTTATGTGTTATTTGTTGTTTTTATGTGCGGTTTCTTTGCTAAATTTTGGATTCAAATTTCAGGAGAAAGTGCCAAAGATGTTGCTAGAAAATTCAAAGATGAATAAGTATTAATTAAAAATGAAAAAAGATTAAAATTAAAGGATTGAGAGAAGAATCAATGGTCAAATATTTATCAGGTTATATTCCAGTGGCAGCTTTTTGTGGAGGAGTTTGCATAGGATTATTGACTATTGTTGCTGATATTTTGGGTGCTATAGGATCAGGTAAATTTTTAATTTTTATTAACTCAGGAACTGGAATTTTGTTGGCAGTAACAATTATTTATGGGTATTTTGAAACATTTCATAAAGAAAAATCTGATAATCAATCCATATTTTGATCAATAGCAGTTTATCTATATTTATGTATAAATCTTATAGTAATTTATTGAAAAAATGATATTATTTATGTTTTTGCATGATTAATTTAATATAGTTTGGATACTTGAACGTCTTTGACAAACTATATTTTCTAAAAATCGTCTATATTTGATCGATTAAATATTCTATCCTCTTAACAAAAACCGAATAAGGAACCATATATCAGAAATTCAGTCATAGTTAGATATGCATTCGCAATTACTGATGAATTATTAATTTAGAAATACAGTAATTCTTTATTTTAGTTTCCTCTTTTTTCAAGGTATTATTTATAATTGATTTTCTTAATTACACGATTTATTAGGCTATATGAATTCAGATAAATACAAAATTGATTCTATATTCAAATAATATTTATAAGTTCATGCATCATAAATGAATTGAAATAAATAATTATTTCTAATACTGAGTTTTAATTTGATTATTAAAGTAATTTGAATCAAAAGGTTTTGCATATGTGATAATTTTATATTATTTTTATTTCCAAATATGGGATGGGAATACTTTAATTGATATCAAGGCTAGATAATTCAAACGAATTTGACTTCTATTATAAATAATTTCGGCTATTCTAAATTGCGAAAGAGCACGTTTTTAGTCTATTAAAGTCATTCACAAAAATATGCCCTATATAATTCTAATCATCTTAGATTTTCAATTTATGCTAAACTCTGTAATAAGGGATTAACAATATTCGTAGTTGTTTCCATGATTACTACAATTAAAGTATTTTCATTAAGCTCTTATTGATGTAGTGTAATATATTTAATTCTGCTGGCTGTTTCAAAGCGTTTAAAATTGCTGTGGTAGAGAGGAAACGATAAACCTTCTATTCTGTTAGACAATATCCAAACAAAATCTATATTATGAATTTTTATATAGAGAACATATAAAATTTGATTCAAATTAATATTTAATAGAGTTACAAGCTAGAATCTTCTGTATTTGTCTAAATTGCATAATTTATATGACTTCAAAAGCATCTTATATTTTATTCATTTTATATATAAAATAATTTTCTATAAAGTATTTGCTAAGAAAGTATTCTTATTATAAATCTTTGCTGAAGTAATATCACTTTTCTGTATTATTCTTAATAGCTGAATCATAATTTTCTAAAACCTTCTCTCACAAATGAAGTAAGGACAATTGCAAACTACTTCTAAGCAAAGTCAGCAAGAAATGTTTGATCACTAATTAATAATAATGTATCATAACTTCATCCAGGTGTTGAAATAAAATATGGTTGACCAAGCTTTTACAATACTTTATAAAAAATTAGAAGGTTTTGAGTATTTCAAAATTAAAAAATTTGATACTTCTTAACTATTCCCTCATTATTTTTTCGAATAATTTTACATTTAAAGGAGGGTATTTAACAAAATATTTTATTAATTAAATCACCTTAAATTATGCATCATCAAATAAATGAGAATTGTGTCAGTTCTCACACTAACAGAAAGAAGACTAAAGTGTAGATATTAAATAAAATAAAAAGAGGGAGTTCAATGGACTTGTAATAAAGTCACTTTTCAATTAAATCAAATACCACGTAAACTGCATCTTCTAGCAATGAGATGAAATTAAGAAGAAGAAGTTTTTCTAATTTTATTTCTAATTAATATTTAGATTCAATAGAAAAGAGCCAAAGAACTAAAAAGATAGTTTAAATCAGCTCTTTTATAAAAATTAGAAAGACCAAATGATAGTAACTCATAATCAAATTAAAATAACTCAAAATAAAATAACCCAAATCAATAAAATGAGTTTGATGAGAAAGAGAATGATATTTGCAAAACGAGAAAAGATGAAGTAAAATTAGAGAATTTCAGAAGTTTTTAGTCAGATATTCTTTAGTTGGAAGCCTTGTATAATTGGCTTTCGAATTTGGATTTCAGGTATCTGCTCCTTTCTAACTTCCCCCTCTTCTAAGCTACTATATTGCTTCTTTGATCTTTTATAGAAGTGATCTGCAGGAACTATTTCTTCAATATGTGTAATTCTTTAAGAAGGATGAGTATTATACAAAATTAATGGATATGTAAAGTTAATATTTTCAATAACAACTCAATCATTAATGCTTTTCCTAACTTATATTCCATAATGTTCCAAGGCGACAATATTTTAGCGAGGACATTTTTGTAGATTATCTGGATAAAATTATTGTTGGTATGAAATTAGATTATAAAATTCTTTTGGAAGATTTTATCACGTACTTTGAATTGTTTAACCTTTAAAAGAATAAAATAGCAGCATCTTTAAGCGATTTATATGCATTTAGAAAAAATGACATAGCATTCGGAAATATACGATTTGTATCCTAATAAAAGGATGGATTGCTAATTGATTTTAAACAACCAATAGGAAAATTTTAAGATATATAATTTATAGAACATTTGGTTTTAAGATGACTTTGGCAAATAAGTATCATAAACTGAACCATTCCAATATTTTTATAAATACCATTCTGAACCTCATAGTGAAAGGACTTTGATTTTGTCTCTT